AGAATTTCAGATTCAGTCTTTTGGCAAGTCCACAAGGTCACCGGTTGATTGCTCGCCCAAGATGTCGCCTTCTAATAATCACAATTTTTAGATTGCTGGCTAGTTCCTGCACCGATGGACTGATGGCGAAAGACTTCCGGGAATGTGAGTCAGGTTGACCCTGAACTTGCATTCAAATGCCAATGTAAAGAATATAGCTGTTTCTACTACTTTATAGCTTGAGTTCTGACGCTTCTTCTTATCATCAGTGGATATTGTAGCTATGTCGACGTCGTTGACGAGCTTCCGATAAACCGATAAGCTGTAGACTATATTGAGGAAAGACTTCTCGGCACATGAAGTTGTGCTTTGTCTACAGATCCAATCCAAAGAGTCCACTATGTGGCTTGTGTTGGCTGCCAATAGAAAAGTTGCGAACCGATTTTCAAGCTTTGTAAGGGACTGGTTAGATTTGGAACCAACTTTTTTTTTCGAAATGCGGGATGTGCAATATTTGTATATCACTACCTAGTGCTCAAGAATACACTCGTGTGTTTGACCACTTGTGTGAACCAATTATTAATATGACAAAGTGCCGCAGTTTGTATACAGAGTACGGCCACCTAATGTTCGTTCGTTCCATATCGAGCTTTCATAACCTTGAGCATTCAATAGTTGCTGCATTGCTGCAGGAAGTGATATACTCATGGATGCCTGTCTGTTATTTGATGCTTGTTCTTGAGGTTCTTATCAGTAGCCAGACTTTGATAATTCTAAACCTTTCATGGGTGACCGACCACACATCTATTAACTTTCTCTAGTGTTTAGTTCATTTTCAAACCTGATTTTGCTTCACCATAGTTGGATGGATGGACATCGAATGGGTGAACAAACAGAGACAGGTGAGGGCGGTAGAAGCCCCCGGGTGTTTCTCCATCGATGTCAGTGATCATGCAGATATCGTATTTGGGTAGGACTATGCATAGGTGACAGCGCAGGTTGTTCGACGGCACGGGTTGATCGTCCAAGATCATCATTAAAGGACAATGCGTACCGGGTCGGTATAGACATTGTTGACCTTCGTTCGTATATAGCAATACGGAAGTGAAACTCCTGCTATGTAATTGTTTTCGGGCAACCACGATCTGAGAAATCCTTCATCGGTCAAATCCGAGGCGCAATTGATGGCTCCTCAGTGGTGCAGTCAAAAGGCTGCATATGTACTTCACTTCTTGGAAGTTGGAAATAGACCATCTCCCGTCGGGCTCGGGTTTCCTATCAGTAGATCAAGGCCCATATTTGTAGAAGAAGCGCCGAGTGTAGTGATCTAGAATTGTCAGCTCTCAATGCCGACCATACACTTGCGGCGCTTGGTGAAGAGAACCAGGAAAGAATGATCAGAATCTAAAAATGCAACACAATCAACGAAGCAGAATTGTTTGAGAACACTTTGATATTTTCCCCACACCATCGAAAGTTTATCCTTTGAACTTTATTCCGTAGCTATGAGACCTAGGCATATACGAATAGGCCAAGTCTGAAGATAGCCGACATTCTAACTTCTTACATGCTGCCATTCTTAAGCCATTGCATGTGTTTCTGTCAAAGCGAGCGAATAAAGTATTCTGCGTTGAGATTATTGCGTGACCAACTACTACTCCAACTCCTCCAACTACTCCAAATCCTCCAAATCCTCCATCGAATATGTTTATTAGTGTGAGTGAATTCTGGGATAACCTACCGTATAAACTCAATTACTCCAAAACATACTTTCCCATCATGGAACAAGCTTTGACTAGAATATGGGACATTTCTGTTGATTTTCAATCCGGATATAGGAAATAAAGGGGGGATGCTGATTCTAATGGTCCCTGGTATATTTTGGAGTAATCGAGGTTAAACGGCATTGTCTTGATATTTGTTATGCTGCTCGAAGCACAAAGAGACACTTGAAGTATGGCCAACCAAAGTCTGAAGTTAGGTAAAACACTCGCAATATGAGAGTCTTTAACATGGATTCTTTCTTGATATTCTCAGGGGTTATCGAGAAACTAGAAAACTAATGGTCGTTCCGGTCTATCTTGAATCTGAGCCATCACCTCGATGGGGTAATTGGCATTTTTTAGTGGCAATGGCAACGAGAATTTTCTCTCCGAGCCACCAGCCAGTGAGTATTCGGCGTTGCTCGTCTCCAATGATCCCCACATTGTCCCGCAAAGAGAGAGAGAGAACGAGATGTGATTGGTCGGTGGGTTACAACCTTGGAGAATTCTATGTACGAAGTAGGTTGAAGTGTTTGTCGTCGGTCATTGTTCTCCTCATCTTCAGAGCCGGTTCGGCAAAATTAGTGAGCTTGGTATATGTATGAGTAGGCTCAAGGCAGGAGGAAGCGAACGGCTTCATTATCTCGAGATTGGCCCTTTGATCATTGTAGCCATGGTTCGACATTAAGCATTCGAGACCGATGTGATATCTCATTAACCTGGTAACAATAAACATGGAATTCTCGGTGATTGATCGATGATGAGCATTTCGCTTCCACCATGTCGGTCTGGAAGGGTTGATCTGCTCCGGTCTACGACGCTATAGGTGTTTTATTGCCTGTCAGATACTAGGATATAAAATATGAACGGCCATAAGGTACGAGAAATATTTAGTGCTTTGATATGATGATGCAGCAGAAGATGCAAAAGTAGACAGGAGATGTAAGTATGTAGTTCAAGGTGTCTACGACGTACGGAATTTACTCAGCAAGACTCGTTCCGTAGAATCACTGCAGTGTAGCACGATTACACGTAACCTACCGGAATGTACCTGCGTGAAAGAAGGTAACAAAGCATCCCAAAACGGGTTCATTCCACAAATTGATCGATATATCAAAAGAGCAGCTTTGTTAGACTTTTGATCAGGATTGTGTGAGACTGTTTAGTAGACAAGCCACGGCCTGGAAACAATGGAAAAAGGCCGAGAGAGTAAATTCGCTCACAACGCTCAGGCCTAGATATCAATCAAGACAATCTCCCCCTCTCTCTATACTGCATTCGTATCTGGGTAGCTGTCGGTTGACCCATTCTACCTATCAAGAATTAACATCGCACGATCAATGTCGGAAAGTGTTTCGTTTCCCCAGTCTTCCAAGGTTCTTCTCCAGGAATTATAAAGCTTATAGAGTGACCTATTGCCAGAGTCCATTCCTTATCCGAGATAGAAAGACGGCGAGAGGTTAAAGATCCTGATACTTTTGATGATTGAGCATACCTTGAGCCTATAAGTGACTGAGGGTAAAGTTCTTGGGAAGGAATAAAAGGTAAAATTCCACGAGAAGAGAGGCACCTCCTATACACCTCTGAATGCTCTGACACCGGATTTCATTGGGTTCTCTGTCTCAGATTCCATGAAATTAGGATAGGGAATGCGAATATTCATCATGGAATTTTTAATCTTAAATTAACATTCCTTTCCTCACAGACACTTCCTCATTGAGCACAATGAAAGTCAGGTGGTGAGAGAGAAGGAATTTGGAGTTGTACATGTGTATTGTATTGTATTGTACGTAGCTAATCTTCAGTAATGAAATCCACCGCAAGTAAGTGAATGAATGATGATGACGATGATGCAAAGTGTATCAGTGCCATGCAATACTAGGTAGTAGCTCTGACTACCCTACCTAGGCACTCAATGCTCTCAATGCTCAAATGAAATGTAGATGGTCGGTAGAATCATTGCAGAGATACGGTCTAGACCAAACACTTCGCTCATGTATAATATATCGACAGCACACTCGTAGTCTCGTAGTCTCGTAGTCTCGTACTGCCCTTCTATTTCTATGGATGACATCTAACCTTTCTTGGTATGAGATAGCGATCTAACGTTTTTTGTCATGTACAGAATACGTTACTGGGGATCTCATCGCTACCTAGTACCTACCTAGTACCTACCTAGTCTATAGTAGTAGCCACTCCATTAATCGATACACGCACAACCTTGGAAACTCATAATTTTAGTATTACTACCTACACGTATACCTCCCACACATATAACCATCTCCTGCTGACTACACACACCCCCCTCACACGCACATCAAGATTCCTTCCACATCAACAATCACGACCGTTTATTAAGTGCACCCCTCACGCCTCACTCCACACCCCCTCCTCCATCCACCCACTCACCTCATCCACTCATTCCCATTCGCAACCCACTATCCACTTCGCACCCACTTTTCAATTAGAGAAATTCCGCACTAAAGCCACTTCATGAGTGTCTAAGTTCCTAAATTCCAAGGGTCGAGAACTTCTTCTTTTCTTGTCTTTACTTATACTATTATACCTAGTACAAGAATAAACTTCCTCCAAAGAAAAAGACTTTCCAACTAAATTCCTCAAAAATCAATCCTCACTGGTTTTATTACTTCACCTCGATCAATTTCTCATTTCTACTTTCCATCTTCCATCTTCCATCTTCCATTCTCCATTCTCCATTCTCCATCCTCCATTCTCCATTCTTCATTCCCCCATCTCCCCATTCCCCCATTCTCCACATTCACTCGTTTTCTCTTATCACCTACGATCCTAAACACCCAAATCAACCCTTTTTCTTTCCAATCGAGAACCTGCTGCTGTATCCTATTGATCACTCGGCATCCGAGAATCCTTTTAAACCCCTACAAAATCAATCGCAATTCGCTTCGATTCATCCATCCATCCATCCATCAAAACGTCAATTGTGGAGAATCTCGACTACAACTCAATCCTACCTACCATAATAACTATCGACCTACCACCAACCATACTTTCGCAAACTACCTTTCAGTATTCTGGACGTATTCGAGTTTATGATTGATATCACAGTTATTGTACAAGTTTTGGAACATCGGAGTAGGAAGTCAGCAACTTTAGAAACAGCAAAAAAGTCAAACGAAGAGGAGGTTCTCTTTCTCGACAACAGGTCGTTCTGACCTTAAACCACATACTCCGCCACCAATTAACCCAACCTTTCCATCGGAAGGTATTATCGCAAAAATGGCGATAGTCCTCAATTCGGAAGAAAACTCCTACTTTTCGTCAAGTCCTCTTCGTCGATCACACTCCCAGCCCAAATTCGTCACACAACCGTCGTCATATTCACAATCTCTATCTCGATCAAATAGCGTGAAATTCAACCCGATAATATCACCCAGTAATTCCTCGGCGTCTTCAGCACCATCATCTCCCCAAACCCTACATGCCGATTCTGTCGCTCCTTCATACTCGTCAACACCAGCTAGCAGTTTGTCACTCGATCATAGCGACGATGCAGACGATGAAGATCAAATTTACTTTCCCACATATGACGACACAGGATATTTCGATCAAATTGAAGATTTAGAGCCACCAACCAGTCCACATACCGACGATTCCTATGCTGTCTCACCCATCCCAAACAGCACCTCTATAATCTCGCGACCTGGATCCCCAGAAGTACCACACGCACATGCCGAGGATGACACAGCACTACAAGCGAAACCTTCGCGGCACGTTGATTATCTATCACACAATTGGAGAGAAGAGGATATATGGGCATCATGGAAACTCATAGTATCAAAAGGGGGGGAATACTCTAATCATGAACGACTAGAAAATGCTTCGTGGAGAACTTGGATGAAGGCAAAATATAGACTCAAGACCGTGTCACCCGAGACACTTAATTGGTAGGTTTTCATGATTATGCTGCTACTACTGCGAGCAGGTTAAATCGGAAAATAAACTGACATTCTATAGGTTGAAGGATTGTGACGTGACCTGGCTATATGGTCCACTTCAAGCTGGACCAACCTCATTCAACGCCCCAGATACTTCTCCCGTGAGCAGCAGCAGGCTATCGAAATCAAATTCCTTTTTGCAAAAGAAGCCAATTCTCAAGAAACGAAGTATGTCCGAAATAATGCTTCAAAGGTCGTTGTCATCATCTTCATTACTCAAACAAGCTGCTGCTGCGGTACAAGCACAGCAATCTGGGGATGGACGCCCTGGTATAATTAGGGCTACATCTGACTACGTTCCATATGAATTTGCAAGTAGACAATCAGAACAAGCTGATTTAAGTATGCTTTCATCGGTTACCTCATCAGGACTTATCACCCCTGGTACTGAAAAGAAACGCATTAGTTTCAATGAACAAGTATCGCAATGTATAGCCTTGGAAGTCAAGGGCGATGATGATGACGAGCTGGACTACGGTACCCAAGACTTTGACGATAGTGACTCCGATGATGGAGCTATCATGATGAAGAGGAGCACTTCTAAACGACAACTCCCACCGATGAGGAAGAGGATAATATCTAGAGTCAACTCTATGACTGATAGCAAAACCATTGCAATGCTACCATCCACAACACTCAAGTACCGAGCAGATACTCCCGAGCCACAGGAGACAGCCATGAAGCACAGTGGGTCTTTTCACGGTGGAAAGTTGTCACCGTCACCCTCTCAAGACACATTGAAGCCTTCAAAGCCATCAACAAGAATGCTTCTAGGCGATGATGAAGACGATGATGACATCGATTGGCAACCACCCAATGCATTCGCCCATAGAAAAGATAGCGTGTCCATTGCGCAAGATCGATTTCACAGTCTCAGCACCTCGGACTCTGTTTGTAACGACGAGCCTTCTGGTATGAGGAGAACGCCATCCGGCATGTTTATGCCTTATGAAGAGGACGAAGATGATGCTGTATCTGAAGGTCTTTTTGGAAAAGTTGTCGATACTGTGAATACAGCAAAGGACATTGCACATGTCATCTGGAATGTCGGATGGAGGCGTTGATATTCAGAATTGGACACTATTTTTCCAAGGGTCAACTCATTCATAGCGATACAATTATTGATCGAAATATAATGTCGACGTATATACGCGACTTTTGTACATAATACTGAAGCACATATTAGATGCTGCATTTACACACCGGGTTCTGGAACCACTTTTGGAATTTGTCGGCGTTTTGGCATGGGAACGGTTTTTGTTCTTAATGGGGTCAGGACTTGAGGATGATGGCCAAAATTGTACTTTGGCAATGGGTTACATAGAAAGGGTTCGGGCTAATTCGTCACGATTGGGGGTTGGGCTTTCACTGGGTATGGGAGAGACTGGTTTGTCTTTTGGTGAGGAGGAAAAAAATGGGTTTACACTGTACGATGGGGACTATGGGTTGTGCGCAAGCACACTATACAAATGCACACCTCGGTGCATTTTCGCAATAAAGCGAATTGGCGCACGCCACACCCAAGGAGGAAAGGAAGATGAGAAAGAAATTGGCGAACTATTGAACATATACACCAATACAGTAGTCAACAAAAATGAACAATATACAAAGCAAATAATCTCTTGAGCTATGTGATGCAAAGTAATGTTGTTATGTTGTGATCTGATGGTATGTGAGGGATGAGAATGGCTTTGATGAAGTGTCGTCATATTTTTACACTAGATAAGACAACTTTGCCGCCTCTTTCATTCATCCTTTAACAGTCATTCCTAAAGTTTCCTCTTGGGATATCCATGGTCCATTCTATCCTATGAAATATGAGTGCTAATACTCTAGTATGTCGTGCTAATGTCTTTTTCTTTGTCGCCCCCTATACTTCTAGAATGCCAGCATCCCGCATTTTGCACCTTTCTTCTGTTCTGTTCTGTTCTGTTCTGTTCTGTTCTGTTCTGGGGGATCTTTCAGCTTGTCGATCTTGGTTGAAGATTTGAGGGATAATTTGATTTGATTAATGATAATGGATGGTTTGATGTTGGTGTAGTGTAGTGTATGTAGTAAGGGTATGTAGTATGGGTATGGTACGGTGCGCTGGAGTACTGGGGACCGGACCAGGGACTAGGTAGGTAGGTTTATACATGTATGTGGCGATTTGGTAAGGCGAGTGGGATTTAGGGGTCTTTTGGGGGGTTTTTGGAAAGGGGGAGTTGAGGAGAGATTGAAGGATGATGGAGGAGGGGAGTTGGGAGTTGGGGAAAGATTCCATGTAAACAAGCAAGCCAGAAAGATCATGTATACAAATATACATGCTAATGTACTAGACTCTATAGAGTATAAGATCAAGAGATGCATACGAAATAGAGATAAAGGAGATTCCTCCGAGAGATAATGGTAAAGATGTCTTTGTTCTTGATTATTGTTCTATTCTTGATTTTTACTTTTGCTTTCGTTTTATATCTTGTCTCGTCTTTGATATTCTTATTTTCAGAACTATATTGTACATAGATTTGTAGTCGGTCTCGCTGCTGCATCCAATCATATCTCATCACGTATCTATCTATAAATCCGGGGTAGAGTATTATTTTACCAAGGAAGCTTTAGAGCGATATTCATTTAGTAAGTAAATAACTACTAGATAGCTATATACCTCCATACCGCCCCCAACCTCGGCAAAGCAAAGAGAAAACGCACGCATACGGAGCTACGCTACCTAGCCTGTACATTATGTTACTCCCTCATTTGAGAAACTGGAGAAGCTTGAGACATGATACTTGATACATGATATTTGATATATCTGATCACCCCTTCGATTTCCCATTCTCATTCCAACCCCGCAATTTGTTGTGCATATATTACATACCTTACCGTACGTATCAAGCTTCATAAAGAAGACTAAGTACCCAAGTACTCTCTCAGTACATATCAAATAGGTATGTAAGCACGCTCTTCGATTACATTACCCAAGCCTCCCCCCCCATGCCATGCAATGCAATGCACGCCACGTTACCCCAAGAAATGGCTCGAAACGATTAGATCGATCGACAATGAGGCGGACTAGAGGGGATTCAAGAGTCACGACGAGACACCATATTCCAAATATTGAAAGGGAAATTGAAATTGAGACACCTAAGATAGTGGAAAGTCCCTTACTTTCTCCCTTCCTTTCCCCACTTTATGAATCATAAATGCTTTTTTACTTGGGGATATATTGTTTATACGGTATTTTGGTCATGGGACTATTTGTTTGGAATTGGAATTCCTCCTTTTGGGGGAGGGGGATCTTACTTACGTTTTGGTATGGGAAGTGGAGTTACTAGGTAGTCTCGGTAGGTATGGAATCTGGATGGATGTGAATGGCAGTTGATTATTGAGGGGTATCTACTCGAGTATACATTATACATACCTAACCTACCTACCTACACAGAGAAGAAACATGCATAGAAATTAGTAATTGGAAATTTTGACTCGATCACTTTGTGTATAATTAGTACCTATAGTTTTTAATAGATTAAATCACCAAGCAAATAGGCTTAAACCAGAATTCTAAATATGATTATCTTGTTCCTTCACACGTACATAGTACATGATACATAACACACATGCGTACCATCATCGTCATTATCAATCATTACCATACATCCCATCTCTACCCATTCATCCCCCCATCCATCCCCATCATCCCCCAAACAATCCCCAAACACAAAGTACAAGGATCCCACCACCATCACAGTTCCCTGACAATCATTCCATCATCATCATCACGCCCTGCATCCATCCGACCGCCGATCCCCTCGCACCCTGAAAAATCCGCTCCGAAAATCATGCCATCACAAAATATGGGGAAAACACCCTTCTTTAATACCTAGGTACTTCGTATATCTGCCGTGGTTAGGTTAGGTATGTGTGGGGAAGTTTGAAAATTGGGGAAGGATGAAATGACAAACAGGGGGTGAGAAACAAGGGGGGATCCCGAGGTTTCGGGCAGTGGGATCTGGGGTTGACCTAGGATGATTTGATCCATTTTGATTGATTCATGATTTTTCGTACAGTTATAAATTGGTGAAAGAAAGAGTGTTTGTATAATTTATATTAACTTATGTTATGTGTATTATTATTGGTATTGATGTTGAAAATTAACTAATAGGTGGTTGGTTATTGGATTTATCAAATAGTAATTAATAGTAATAGTAATAGTAAACAGTGATTCTAGTAATGGGTGCCCCTAGTATTTTTCGGAAATTCTATTAACTAGCTAGCTGTTTGTATAGATAATTGACACACCACCAAATAATATCATCAGCCTTAAGTTGGGTCGGTGTAGTATGTACCGAGAATGAAAGCTTCTGTATCGATCGGGAGATAACTAACAGTTCGTCAAGAAGCCAGGACACTCGTAGAGAGATTGTGATTGCATTTTTAATTTTTTTTAATTGGCTCCGCGAGATGTGAGAAGGGCTCGCTACCCCTAATCAGCAGATGTATGCCTAGATGATCTAGCACTATGAGCAAGAAAAAGGCTGATAGTACCGGTGACAGTAAAGTCGAATACAAAGAGTATTCGGTACGAATGTGCATCAGTGGGATACTCCTGCAATTAACTGAAATATACACAATATAATCCGTCAATGCCATTGATTCGTAACTAATTAACTCACTACAATTATTCCTCCCTGCTGTCCTCTTATGCTTTTACTTGAACACTGTTCGTCGATATTCCTTCAAAACACATATCAAGAAGCTCGCTACGGTTCATCCTATAAACCTTCTAACTCGAGACTAATACTTTTGATAGGCTATTAGTGTCCAGATAATCCGCCCTCTACCACTGTACCATTCCCTCTTCCTTCCCATCTCCAAATCTCAGTATTCCATGTTTTCTTCTCTCCGTAAGCCATCTATCAATCCACATCTTCATGCGTTTCCTCCCAACTTCACTACCGACATTGACAGTTGGGACTACCTTTTCAATTCTTAACCCCATAACAAACATTGTCAGTTCCCTGAAACTGCTATGTTCAGAATACGGTACACCAAAACATTGCGCTTCCTTTGTACTTCCTCTCTGTGGTACCAACTCTCCCATGTTGTATTCCGACCTCCAATTTGTAGCAGTCAGAATCGTATGAATCGGCGGAGAATCTACAAAACGAGAATTTGGTGGCTTATAACTCCAACCACTTGGTCTAAACCCCACAACACGTGTGAAATGAGGCTTATAGCCAGTAAGGTAGTCTTGTAAAGTTTCGGGCCGTAAATCCATAAGCATCTGCATATGAATTTGTGCCTCTCGAGGATCCGATGTCAGGCGACTTGTAAGTTCGGGATCTTCTAAAGCAGCACAGATACGCATTTTTCCTGGGGTTGCATAGATTTTGCAATCTAGAGCGCGAGCTATACCAAGTACGATGCGTTCCTTGCCAATACTGTAGGTACCGCAAACAACAAGTAAACGGCCTCGAGCTTTCTTCTCGCTCTTAGAGGGTATTTCTGGGGCGTCAGAGTCCTCGGCCTCAACCTTCAGAGAAGGTTTGATGAAATTCGTCATCTTGGATCCTGCTCTTTCTCTTTTGACTGTTTCCCATGCATCGCTTTCTTCTGCCCTTTCTTTACTAAGACTGACACACATATCTGCGCAAGCTTTTACAACGTCTTCTTGTGATGGGAATGAGTATTTGGGATTCAGGTACGTAGTATCAAGATAACAGACATCAATCTTTTGCTGTTTGGTCTTCCCATTGACTGAGTCGACAATGTTAGGCATTAGGAGAGGGTGAGCAATATGCGCGGGACAAGCTCGAAAGTCGCCACAGTGAAGAATGCGTTGAACTTTAGGCCTTTGGCCACCGCCAGTAGTCTTCTCAAAGAGAAAAAGCGAGCTTCCAGGACAGTGATTAGCTGGAATCATTGTCACTAAAACGCCCTGTGTATTAGGCACTTCGATCTTGTCGTCAAAGTCAATGGATACAACCCATTTTGGATCTACTTTCAGTTGTTGTTTGACGAGATTACCAGTGACTTTGCTGCAATATATAGGGCCGTGTGACCAGGTAGAAGTTAGACCAATGTAATGATCGCTATGAAAGTGACTCAAGAAGTAAGCATTACAGCCTTTAACTGCACCATATCTGAATGCATCAACGCAGATGAATAGCCCAGGCATGATCTTATAAAACGGGCAAGTCCTCTGGTGTGCAGGCTTTCCTCGAGACGACTTTTCCCTATCAGCAGCGTCAGCCCAAGCAGCATCTTCTGCGTGGCCTGACATGATTTTAGAAAATGCAGATCCCCCCTCGCTGTTAAGATCAATTGGGTTCACCTGTCCTGGTCTTGGAACTGCTGCTTTCCTGGCAAAACGGTTCCTGGCAACTTCGGGCATTACCACTTTTGCTTCGCTTGATGCAGAATTTGCTTTTGCTTTAATCTTTGTTGGTAGAGATATGGGTTTCCCATCTAAACACGCATTGACATGCATTGAGGCTTCATTTGAAGTAAGGCTGCTCAAATTCGCATCGCACAGAGGACAAGCAGAGACATTTCCTTCTCCTATATTGCCATTAACGCCATCATCGTCATCAAATCCATTGAATGAATCTTCATCTTCCTGCGCTTCATCGGGTTCTAGGTTATTTTGTTCCTCCATCCATTTGCGCTCTAAAAATTCTTCACCATCCAGATCCTCATCAGGGAATTCACCCATGTCCTCGAAGGTTGCCCATGTATCTACACTTGTATTCTCGTGCTTCAAGACCGGAATTTCTGGAAGTGGATCGCTCTTCCTTTTTCGTTTTCCTTTGCTCTTTTCCTTACTATCCAACTTTTCCGAGGTTTTCGAGGTTTTCGAGGTATTGGGCTCCTCGTACTCTGATTCCGACTCTATCTTCCCTTTGCTCTTGCTATCAAAGTATTTTGAATCTCTCAACGCTTCTGGTTCCTCATTTTCCGCCGATGACGTGGTCCTTGTGCTTTTTGGCTGTAATGCTTCCCATTTCGCTTGAGCTCTTGCAACCGGAACTTTCTTCCTGGGCTTGAAAACGCTACCTTTCAGAGGTAAGAGTGTTTCGGTAGATGATATGACGGAGGTATCTTTAATCATTGACACTTTCTCAATGTTCAATTCTGCAATGCCATTTTTTAAAGGATCTCCGGTTTCCTTTTCCTCAACGCGTGACCGCCCTTGGTTTTGATTCTCGGTCTTGGGGCCTCCCATAAACTCTCCGTCGCTATCAGAGTCATCCAAGAACGGTCCTGATCGGCGCGGTGTTCTCGTTGCGGTTTTTGCCTTTTCAGTTGGCAGAGGACTTTCGACCGAAGAACTACATGGCTCAGTTGGTATTGAAGGCGTTGTAAGACTGCTTTCGAAATCTTCAATTTTGGGACTGTTTGAAAGTTTACGTTTTTTGACCGACCTTTCGGTCTCATTGTAACGTTCATCGATCAATTCTTCGCTAGCTCCGTACAAATCGCCTTCATCCAAGCCTGGACTGGGTCCGCGAGGAGGAAACTGTGATGCCACGCCAGGTCGTTGGGCTACGAAAAGAGCGTCATCGTCTTTCAGTGGGTTGTCCACTTTCTTGAAGAAGTTCAGGATGGTGCCATTGGCTTTCACTGGCGTTTTTGCTGTCGCGCTCTTCTTCGATGATTGCTTGTTGAAAGCAGAGACAATGGAATTTTTGGCAGGTCGCGGGGTAGTCTGTTTGTTTGTACTTCGAGGGGCCATTGTAACTACCGGTCGTGGAATCGAGGGAGTGCCGGGTGACGTAGGGGGTCTACCGGTGGAGGGTTGCAAAAGAGAGTCTGTAGATTTAGTTGAGTTCTTTCGAGGGTTCCGAAACATAGTATTTTACAATTGTGCGGTACCAGGAGGGTGAAATGTCAACGTTTGCCATCGGCGGTTGTTTGTTTGTATTTTAAGACGCAGGGTGGAGGGCAAGGTTAACGCTGCTTTGTCTAGGCCACTGAAGAATGATAAAGTCCCGAATTCATTTTAATCAATTGTTATAATCTAGAGGTTATTGGCAAATTACTTGAAACCGTAAAAGTGTTTCGGAAGCAAGATAGATTATCTAGAGGCGATTCATCTGGAGTAGTCTGATAAGAAATCACGGAAAGTAGTGCGCGGTCCACGCTATCACCTGACATGAGGCGACAAAATATTCACTTATTTGGAGGGGCAGAACCAATAAATTACCATGGATTTTTGGATTTTATGAAAGCACAAACAACTTCATACAAATGATACAATACCTCTCGAGGTTTCTGTGTTGTCTAGTGGGTATCTTGGGAGACTTTCAGCAAATTTGGGGTGAATTATGAATTATTGATGTTTTTTCCTTACAACCCAAGCGATTCGAAGCAAAGTATCGCCGAAGTTACTTTTCCGTGTTTGCTTTTCCATAAATCTTCATTAACACATGAATTATCTGAGTTGGCCGGTCGCAATGCCTATCCTGTTCATCATGCCCCTCTTCCCATCCGCCCTCTCAATATCATCTATAGCGTATATCCTTCCCACGAAGGGAATGCACTCACATCAACTTTTATCTTCCCCTCTGAGTGTCTACGTTCATTTTCCTTTAGTCGCCTGTTGCGCGGCCTCTCTCCTAGTAGCTATAATTGATCATTAGCCATCGCCTCCCATACACAGTATTCGGTCAGTTTGGGCACTTACCATCTTCCAGAAGTGCTGTGTCAATTACGCCGCCAGGAAGATGTACGTATCTGACGACACTTCCTCTTATGAAAACATTCTTGACCGATGACTATGCGCGCATCATCAGCATCACAAACCTCGAAGCTCAGAGCCCATCGCATTTGATTGCGTTGCTGTCGTCCATGTTTAACTACTGACCAGATGTGGATATTTCAGCTCCTCTACCACTTGTATGTCATCCAGCTTGATGTTTAGGTATTGGTCTACCGATTTTAGTATGCCTTTGATCTGGATATCATTCTTGAGCTCGACTGTAACTTCGTGGTCTACCAAGGTTTTAAAGAAGCTATTTGTAGTGAAGAAATATTAGCAGCTGTCACTTCAAAGCTGTTTGTGGGAATGCACCCACCTGAAAAACAACATTTTGGCAGACTGGAAGCTGATAAGTAAGGTTCGATATTGTAGAGAGCTTGTAGAGTACGGAGTCTCGAAAATGGAGTTGACTACCACCCAAAAGTGATGATGTCGGTACATCATGCCTCAGGCCGACATATTGAATGGGCACGGTCCAGAACGTACAACTTGTGTAAATGTCAACTGCCTCGCCAAGAGCTCTGCACTACAATAATAAAGAATGATCAGTGATGATAGAATTTTAGATACTTTTCGTAAAATTGCATATCATGTTTAAGTCTTTTTTTGATTTAAGTATCACAATGTTGTTAAGGCTGCAATACTTCTTTCTCTCATAAAATCGTATTTTGTTGGCTACGATCAATCTGGACAGGCTTGAGTAACTGTGTTGGATAGTAGGATTGGTTAGAAGTGCTATGAAATCTTAGAATGTTGTCCGTAAGACAAGGCGTTGTCCGGGGCGTGGGTATGCGATATGTCACTTCCGAAATGAGAATACCGTGATATTTTCAAATCCTCCCTATACTTCTGGTGGCCGGAAAGCTGGTTTCTTCGCATGTCTTCACATTAGGGGAAAAGGCTTGACCGCAATGCAGCAAAATTCGCTATTTGTGTTTCTCGCAATGAAATTGCTAGCTATGGTTCTCTGGAAATGGATTGGTCATAAATTCAATTTTGTATATAAAGTCATACATAAACAGGCGCGTAAAACACCTGTACCTATAATTCCCTATCTCTCCCTCCGCTCTGACTACCCTGACTTATCTTTTCCAAGAATTCGTCCATCCATTCCTTTCTTCCACCTTCCGTTCCATAAAACTCTTTCCCATACCAAGCCCAACATTCATCATTGATAATATTGCCATTGCAATCCTTTTCCCCCTTCTGGATTACATCTACCTTTGGCCAAACTCCTACCCGCGCCCCCATGCTATCATCTAGAAAATTGTCCATCAAAAGCTGAACGATACGTTTTCGAACAATGTCATATTGAGATCCAGGCTTCAAGAAGACGGACTGTAGGTATGAAGTGCCATCTTGCTCAAGGAAAGACTTTTGAATTTCTGGCGATTTCAAGAGGCCACTAAGGGCTGAAATTTGAGATTTGAGAGATAAAGGTGATGTTGTGGAGGCTGATAGCTTTTTCTGGAGTGCAGGAATAAGACTTAATTTATTTTCACGAAGGACAGGGCAAGTAGGGTTCATGATGATATCGTGAAATAGGGAAAGGGAGCCGATGGCAGTAGGATTGTTTTGTAGAGAACCGGAGAGAGTGGCGGCGGCTGAATGATCATTTTCATCTCCAGATCCCAAGGATTCCATGGCCATGAGACATATCAGGGCAGAAACTGCCTCCTCATCGGCCATAAGTTCAGATCCGTAGTATATGTCGTGTGACAGTTCCGAAAGAGAAATCAGGGCCGAATCGAGGGAAGCATCTTGCCCTTTCAATGAGGTAAGAGACGTTCGGAATGATTCAAAGTCAGATGATGAAGGTGGTGGGGGTTGTATCTTCCCATGGCCGCTGTACGCTGGTGCATCTGAGGGTGGTTGCAGGCCTTCTGAGGTTTCAACTTCGGCATGTTCAATGACGACCATGGCTTGTTCTGTTGGTATGTCAAGCTCTAGCGTAAGATCATCACCTTCCATTGGAATATTCAGGCGAGCTTCTTTCAAGCCAGAAGATATATTCAACCGAACGTGAAGGCCTGGTGGAATATCTTGTCCTGGCTTGATGAGTTGGAAGTCTCTCGTTGGTTGAAAAATTCGAGGGTAACATTCAGCTTGATTGTCTGTGGGACATATGAGTTCGGTATCTGCGGATGGTGAGGCCTCTGGATCCATCGAGAATGCCCTCGCAAATATTGGAAGACTGAGCCATGCTAGGCTCAGTATCCTGCGTGTTCCTACACTAACCATTTTATATTATAATTGTTTATGAAATGTATCGAGTACAATAGAGCCTCTTTTCAAATGAGTTATTCAATCAGCTACAATCGATAGAAGTCGTTTAGCTTTTCTTCTGAATCGTCTCAGAATTCTTCGTTGCCTCTCTGCTAGGTCGAGGTCCTTGCAGGCTTGATCGAAAGCTTGCAAGTCAAAAGGCTGGATTTTTCCTTCTTTTTGGCCCTGCTTATTGACTAGCCACTGATCGAAAACCCAAGGATAATTTTCAAAACACGCTTCTCCTTCCCAGCTCGAACGTAAAAGAGGACAATCTTTCCACTTGACAAGATACCAGATGTGGTTGTTCTTCCCCACTATTTCAGTGAGTATCTTCTCGGGTGGTCGTTCTTCGGTATCACTTTCTAATGAAGCAAGAGATTCTGCTGAATTTGAGTCTTCTGATTCACTCTCCAAATTTAAAGCATCGAAAAGAGTAAGGTGGTGATCTACTGGGTTATTTGTAGTCATCGTAAGGACAAGTGGCCTTCAAATAATAAGTACAGATTTATTATTCCATAGTTTCGCTTTCCTTTGCCTTCGGAGGGTTAATCAATTTGTGGGGTCTTTCAACTAGATGCCTAAGGCTTCATTAGTCATCACAGGTCATTAATTCGAGGGACATCCAAACATAACGGCTCTCTAGGAATGACATATTGAACGTCAATTAATCCACAACAAAATGTTCGCGCTCAGGAGAAAGGCGGTTCAATCTGCCGATCGAGTTGGAAGAGTATCTAATCGAGTTCCGCGACGATGGTCGTCTGCACAACATGGAAAGACTGGTGATGAAGTCCATCACTTCGCTGGATCGAGTACAGAACACGGGCATCATCATGCTGGCCCAACAAACGAGTCTTTCGGAGTGAGCTTTGGATCTTCTCCTACATAAGTCATACGACTAATCACGATATAGACCGGCTTCTTCCTTGTCCTCGCAGCTATCCCCATCTCGATTGGAGTTTACAAATACGCCCAACCATCCGCCGACGGATCTCCTTCTGGTCTCGCGAAGTTGATCGATAGCTATTCACACTATAAAGAAAAATGGGCCGCAAGAAATGCGCTACATGTTTCTATGCTCGAACAAGCTGCTTTCGACCGCAACCTTTTCCAGAGTGATGTGGGCAGTGCACATGTCAATCTTAGATTTCCCGAGTTGGTCTCAATATCTCTAGTACCTCTCATCCAGAAGCTGATTTTCTACAGACAATTTAACACAGGATCTCCATGGAACGTTCCAGCAGGTCACAGAGCTAGAGATATGGAGAAATTGGTAGCACATTATGAGAAGTTCAACAAGGAAAACGAAGAGAAGAAGCGTTGAAGCCCCAATTACAAAAATACCCGTACATATTGCTCCAAAGAAAGTTTTCATTGTATCAAGTTCGTATGCGTGTTTGTCTTATGGTTACCAAGATGGTGACAAAACTTTGTGCAACCACGAAAGCATATTTATGCACACGGCGGAATCTGATTCCAAATTTTGGCAGCCATAAAATTTGCAGAGTTTTGAACAGTTTTAGTGCACAACCTATTATGTAGAAGAAGGCAGTGTCACTACATTGGATTTCAAAGAGCCCTTGGACTAGCGCCGATCTTAGTTGTCGGAGTTGCTTCTTTTTAATTCTAATATACCTGAGAACAGCCCTGAAGAGCCTATCGAACTTCAGTCAACTCCAGATCCTAGACTCTTTCCTAAACTCCAGAAATGCATATAATGTTGCTCCACACAACTGAATTGGCCCCCTCGAAACGTCTCGAACGTCCGTTTCTCCTTAGTCCCACCATAAACATGGCCCCAATCCAACTTCTTCCATCGAAGCTACTATCTTGTAAGGCGCTTCAATTACTCGTGATTCCTCACTGTCATCTTGCTTTTCAGGACCCAATGGTGCCTGATCGTTCCACTGCTCAGAGTCGACACGAAATCGCACTGTTTCCTGGTTATCGAAGTAAAGTTGTGTACCTTCTTCGGTCTCCCAGATAAAAACTTGCTCGTTGTGGTTACTGGATGATTATTAGTAACCAAAATGGAAAAGGAACGAACGAAGCCGACTTACAAGTGTGAACCGTCTGGTAGCATCTTTGCCGGAACGAAGATTTCATCAAAAAAGTGAGTACGAACTTGACATTGTCAGCGTAGCTCGATCAGTCTACACACGTATATACTAACCTCTAATACCACTCTCAATGGAACTGCTGATTCTTCCTGTCATGATTTCAAATTTGAAAGGTCTGAACACGACGATGCGGAATTCAACTGCTGTGTGGTTAGCAAAACATAAAATGCTGTGGTGACTCCCAGGAACAATGTACCATTGACATTTACAAGACCATCACCATGGCCAATCAAACCTTCTGAGGCCGAGAGAAGATCATAAAAGCAGATACAAAGCCCAATCTTCTGAATCACCTTGTTGGCATATTTAAGGTTGATATTGTCCTCAATTGCTTGACTAGCATTTTTCCCTAAATCTTGAGGCGCGATTTGGACTAAATCGGCGATTTTGGTCTTTGAAAAAAGTTAGAATATGATTCTCCCTCCCCCCTCCCCCCCCCCAATGATTTAAGAAGAAAGACTCACGAGAATGAACATGATGATATACCGCGCTGGCTATTGGCTAAGTCAAAAAATGTTTTTGCTTCTTGTGCCTTGCTCCTTCTCCTATGATAATTCTTTCCTTATGTACGGTTGATGCTGCTCCAACAACAAGCCACCAACTGAAAGTGAATAAAGTAAAATGAGATAAGATAATGTAACGTGACTACCTAGATCAAGGTTGCTTGCTTCTTCTGAATGTTCACTTTGCGAGCCCATCAAGTAGGACAGTACTCTGTATGATAAGTTGAACAAAATTCAAACTCGGATCTAAATAAAGAATCTTCTCCGACTACCTTAATTTTTCCTTCTTCTTCTTCTTCTACAAAATCAACTTTATTCTCGAAAACTTCTTTCTAAAGTTATCATCAACGACAGAGGAAAAGTTCAAAATGGGTATGTTATTATTTCTTCAAAGTTTTCCCCCAAATTCACCCCAGGATCTTTTCACGCTGAAGTTCATGATCGAAAGATCAATGGAAAAGAGCCTTACATAATCCAGCCAAGTTCCCCTAGTCTGGGAGGTTTCTATTGGTTCATGTTGTGCGACAATTTCCACACTAAATAATAAGAGAGATGTCCTCCCGACCAAATCATAATTGCGCAAGGCGGCTTTCTTTTCCATCTTGCTTCACCATCCCTTTTCAATAATTCTGTCATTGACCCATCGGTTTTCATCAATTAATACGTAGTAGTCCCCACTACAATACTCGGAAATCCTTTTGGTCGATACGGTGCAACGAAGATCCAACCACCAGCACAAAACGGGTTGCGACAGCTTTCAAACTCAGGGCCAGCAGCTGTTCAGTACGGTCAACCTATAATCAACCAAACCCCTGCTGCGCAGAATATACATGTTCTGAAGATTTCGCAATATTTAAGTCAGCTTCCCGATCAACCCGCACCTTATCAACGCAATAACTCGAAGTCCGACGTCATTATGGCTGGTACACAGCAATACAATTTCCCTCCCCCTCCTCCCCCTCCTTCGGGACCACCCTCTGTTGGATATCCTCAACAAAATCCTCAGTATGGGTATCAGCAACCTCCTCCATATCAGCAGACGCGCAATAATGGCCCCCCAAGAGGTGGAGCGAGAGGCGGTCACAATGGCCCTTCTCACTCGCATCAAAATGGTTACAACGGTCCTCCACAGATACAAGGTCCTCCAAGTGACCAATACAATCCGCATAATCCAGCACCTTACATAGGACCTCCAAGTGGCTCTCAAGGTCCTGGCCACAACGGCCCCCCTAACAATTATCCTCAGCAATGGCAACAACAGGGTCAGCATGGTCCACCTCAGCACAACCACGGTCCACCTCAACAAGCACACCAGCCACCACCTCAAGTTCCTCTTCCGGCGCAGAACTACCATCCAAATTATGCTCCACAGGGCTTCAATCAACAGCCACCACCACAATATGGTCCACAGCAACCTGCACCATTTCAACAACCCTATGGCCCGCCTTCTCAGCAACCACACCCTAGTGGTCCACCCCAACAATGGCAAGGTCCACCTCAAGGACAACATCAGTTCAATAATAATAGAGGTCGTGGTCGTGGTGGTTTCAATAATGGCCGTGGCGGTCATGAAGCACCTCTCATGGGTCCTCCGATCCGCATGGGATTTGAGAACGAACGTGGAGATCATATGGCTCAAGCGGGCAATGGTTTTCCTACCCCCCAATATTCCAATCATCAAACCCCCCCTGCTCCATTCTCTCAGCCTGCTTATCAAGCATATCCCCCACAAAACTTCTCTAATGGAGGTCATGGAGGACAGCGTCCATCGCATGATTCTCATTCATTCAACTCGAGCTCTAATCGGGGCAGAGGAAATGGGAACTTTAGAGGTAGAGGTCGCGGTGATAATTTTCAATATCGCGGTCGCGACAACAATCGTTCTTTCAATGGCAATTCACAATCTCCTCCAATGCATTTCAAGCCTGCAGGTGCAGGAGACAATGCGAAGAAGAATAAGAAGAAGCGCAGAACAAATACTCTTGGTTTGACACCAAACGGTGTGGATCATGAGGATAGCGATGATGAGATTGATGATGTTGATGAAGAAGCTCGTTTGGTTACTTTGCTTGGTCCAGATACTCCACAGTATGTTTTTGCAGGCCTAGAAGATTAGTTCTTCTTGTTCTTTTTGCTAATGAATTTTAGGTTACCTGCAGATCTCACGGCATGGCTCGCTGAGCGTAAGAGCCGCTTCCCTACGAAAGCTCGTAGAGAAGCTGCTGCTGAGGAGCTTCGCTTGAAACGTGAACAAAACAAGAATCACAAGTTCAAGAAAGAGCCTGAAGCAAAGCCCATTAAAAAGGATGACGGAGAGACCAAACTCGAAAAACAGCAACGCAAGGCCGAGAAGCTTAGACTAGAACTTGAGAAAGCTGAACGTAAGATTAAACAAGAGATGTCCGGTGGAAAGCGCAAGCGTGAAAATGGCGATGAGGGTGATGAAGATCGTGGTCAAGTGAGTGATGATGATGATTCTTCATCTAATTCTGACACGGGGAAGCCGGAAACAATGACATCGCGCAACAATGGTTTTACCGGTATCGTGCACGCACGAGCACCACCAACAAAAGCCCAGCTCCAACGTCACTGCAAGTACTATTCTACTGGTGGCACCTGCGGCAAGAAGGGCAAGTGCCGCTTCGTTCACGACCTAGACGTCCGCAACCAAGCTTTGCGAGAGAAGGAGTTGAATGGTGGTAAGATGACTATTGCTCAACGTCTCATTCTTAACGACACCGCCAAGGATGATTTGACAATCTTGAAGTCTATCAAGTACCTCAAGGAGAAGGGTTTGATGCCAGAGAACTCTTCTGTTGGTGCACCACCAGCAGAGGAAACCGAAACCAAGACTGAGGAAAATGATTACGCCGATGCACCCGAATATGGAGAGGTTTGATCTTCTTCTATGGAAGCATTTTTTCTGGGTTCAATTAGTTACAATCTGTCACATATCATGCACACCCAGCACCTACTCGATATGTATTGGTAGTCAATGTGACGGAGCAGATTGAGGAGATCAGGGAAAAATCATTGTTTGATGAGTTTGATGTTTTCACTTTCATCCATCACTATCGGCAAAGCGCGAGTACTTATCAAAAGTCTGATACCCGAAACCTTTATGCTTGGTAGTCTATACCTTGTAATTCTTGCTTTGTATTTCAATTTAGTTGATTGGGGAGGAACCGGCAGAGAGTTGAGGGGGTTTTTCCTTTGATTCTTTTCACCTGTACACTTCTACAGTCATTCGAGATCACGACTTCGTTGGCCCCCCGATATTTCTTTCTTCGCGCAGGCTTTTCATTGTATTAGTTACATTTCTCCAGAAAAGCAAACATTTTTCATATTATGACAATTTTCATCAAATCCTACACGAAACACAATACTTGACACTTTTGTGCAAGTTTTACATACTGATGGGCACGGAATCGATGGCAAGTTTGCTGAGAGTCACCAAATTGAATGTATTATAGTTTCTGTGGTTTTTTTGGGAAGGTAATAGAGTCAGTGGGTATCAATTTAATTAATTAGGCTAGAATGTGAGTTTTAAAAACAAAAGATCATTCTCAAAATTTAGTGAACATGCTTAGATTGGCAGAGGTGTCAAGCAGCTTGGGAACATTAGATAACAGAGCTTTCAGAGAAATCCTACCGACACTTAGTAACAGGCTTTCGAAATGAGTCCATCATTAGTCGGTATACGTCTTGAATACAGGTACATAAACTCTTATGATTGCTACCTTTCGAAAATGAACATCTCCCATTTCTCTATTGCCTCACGTGTTTGCTTGGGCGGGGCAATCAAGTCAACATAGCAAAAGAAAAGCCTAGTGGCTTCGAAGAGCGAATCGTATTATTTCGATTTAGATAGATGAATAAAATTGTGACTGTGATATGTGTTGTGGTGCTATAGTCGAGATTTTTCCTAGACCAGACTATTTCATCCGCATCCGAAGGCTTCCAAGGTTGTATGACTTAAGGAACTGTGAGTTTTTGGGCTGTAGCTCGAACAAGATTACACGCCAAGGCAATGCATTTGGCGCAGGAAGTGAAGGCAGAATCCTCAAAGTGTTCAGATTCCTGGCACGAACTGGATATCATTTTCTCGAGCAACTAATCAAAATAAGACTTGGAAATGTTATAGTATCTCCAAACTGGAATAGCACAGGATCAAAGTCCTAAAGTTGCCGCTAAATTACCCCGCACTGGACAGCTTGATCTAAGGACTATCTAAGTATGTATACAGTTAGCCATGTGAACTGAACTCTATCCATGTGTCCGTGCAATTAGTTCTCAGCTCGGCTATTTCGTCCCGCGCTGATCCGAGTAGCTGAGTGAATGGTTGTGATGGATTTCAAGTTGCTTCTTAATTTGGTACCAGCAGCATGTGGCATGCTGGAAATGTGCATGGCGGGGTAACTAAGATTTCTTGAGTCTTCTGACTCCTTTTTCAATGCCAATTATTTGTAATTTGTAAGGTCTTCCTACGGGTATATAGTGTGCTGTATTCCTCGTGTGTATTCTGGTGGAATACTTCAGGTATTCGATTAATATCAGACCTTCCCCAATTCTGTAAATTCTGTAAATTCTCATTCCCTCTCCCATCCCCACTTCTAACTTTCCAAGATAAGCGATACAATGGGAGATGCAACAACTGAAAATTACAAGCCCGAATGGCTCGAGGTAATTATCCTTTCCTATGCCTCATAACAAACTCCTTCCCCCCGCCCCCCCTTTCCCGCAAACCACAAATTTAACCTCAAACCTCCCAGCTTGAAAAAGCTCTCGGCACCCGTCCCCTTCTCGTAGGCGATTCCGCCAACATCGAAGCACAATTCAACAGCCTCGTCACCGCGCTCAACACCCAAAGACCTCCTCCCGACACCTCCATCCACACGCGCGATACCTCCGCCGACGGTATTCCAATCCGTATCTACACACCACCAGACACATCCCAAAACGGCGAACTTCCTCTCGGAGTCTATTTTCACGGCGGTGGATATTGTGTGGGCAATCTCGATTCCGAGGATATGTGGTGTCGCTATATCGCAAAGAGCGTGCCATGTGTGATTGTAAGTGTGCAGTATAGATTGGGTCCCGTATTCAAGATTCCGGTTATGTTGGAGGATAGCGTGAGGGCTTTTGAATGGGTATGTATATCACATTACATTACATTACATCTCTCCTCTCCTCCCCTCATCATCTCTCAGCTCCGTCTCTGAAATCCGACTTACACCTCCAATAGGCCTTTAAACATGCTTCGGAACTCAACTCCTCCCCGTCCAAACTCTTCACCATTGGCGGTTCCGCCGGCGGCGGCCTCGCTCTCACCGTCGCCCACGATCTCATCGCCAAGGGTAAAGGCTCACAAATCAAAGGAATCGTCGCTATGGTTCCCGTCGCCGCACATCCATCGTCCATCCCCGCATCTTATGAGAATTACTATCGTTCCTACGAGGAGAATGCGCACGATGTACCGGTTATCGATGCGGATACGATGGATACGTTTTTTGGGGCTGTGGGGGCGGATCCGCAGGATCCGAGAGTTTGTATGTAGTATTTCTTTTTGGATTTTCATTTGTAGTTTCGGGGGTTGGGATGTTTTTGTTTGATGTTCTTGATTCGAGGAGGTGCGCTAATATATATTCTGTGTGGGGTTTAGTTGTGACGCTTTCGAAACATTTGGATGAGTTCCCTCCGACTTATATTGCGACGTGTGGAAAAGATCCTTTGCGGGATGATGGTAAGGTGTTGGAAATGCTATTGAAGGAGAAGGGCATCAAGACCAAGAGTGATTATTATGAGGGGGTGCCGCATTATTTTTGGCTTTTTCCCGGTATCAAGGGTGGAGATGAATTTTTGGATAATGTCAGTAAAGGGGTGAAGTTCGTTTTGGGGATTTAAGTCGTGAGATGTTCTATCTGCTGAAGGGTTTGCACTTGTTCACGGAGTATTTGTTTGATGGTGGTAGTAGCTAATATTGTGTTAATATTTGAATTTTGTCTAATTTCCAAGCATTGACAAGGAAATCCACAAGACTAAATCGTGCAAAGAAATCTATATAAATTTGTTTATCATCTAGATGTAGCATTTCGAGAGATAAGAGGTATTTGAATTATGCCCAAACGCCAGCGCCCACGCATTCACAAATCCAATTGCATGCGATTCTTCTAACAACAAAATACCAATCCCAATCCAGGATTCAAGAAGCATGGTTTTGTAAGCCGTTAGAGATTTTAGGCCAGACAACAGCTTTCTCCAAAGCTTGCAAAACATCCGCTTTCAGATCCTCTGCATCTTCAACTCCGCAACTGATACGGACTAAATCGTCGTAAACACCAATGGCCTCTCTGTGAGCTTTGGGAATACCGGCATGGGTCATACTGCTGGGAACTTCAACCAAACTCTCAACTCCTCCCAGACTCTCTGCCAATGTGAAGATGCTAGTCATTTGACAAAACTTTTCTGCTGCAGCGGAACCTCCCTTGATACGGAAGGAAAGCATACCGCCTCCCATACCATCCCTGTGTTGCTTGAGAGCAATTTTTCGGTGTGGGTGGGAATCCAAGCCAGGATAGTTGACGGCGATAACGTGTGGTGAAGCCTCCAATGCTTTTGCTACTAATGTTGCGTTAACCGTAGCTTCTCTGGCTCGGAGATGCAATGTCTTCAAGCCACGGTGAGCAAGCCAACTGTCGAATGCCGAAGGGATACAACCAATGGCATTTTGCAGGAATCCCAATCTTTCCTTCATAGCGTCGGAGTTGAAAGCGGCTACTCCCATCACTACATCGGAGTGACCATTGATGTATTTAGTAACAGAGTGAACAACGATATCAGCTCCGTGGTCCAATGGTTGTTGGACATATGGACTCATAAAGGTGTTATCAACCACAACCATTATGCCATGTTCGTGTGCTGCTGTAGCTACGGCTCTGATGTCCACAAGTCGCAGAGTTGGGTTGCTGGGAGTTTCAATCCAGATGAGTTTTGTCTCGGGGGTGATATGATCCACAACATCGACCTCAATCTCTGGTGTAAATGTAACCTTCACGCCATGAGCCTTAGCAACCTGGGTGAAATATCGGTGGGTTCCACCATAAACATCGGATACCGAAATGACATGCGAGCCGGCAGCTAAAGACTGCAAAATGGTGGCAGTAGTAGCAGAGCCAGAAGAGAAAGCTAGAGCATATTTGGCGTGTTCGAGAGCTGCGACAGCCTTTTCAAAGTTGTCACGATTGGGGTTGGAGCTTCTGCTGTATTCGTATGCGCCAACAGGTTTTCCGACGGCGGTTTGTGCAAATGTTGTCGAGAGGGAGATGGCTTCGATGACGGCACCGGTGACAGGATCATGAGGGGAACCAGCATGGACTGCTAGAGTACCAAATCGATGAACTGGAGAAGGGGCTCGTGGAGGAGTTTCAATGGGATGATCGAAGTTTGGGACCGTCATTTTGGAGGGGTAATGCGGGGTGATGAGTTTATTTGTCGTTTTCGATTTCGATTTCCTCTTTTCTGAATAATTTTACGCAACAAAAGATAGAAAGAAATTTGACAGTAGACGAATCTGGTGGGAAAATTTAGCAAATAAAAATTGCGGAGAAGTACTAATTAAATAGTTTTTCCTTTTAGTGTACTAGGAAGTACGTACTCGGTTGAAGCGTCGAAGAAGAAAATATGTAATAAGTGAATCTTGGTAAATGGATCAAATTGGTAATAATGTAAGAAGGATGAATTACGTGACGAGAGCTAAACCTTAATTTGTAAGGAACAAAGGCGGTAAATATAGATACTTTTTATATATTATACCTTGGTAGGTATTGAATCAGAGGCTAATAAAGCACGCAATTCATCCAGGTGAGAAGAAGGAATGTTCAAAGTGTTCGCCAAATATCTAACGTTAGGTAAGAAAAGGACAGGAAGGTTCTTTTGGCTGCTTATGTGCAGATTCAAGAATGAAAGGGATATAGATATGTAATATGAAGACAAGACATCATGACAAATCGATGTTGTACTTCGCATAGAACCGCTAGCTATTGTCAATCTTGTTGGTGGTGCTGTTACCAGTATACACACCTCTTAGGTTATTGGAACCCTAATTAGGGAGGTCGATGAGGTTATTACGTAGTCGAACGAAAGTACTCGAGTAGACATAAGGGCTGGATGGATGTTGTAGTTTGAAGATATAAAGATGCGTTGTGAATGGGATGTAACAGGTGACGGATTGAAGTCGTTTGTGATGATTACTATAGTAGAGTGAGTAGGTATACAGAGGAGAGAGAATATAGAATAAAATGGGAGAGACCGACTGGGTAGTTTTAGTAATCTCTGAGGTGTTGTGTTATCATTGCTCGACTGCTGTCTACGGATTATCAAATAGTGTTAAACATCACATTGTTGTGAGTGTATTTAATAAAAGCACACCGGATCCCACATAATGCCACCCCCACCTGCACCTACTCTGTACATAGAAATTGTCGGAAACTTTTCTATCCAGGAGAAGGCTGAGATGCTGACTAACTTATCTCCATCGACAACCAATCAGATCGCTCATAACTGATCGAACAAGCCAGATGCAGCAGGGGTAATTACCCTCAAGTCTTGATGTTCCGAAGCCCCGATACATAATAAGCACTTAAACCAATGTTGGTGCGCTCGATGGTAAACAATCGATGCAAATCGGAACACCAAGGGATGAAATTTCGATATCTATCATCCACTCATACTTTGGACCAATATCCCTCCAACTCCCACCAAACAAAGATTTGCACTTATATCCATTGACTGAAATGAACTACGACCATCCGCTTTCAATATGAACATTTGTCGAAATAGTCAATCTGCTCGCCACCCCTGATAGCTTACAACTTGCCTATTAGTCTTTCAACACACAGAAGCACAAGATGCCACCAAGACGATCGCATAAGAAATCTAAGGCCGGCTGTCAAAGATGCAAGCACAGGAAAATCAAAGTAATCAACCATACTTATTGGGACCCAGAGCCAGTCATGAGCACGTGCTAATTTTCAATTAGTGCGACGAAAAACATCCTTTGTGTGGAAATTGTAAAAAGCATGGTTCGTATATCTTCACCGAAGGGTAAAATACATGTTGACAATGGCCATCAGGCGTTTCCTGTGATTTCGGAGATATGCCCTCATCACCTGATTCACCAGCTTTCCCCCCTCCAACGCTGGCCCATCAAAGTTCCGAAGGCTCGGTCAACCATGCCTCATCACCGGCGTCTACCACTTCTTCACTAACGCCCTTCTACCGGTCTCCTTCAATGACAGTCAGAGCTCACGGTAACTCAATACATGATCGATCACTTGAGCTCAGGCTAATGCATCATTATACTGCAACGACTTCGAAAACTCTTTCTAATGATGAAAGTCAGGACGTTGCCTGGTCTGTGGACGTACCAGCACTCGCTTATGACTCCCCATATCTAATGGATGCTATTCTTGCCGTTTCTGCTCTACACTTACGTATATTACAGCCCGAAGATCGAAGTCTTGCACGTGCATCACATAGTTATATGGCATCGGCGCTTGCTCAATATTCTTCTCTTTTGAGCCAGGGCCCATCTCAAAGCAATGCAGAAGCACTTTTCTGTACAGCTGCTCTCATCGCTTTCCAAGCATCAGCATCTCGTTGCGTCGAGAATGGAATTGATGGGGATTCTGACAGTGGTTACGTCTTACCACTCGCTTGGTTCCATTCTTTCCAGGGAGTTAAGACAATCGTTATAACTTCCTGGCATTGGTTACGAAACTCGGCTAAAATATTTCCAATTATCAATGGACAGCCTCCATTAATACTAGATTTTGATCCCGAGCGCCGAGGGTTCTTTGCTTTTTTACTCGAAGGTATTGACCATGGATCGAACTCGGAGGATACTGCCATAGATGCAGATACAAAGCAGGCATACGAACATGCTGTTGCCATGCTCAACTGGTCTCATCAAAAACCAGAGCGAGCTCGCATTCTCAGTTTCGCGGCCACCGTAACACGTCGTTATATTGACCTATTAAAGAGACAGGATCCTCGTGCTTTGGTCATTGTGTCGTGTTTTTTCGCTATGACACGTATTGTTGATGATATCTGGTGGCTTCAAGGTGTTGCCAAAAGAGAAGTGACAGGAATTTTTAGTTTATTACCGGAAGAGTGGTGGCCAAAGATGGACTGGCCAATGCGAATTGCATATTTTGAGGGAAGCTTAGATGAGGATACATGGGGTTCTTGTTGGCATATAGAAGGGACGCCAAAGCGGGAAGAAGGATTTAACGGGAATCTCATCTCTCACATCGACATGCTGGCTAAAATAATGAATGCTGCACCACCACCAGACTAAAAGCCAAATTTTCGCAACTTCTAAAAATCGAGAATATCGGAAATACGATATGCTTCTAAATATCGTGGAGTTTTGGGGCCGTTGGCGTATTGGGAAATAGCCAGCGACGGGAAAAAGCATCTTTGAAACACAAGCCCTTTTGGGGTACTGAATGCAATTATGACACAGTTGTACGGCCTAGAAACACAGTCGGAATTTTATGGTAAATGTATAGTAGGAATGAACGGCCGTTCGGGCACGATTTGAGGATTTTAATATGTAATACTAAATTCAGATTTACGTATATTAAGCGCAATAGATGCTTCTATTAATACATACACGCGCATAACTCTCTTATCCCCCTCTCAAATGATCTTTGAGTCTCGCCAGACGAAGCTCCAACTTATAGGCGTTCCCGTGCATTGCCTCAGCTAGAAACCTCGCTCATCTGTTCCACTTCTTCGCTTCACCGATATTCAACCACAACATATTTATATTTTGGATTTCGCATTGAATGCAGAGCTTCGCCTGTCTTCTTGACATGCATGTATACAAATATCTACACTTCATAAAAGCAAAGCGTAACTTTTCATCAATCTACCGGTATCTGATTCTCATCGACCGAGGCAAAAAGCAACAATCCCCAATGCATGACGTGACATTTTCCATCATCCATAAACGTGACCATGACGTTCCCCTATCCCACACCGGATCCTCGGTTCCTGTGCGCGGAGTCTTTCAGCGCTCGAGGCTCGATCGAATCTTCGGCGTTATCCCCACTACCAAGACATTTAACCATCATGATTCTAAGTTTTAGCCGCAATATAGTCCATAACTCGTTTGTGTCGTGAGGCTTGATTCTCTGTGGCTGTATAATACCTTGAATACGTATTTGTTAGTCAGGGAAGAGGTGGTTTTTGTGCTGGATGAGTGATGCTTGCTGGGATTGGGATGAGGGAGGGGGTTTTAAGTTTTGCGGCTGGGTGCCGGATTGTATATAGGATCTGGGATGGATGGGAATTGAGGGGTCTTGCTGGGCTGCGCATGGATTCTTCCTTTTAAGCTTTTTGGTACTGTGGTGCGTGGATAAGTCCTAGGAAATCTAGGGGTATTCAGGATTACAGTATTGTAAACAAGTATATGCATGTGTAAGTCATAACAAGCCAGCCAAAAAAAGCAGGAATTTAACAAGTTGATCCAAGGACCTAGGTATGGATGATAAATTTTGAGATGTACGTCGTACGTACGCTGAGATCAGATCAGATCAGATCTGGATATTAAAGTGGGTTGGATGGGAACTTGGAGGCGTGGAGGAATGGGTAGTATGTATATAAATAAGTAGTGTATACCTCTTCTCTTGCTGGTTTACTTTGATTTATTATATTTCATATTTAAATATATACTCATTTCCTCATTTTCGGCTACCTATCTATCTATACAATAACAAATTTAATATAACTTATAGCTTTCAATTATATATATACATACATCCATCACAATGGGACTCATCAGCAAAGTGATCCACGAAGTCGAGGGAAAGCACGAGCACGTACATGTTCGTTACCCCTCTCGTCTCGAAGAGTACTGAGTACTCCTGAATGCAAGCTAATATACGAATGGAACCAAGCTCCTCCCCCTCAGCAACATCATATGGGTGGTAATGGGGGACCTCAAGGAGGATATGGAGGTCAACAAGGCGGTTTTGGCGGACCAGGTGGTCCACAAGGAGGATACGGCGGTCCTAGTGGTGAACACCACGGAGGCGGACATCAAGGAGGTGGATTTGGTGGACCGGGTGGACATCAAGGTGGAGGTGGATTTGAAGGGGAGCACCAAGACGGACATCAAGGAGGTGGATTTGGTGGACCGGGTGGACACCAAGGCGGAGGACCAGGAGGAATCGGCGGTCCAGGTGGCCAACACCATGGTGGCGGAGGATTCGGAGGCGAGAGAGGTGGACATGGTGGTGGAGGACGTGGAGGACATGGCGGTTTGAAGTTAGAGAGAGATGAAGGGGGATTGTGATACCAATTTATGTTGTTTTTGTGACCCGTCTTTTGTATCGTAATGAATATATATGTGTATCTTGTCTTGGAGAACCGTGTACATTCTTGTGCTTGTTGTTGGGCCTTGACATTCTTGGAAATCGGAGGGTATAAATTAGGAGTTCTACATAGAACATAAATGTTGGAATGGGTAGATGTCTGTGTACAAAGCAATGAGATGAGGATAACATGTAGAAGAGATAGTAGTAAACCGTTGAAGCATTAATGTTCTTGGCTACTATGGCTTTCGATGGCCCAGCTCTGTGTGTGCATGTCTAAGTGGAAAGATGAATTGAGATGATAGTAGTATCTTGATTCTTGATATTATAATATCTGAATGAAATCGCATAGATTAAGTTCGACCAATCAAAGATAATCATGAATTTTGATGAATTGGAGTAAACAATCATGGACACGTTATTGGTGCCCTTCATATAATAGATCCTCTAATGACCATAATGCGCTGGAAAAACATAGAACATAGGACTACCACCGAAGTGGAAAAGCAGCAAAGCAGCTTTCAAGTATGTTACGCCTGCAATGCCTGTATATCTCGTCTTCCCATCCCAAAACTCCATATCGCTAAACTCAAACAATGCATCTATCTATAGCATTCCTGAAAAAAGTTCCCACCCCTAGAAATCCCTAAGAACCATAGCCAATACCCCTAACCGATTGATTATCTTCTGGACTTGGCCATAGCTGCAAGTCGTGCTCGCTTTTCAGCTTTCTCCTTCTTGAGTCTATTCTCTTCGGCAAGAGCTTCAGCATCCTCCTTCCTTGCAATAGCAGCAGCCATTTCTTCTTCTTCATCGACTTCAAACGTGGCTGCTTCCATATCAGAAGATACATCAGATGCATAGTCATCCTCCTCAACTTCACCCTCCATATCATCTTCGTCCTCATCTTCATCAGTAGCATAGTAGCGATCGAGGTTCTTTCTACCATTTTTATATCGGTCATTGCTGCTACGAGCGGAATATGAAGGTGCACTTGGCTTGTTAGCAGTTGGACCGCCACCTCCTGGTCTTGGGCGAGCAGTCCCAGTATAGCCAGTCGTTGCTGTTGCAGCTTTTTTGACTTTCTTTTCAACAGCTGGTGGCGGAGCCTTGGCACCAACAGACTTCGTACCATTTGTGCCACTCTGTCCATTCCGAACGGGAACCTGGCCAGGTCTTTGAAATTTGGAGTTTGGTTCCAGCCCCTTTTGAATGGTCTTCCCCTTTTGGGTCCTTAGTTTATCCGACTCTCGCTTGGATGGTGCTTTCTCTATGCGTTTGTGTTGAATCTTTCCGACCTGACCCAAAGAAGCCTGTGCAGCCTTTCCCCGTGCCAAAATCTCCGCATATGAACCTTTCTTAGGGGGTTTTGATGATTCAGTGGAAGATGGAGGTGGTGTTGGCTGGCCATTTTTGAATGTGGTGTTGGCGGTATTAGCCGAGCTCGGAGTTGGTCTTTGTTGTTTGGTGTCTTTCGTGTCGATCTTCATTCTGCCCATATTTGTATCAACAGCTGTAGGACGATGCGCTTGGATGATTGGTCTCGATATAGTAGCAGTATTTGGCCTTTGAAGTTTGTCAACCGGCTTCCTTAAATCATCGTTTGCTTTTCGCTTTGGTGGGAGAGTGGCGGTGGGCATCGTCATCGTTGAATCTGGACTTGGGCCCCCCGAAATCTGGGCGAGAAGATCACCGATCTTGATCAAGTCAGTATAATGATTATCTAGAGTGTGAGTAAATGCGCAAAGCAGACGTACCGGCATTTTGAATGATGTGCTTGTGATACACTGAAAATTTGAAAGAATGAATCAGAAGATGATGGATGAACAACTCAAACGCAGATCGCGTGGATTTCCGACTTCTTGTAGTGCATCAGCACATGAAAATTGATATGTATGGTGCTAGCAGCAGGAATAAGATTAGAAAGCGCCAGATAACAAATGACTGCGCCTTCAGATAAAATTGTTGTATTTGTGTTATTCCTTTGAGTTGTTGTTGAGGCAATTTGAAAAGCAAACGGGCAGACAATCGCAAGGATTTAAGTCCATTTCGTTATCACGTGCCTGACTTGACAGGAGTAGCTTAGCGCCACGCCGTTCGCCCACACAAGAAACTTTTTGATTTTAATCGAATCTGAGATCCACAATCGAATCTTTCACAAACTTCAAAACTCTCAGAACTTGAAATTTCAGTCTCCGTCTCTTGCGGTTAAATCGATTGATATACCTGTTCTTTAACGAAACAAATAAATGTAAGATCCTCCTCACGTTGAATACTTCGCAGTATTGTTTTGCGTACCAAGATCGTCTTTGAAATTGTTGACTGACAAGTTTTGCGCATAGCATTCAAAATGAAGTATCTCGCTGCATACCTCCTCCTCACCATCGGTGGAAAGGCTTCCCCTTCCGCTAAGGACATCACCACCGTTCTCGAGTCCGTTGGAATTGAGATCGACCAAGAGCGTCTCGATACTCTCATCAAGGAGCTTGACGGAAAGGACATCAACGAGGTCAGCACAATCGAGGGAAATGCGCACACATGTACAAATAACTGACGTGAAATCTAGTTGATCGCTGAGGGTTCCTCCAAGTTGGCATCCGTCCCATCTGGTGGTGCCGGTGCTGCCCCAGCTGCTGGTGGAGCTGCCGCTTCCGGTGGTGCCGCTGCTGAGGAGAAGGTTGAGGAGAAGGCTGAGGGTATGTTTTGCTATAGTCTCATTAATAGAAAAGGTACTAATTCAATGAATAGAGAAGGAGGAGTCCGACGAGGACATGGGTTTCGGTCTTTTCGATTAAGCAGTCAATTGACTTCCCCACGTACTCGACGCTCTCGACTTACCGGAACATCATTTCGAGATTTCTGGGAGAAATCGTGCGGGCTTCGCCCATTATTTGCACACCATTTGGGATGGATTGTATCTCGCAAAGAATCCCATGACAAGCATATATTCATGCAAAATAGAGCAATAAAGACGTGATTCTTCAAACAACAGCAGCATTTTTAGCAGTATAAATAGTTACATGGTGTGATGTGTTGTGATTTGCCGTCATTTATTAATATGAAATGTAAATGTAAATACTCTCGTTGAACATCTGTAGTTGATTGCTTGTCAACATATACTGCAACAAAGTCTTGACTTGTGAAATCAAGGTTATCTAGAAGCCGTACGAAAACCCCATATTATATCTACATAAAACCCAGAGGCCAATCAAGGCCACCCATAATCCTATTATCTACTATCTGACACCCCTCCAACACCCTTGCCATCCTTGATTTGATACGGTATCGATATTTGCATGGGAAAAGGACGAGGCTGAGAGGTCATCTGGGATATTTGCCCTATTTTAGCGCCGAAAAATAAGCGAGACCAAAATTTGCAAACTCTCTGGCACTTGGACTCAGCTGGCGGCGAACATCTTCTATACGACAACTCCATCCTTTCGACAACCTTTGAAAGAACCTAACCGCATAGATGGCCGACGAAGAATATGTGAGCAATTGATTAATTTTGTTTGGGATTTTTGAATCCACTTTATTCAGAAATGATGCAGGCGATTTGAAATGAAATGGAAGGCTAACAAATTTTCTCAATTCAATAGGATGCCCAAAAGGCTGCCGAGATCAAGGCAAAGAGAGCATTCCGCAAGTTTTCCTACCGTGGAATCGACCTCGACCAGTATGCCTACCTTCATAAATCCACAACATGAATATCAAAGGGGATCTCATAGTAGCTAACCCTATATTCTTCGAATAGACTCCTCGACCTCTCCTCCGACCAACTCCGCGATGTCGTCCACGCTCGTGCTCGCCGTAGGTTCAACCGTGGTTTGAAGCGCAAGCCTATGGGTCTCATCAAGAAGCTCCGCAAGGCCAAGCAAGAGGCTCAACCAAACGAGAAGCCTGATTTGGTCAAGACTCACTTGAGAGACATGATCGTCGTCCCAGAGATGATTGGCAGCGTTATCGGTATCTACTCCGGAAAGGAGTTCAACCAAGTCGAAATCAAGCCTGAGATGGTTGGTCACTACTTGGCCGAATTCTCTATCTCTTAGTAAGTTATTCCCTACTCTGTTCTTTGCGAAAGCATGAAGTTATTCGCATTGGAAGCATATACTAACTCCAAAACAGCCGCCCAGTCAAGCACGGAAGACCAGGTATCGGTGCTACCCACTCTTCCCGTTTCATTCCTCTCAAGTAAATCACCCGGATACATTTACGCTGTATCGTACTGGTTATCAAGGATGGATGGTTCACATATTTGCATGGGATATTATGGCACACAAGCCTGAGATACCAACCTGTTGTTTGACTACGGTCGGAAAACAGCTATAATAAATAGCGAGCAATGGGCAAATATGAAATTACGTCAAGAATATCAACCTTCTTCATTGCCTTGATGTGAAACATGTGAAATTCTCTTTCATTCTGACCGATCTTGGGCAGTTCCCATCTTTTCTATGGAGTCTTTTCTACAATCTCATGTTATTCTTTCAGTAGCCATTGCTGATATTTCACAAACTATGCCTGCAATAACCTTGTTTCGTCACATGGCATTGATCAACTGATTGGTAGGTGGCTGCATGCTTTCCTTATGATAATGCAGAAGTACCTTCACCTTGCAAATCAGATCGCAGTGGCTGAGAGTGATATGGGCAATAGCCTATGAGGTCTTGAAATGGTGGGAGATCCGCCAAAAGTGTCTGGCGGAAATCGTCCAAAGACGTCCCAGATTGCGCACCGATCCCTTGGAGATCATGCTGCCCATCCTGGGAGCATTGACGGACCAGGTTGTGAGAATCCTGATATCAGGAAGGGTGTACACGCTCGCCGGGTATGGAGATTTCCGTGACCGAAGGCTGGTCTCGAGATAACGTCGCAGGTTCGACCACCACACTGTCAGAAGATACATGAGGTTCAGTAGTGGCTCTTGGGGAATATTCCCTTAAACTATGTTTAGGCCTACACGAAGACTGTTAGAACGGCTATCTAAACACAATAATCAAAAGAATACCAGTAATCAGGTGGCATACCTTGCTCGGGCTTCGTCTCGCCTTCTATTTTTTACTGAAGCCATTTTCCTATCGCTAGTGCAAGTCACAAATAAGGTCTTTGAATTTGGATTGGGAACGGGAAAGAAATCGAAGAATGGTGAAGATGTGTAGATATAGGAGCGGAAGGGACAGCTATATACAATACTTGGTAGTTGTGTCCGGGCGTGATAGTCTCGGAACATAACGTACCCATTTTCACTATATCGAGAAAAGACAACATATCTGGAAAGCCTCAAGACTGACATTTGACGTAGATGTTCCAGATCTATTGCTCTCATGCAGTCTAAACTACAATTCACAGAATCTGTGCTACTCAGGGCAGAATATTCATTGCCTTAACCCTCAATTTTTCAGCTATTCAGTGTTATGATCCTGTTTGTTGTGGCTTCAGCCAATGATGTGTTTGGGTGAACACCTTAAGAATTTCCAGCGTCACTACGTTTCTGACCTACCTAGGAGACTAATCTATATTTTCGCATTCTGAATTGATGATCTAGTGGAAATTTCCGGGCAAGGTTGCATTTGACTCGCAGCAAAAGCGTTGAGTTTTGAAATTTGGTATGCTCTTTCATTGGTTACTCATGAGCTGCGGCATCATTTATCAGCCGCTATTGATTGTCCTCTTTCTGGTTGGGTTGTGTTCTTTTGTCCAAAGTGATAACTGAAGATAATTCGCTGTTCAATGTTGTTCTCGGTTATAAGAATCCTTGCTCAACAGTCCCGGGCAATTAAGTTCTCACCCTTGTTAGATGTCGCGTTGGAAGCTGCTTATGCGAGCTGTGTTTGCATAGTGATCATTGGCCATTGTCCTTTTGTTCACGCTGTATCAGATAGTGTGCATACCGATACCCCTGAAGCTATTAATAGGTAGGTGTAAGTATGTAACGTTCTGACAGACTCCCATTGGCGATTGCTCTATTGTTCTATTACCCGCCCACTCACCGAATGCACAGTCGGCAGACGGTGCTATCGTGCTCCCACCATCGGCTAGCTAAAGACACCACTGGGCAATACCTAAGCAAGCTTCCACATGCTTTTTTAACGACCCAGTGAAACTTTCCCATGTACTTCATCCTTTCGAGCATTGATATGGTAGCATTCAGCTTTGTGAGTTATCTATACAAGAAGTCAATTTCCCCTCGCATGTTTGATCATAGCCGTACGGACCTATATTGAACACACCATTTTCTCTTACTCATGGCTTCGAGCATATCGCAAGAACTGGACCCTTACTTCCTTAGAGTTCCTTATGATAAGAGATGGGATCTCTTTTAGCCCACAGTACGTTCCCTATACGTCGATGACAATCGTAACGCAACAGAAGTCGCTAGAATAATGAAAGAAGACTACAAATTCCCGGCTCAGTAAGTGATGACTACTGGCCATGAATGAGCTAGGGACTTCATACTGACTATTGATCCACAGCGAACACCAGTACAAGTACCATCTGAAGGAATAGAAGTTGACAAAGTCCGTCTCTGAAGAAAAAAAGGAAGCTGCTGTCACTGCCCTCGGAAACGCGTCCGGGACGATAGCACATCTACTACTGTCATTAAATAGAAAGGAGGCGAGATGGACAAGAAACGACATCGTCAACACATAGTTGAGCTAGAGAGGACGCACAAAAAAGATATGGCAGTACTATACTCAGGCGGAAATTCGTAATATCTAACACATCAGCTATATTAATCATTCATTACTGACACTGTTGCTAGGTTCATACGTTGGAACTTGCCATATCGTGCATTCTCGTCGTCTGCATCTGCAGTAGCTAATCAACATCCCCTCACTGGACAACAGACCCGACGCCAAGCGATATCTCTGTAGTTAGTCCAACTGCCAATAGGACCGGGGGCAGTCCGTTCATCCATGAACCATCTCGATGCGCCGGGGTCAGGGCTAATCTAGGCATTCAACTAATCCAACAGATTGTTCTATTGTATACCCACTTGAGCTCCTCTGATTCAGGACTACATAATGCTATGCTCAAACTTAACTGTCTTCAAAAGTGGAAGCTTTTCAATACATCGCTGTTTCTGGTTGTCCTCGTTAGTGGCAAGGGATGCAGTGAACCAGAGGTTTGTTATCGCACACAATGCCCAATTACTGGCGTCGAATAAACGCTAAGACATATAATAATTGGACCCGAAGCTGGTAAAAGTAATGGTTTAATGCAAAGGGATGAAGTTGAGAAGATTGATGTAATTTCATTAGAATGACGGGGGCGCGCAATGAGTCCTTTCTGTTGAATATGGCATTTTGCTCATAATGCTGACATATACTTTGTAGATACGAATTCCTGAATTTCTCATCGCTTTCACTCAATACCACCCTCTGCACTTAGCCCACTCTTCCGATTTTTGTTCGGTATCATGTAATCCTTCTCTCTACGCTCTTTGTGACTTTCCCAGAAATCCCAATCCTCATCATGCAGTCGCGTCTGTTCCTTTTCCAATTTTCTCTTCCTTTTCCTTTGCCTTGACCCTTTCAACTTGCTTATTTTTCCAAAGTCCTGTTCGGTCTCGAGAATTCCGTCGATGGCTTTGTTGACATGGTCGTATATACCAGTGTAAATATGTGATAGTTTTCCCCGATATAATTGAAGAGATGACGAATACGGATGCTCCAAGCAATAATGAGTGCAAGCGTTATGAGGGCAGAGGATGTCGGGACTGTTAGTGTGGTATTCTGTTAATTCTATCTTCTGGAACGAATGGGGGAAATTTTTCATACTTGCGATTACGCCTACAGTGCGAAGAGGAAGGTTATCACCACCACCCCATTCCCTGATGTGGTGTTAGCCTATGATATGGCAAAAGCATGGGCTGAGGGAGAGAAGAACCTACCGGACGTTCATACCAAAAAGGCCTGTGAAGAAACTCAATGGCAGCTAATGGCAAGAGGTTAGTTCAGAGATTATGGATATTATTGTAGATAGCATACAAAGATGACTGTGAAGACCTATTTTCGACACAAATTAACTCAGCTCATCACGAGTATAAAGATAAACCCACTGTGAATATCATAACAGATCTGCTCTGCGCACTGGCAAGATCAGCCTGGTATCTTGCCAGACGTACCTCATCCACCTGTATCAATAATTAGTACCTTTGATTAGATAGCCGCGGTATCCTACCTACCTGCGCTTGTCTCTGTATCATACCAAGCAGCTTGTCAAACTGTATTATCTTAGCGATTGTTCTTCAATAAAAGAGGAGCAGCAGTACATCATCTCTAGTACTCTTTGCGTTTTCCGTCATTTTTTCTACGTGCTGAGTATATTCCTCGAGATACTCCTCCGCATTCCTCAAGAACATCAGCCCATTCGTAGTCAAGTTTCGCTTCGCGTAAACATCTGACATGATTCTAATCTCTGACATTTGACTGTTGAACAAGGTCTTCAAAGTGTTCAGCTCATCTTCGATATCTCGGAGTTCCAGGAGAGCAGACGTGTTTTCACGATTTTGCTCCTCCGCGATCTTCCCCTCAAGTGCATGCTTAGCACGAATAGAGCTGGTTCTAAGGTCGCCATTGTCATCTGCTTTGGCCCGGAAGCCTCGTGCACGGAAATCTTTGAAGGATGTTGTCATTTTCTCTGTCTAATTGCCTAATTAGAGATAGGAGAAGAAAGTCATTCGCGAGGAGACTTACCAGAATACTGATTGCCTCTTCAAATATTCGGAAGACTTCCAAGTTGGGATGCGAAGTTCGTTCGAATAAGATAGTGACTGCATGAAGGGCGACCACTGAAGCATTCGGGGGTCAGTAATTACCCAATCATAAACAATAATCACCAAGGCAAGTAGCGAGGGAGATGAAGCTGCTTAAATCAAAAAGAGCTTGAGAGATATCAAATTTTATACAAAATCAGACTTCAGGGAAAGTTAAAACGGAAGAAAAATTGCTCACGGGCTGCAAGGTCATACGCATTTTCACAGCGAGAAGTAAGATCAGCGTTGACTTCATTAAAAATGCTGTCTCGGAGGTCGGCTTGTTGAAATAGCCTTCCATCCGTTTTCAGTCCAGCTCTCTAGGTTGAAATTAGCAAAATGCTTGATACGTCAATGAACTTAGTGTGAAAGTATCTTACTCCCGAGAAGAAAGTAACAACAGACCCTAATCGCCATATTTAGTCTTTGAAGTTTTGCCCATCAAATGTACATACCATCAATAACCCACAACCAGAGCTGATCAACCATAAGAACATTGCCATCTAGAACGTCATCATCAGACATTGGATCGCTATCGCTTAGGTTGTCCGAATCGACACTGTTTTCATCGACTGCATCTTGCTCATCATTTCCCTGGCCTGGTCTCCTCATTCGAGCTATATTGCTCTGTCCGTCAGCAGTGTTATTTGTTGTAACGTCTGACTTAGTATGTCGCTCTTTAGTCATCTTGTATAGCATCTGATCATCATCTCTCGCCCTTGTATCGAGAAGACTTGGATATCCAAATTGATCTAGTGTACGTCGAGCATTTATTGGAGGGCCGTGTCCCAGATACTGCCAGAGGACTTGAATCTCTTGCGAGTCAAGCTTTGACACTTGTTGAGGAACAGGTCTCGATCGGCCTTGCTTGATTCGTTGTTTTACGAAAGCTCTCCTTTTTACAAGAACCTTATAGGTATCAAAGTGAAGATAAGGCAAGTATAAGCACATTTAAACTTGATTTATGTCGACAGAACCAATGCCAATTTTAGGAGATGTTAATGGTGACACTAATTGAAAGGTGCGTAAGTAGATGTGTGTAGCATAGAAGAATAGACTTACCACTTTCTAAACCAAAAAAATAACAATGAGGCTTCAAGAAACAAGCATGATGATGTTCTTGATGCCTTCCACGTACTTGTTTCGAATGCCAGTGCTCGTGATCTAACATTTTACTGTGGACATCTGGCCCCTTTTCGTTCGATATCCTTTCAAGAACATCCTTTTGAGTCAGTAGAAAAAGACAATCTGGGAAATTTAGAGCTTACTGGGACCCAGGTGGGATTGTTGAACGGTACGTGTATCCATGTAAGCTTGAGGTTTGAGAAATTAGGATTCAGTAAAGGAGGCACGCTGGGAGTGAGAACAATTCTACTTTCTTCACGTCCTACGGATGATGAGGATTTATCTTGATGAATATCGGCACGCGACGGACTCAAGAAAGAACCTTGAACCGCCAGAGATTCGCTGTGCCTCCGGAGAAGCCCGGGCTCAGTCGCAGTTTCTTTGTTCTCGGTTCGCGACTTTCGAATGGATGGCTGTGAGCCCTGCTCAATGCTCAACTCATGGTCAAGAGATGGTTTGGCCTGTTTGAACGATATACGAGATGTGGCATTGGCAACATCAGGATCGCTTGAGCTTGATTGCACGGTTGGGGATGGATCAAGCAGTTTTGTAGGTGCCCCTACTTCTTCTGGAACCATACTTGTATTGTCATCCACATCGGAGGTCATTATCTGTATCAGTGATCAGCCTCATTGCACCGATTAGGGTAAAAGTGAGATTTACCAAAGCAGGCGGAGATGGAAATGATCCTGTTTTTCTACTCTCAGTGACATCTGGCGATCCTTTGGCTTTGATCTTTGGCGCTCGTCGACTCTGGGGAGAAGGGCTTGAAGCTTTCTTAAAAGGGTTCAATTTCGATGTTGATTTAGAAATTAATGCATGACCTTTCATCTTGGCATCAGAAGTGATCTTATTCATAGGCAAATATGGAGCACGGGTATTGTGACGTAAATATTGTCCGGCCACTGGGGCAGCTGATACTTCTTCCCTTCGTTCCTTCAAAAGCTTGATCGGACCATCTCGTCTAAAATCGTGCAGAGATCTGTTTGTTGACCAGACTCTGATTGGGGGCTCGTTGGTTCGGATTGTAGCAGAGCCTTCATAAAAGCCATTGATCTCCACCTCCACTCTGCCCTCGAGATTTAGTTCAAAATGTGTGAGTTTACTCAATTTACAAGCCTGCTTGACCATAGAGGCTAGCGCCGCCAAATAGGCTTCTTTAGTATGCTCGTTTGCAGAGCCGAACGCGGCACACTTTGTATGAGTGCTCACCAATGGATATACACTCTCGTTACGCAGATTAAGTATTGCGGATTTAATAGATGTGATAGGTGCATGAAAAGGTTTACCTTGATCTGGACAGGTGATATTCGAGTCTATTGTCTCGAAAAAGGTCCACACTTTAAGTTCCGTGGCTAGAGCTTTGAAGTCTTTCCCGATTTGCTTCAGAGAATAGTGATCTAGCTCCAGCTGCCTTGTTATGGATATTGGGAGTTCCCGTGATAGACCCATGATCGTACGGATACTTCCAGAGAACCCTGGCTGCGATAAATAACTTGAGCCTCTGTGTGGTGTTGCTATGATCGAGATTAGCTATATGAGTGGGTAAGCCCTTCATCCACTTTCTTTTTGGACATACCGAAAAAAGTGACACCATAACAATCATGAAGAATTGAATCTCCGCGTCTTCGAGCATCGGTTAGAGCTATTTTAAGCACTAGCCCCCCAGTACTGTGACAGACGAAAAAAAGGGGACGATTTTCCTTCTGTGTATATGTTAGGCAAGGGTTTATAGTAAATGCTCAGATGCAACAATTCGAGTTGCGGTATCGACCAATAACATGCTCTTCCTACCTCAATTGACCTTAGCTTCCTAATGCTATCCAAAAGCCTACTGGCCAATTGTTTCAATGTATCACCGTCTTTCGGGTACCCATGGTCATATAAAAGAACGCGAGCCATGCTCAGATCCTTGCGACTACGAATATCGCGGAAAATCCACGCAGGTTTCCTTTTATGAAAATGCTCCATCAAGTAAGCTGGTGATATAGGAGTCATTCTCATAAATGCCGATTTCACCTCGCTATCATTATCAAGTGGAAAGAGCCCATCCTGTGCGAATTTAGGTTCAGGCATCCATGTTATCTCTGGATGTCCTTCAATAGCAGGAATTCCGATTATGCTGTCATTCTATCAGTCATACACATTTATTGGGAGCAGAGAATGTTCTTACTCGACTTCTGTAGTTCTTGGATTCTGTCCGAGAGAGGGACTTCCTTTGAAAGGTAATTCATCTATTTTGGATTTTGGGCGGCCATTGAGTTTAGCAGGCTCACTCTGTAATGTTTCAGTGCTTTTATGTGGCACGAAATTCTGTGATTGAACCTCAACATCGGCAGTCGAAGTTCTGGTAGAGGGAGAGGTGTTGAGCGATCTCAACTCAACCATTGAGATGTCCGAATTCCTATGCCGATCACTTCCACCATAAATCTCCATTTTTGACGCACGTAGAGATGCAAAGAAACCATGTACAAAGCAATATAGCGACCTGCTCCAATTGATTGATCGATTTTTGATCAGGTATGAATTGTAATTGTAGAGCAATGGTGAGGAAAAGAAGTCTTCCGATCATTTACTCATCTCATGAGCAGCCTCAATGTAAGCCCATCTTACCTAGGTATGTAACCATCTTCCAGGTTACGTACAATCTTGCGGCTCAGAGCCGCACAAGCAGATACTTGAAGAGGCGCTGATGGTATGTATGTAAGCCTTACATGCTTACTTACACAACAATGCAATAAAATCAACCAACCCATCTCAGTGGCGGCACTATTATGTATGTTTAAGCAAACACAGAAGGTACTTCGAACGCTTAGGTATCCCGAGACTTTGGGGGCCATACGTGATTGTGGCTGTTGTGGCTGCAGGTATTCATCTCATGCATGACCTCGGGAAGCTGACCAAGCTAAGATCCCGCAATAGGCGTTTGCGGTGACATTACTAATCTTCAAGAGTCCAATTGATGCAGAAGAATGTAAAATTATCATCTATTGGCATAGATGGGGCCGTGCACTCACCGGCCCAAATTCACATGTCCTCGACGAACAAAATGATGGATTTGAATTGCAAGTTGCAAAATACACTACTGAAGTATAAATGAAATTTATTTGAGCTAAGCTTGAACGGAGGGCAATTTCATTAATTGTCAAATCAGAACCGGGAAAACATAAATCACTTCCATTCTATACCAGACGACAATCATTGTAGGTTCAAATCTTCATCATTAGGTTCTATGTATCTCGTCCCACCGAAGGCATGCAAGCCAGCGTGATCGTTATGAGTAAATATTTATATGAATAAACAAGTTTTTCAACATCAAGTTGTACAAGTTTCTGGGGAATCTCCCGTCCAAATACCAACCCAAAACGCCGTAAGAAACCCAAGAAATTAACAGATATTTAACTACTTCTCTCTCGTAATTTCATCACTCGTAGATTCGGAAATCGGCTCTACACGAGTTGGTGCGCGAGTTCTCCTGGGGCTGTTATCAGAACGGAAATATTGGTGAATTTCCTGGCTCCAATCATCGTCGTATGTTGCAATATCCTCCTCATTCTTTCCCTTCTCAGTTTGCTTGAGTTCCCATTCTTGGCGCATCTCAAGAATCTTATCTCCGGCATCCAATTTGGGATCATAGTTCTTGCCTGCCTTCATCCATCTTTCCCATAAGGATAAATGTGCTGGATGAATGGCAATACCGTGGTATTCAGATTCCCTACCGGATCTAATATACTTCCATCTTCGTTCCTGTTCCTTGAGATCGAGACCGGTGGTATCTGGAAGGAAGACGGCGGTGAGGAGCATACCAGCAAGACCGAACCATGGGACAATGTAGAATTTTTGCTGGGTTGTGATGAAGTTGTAAAGGACCGATGCGAATAAGGCGCCCAATTTACCGACAGCTGCTGAAAATCCATGGGCGGAGGCGCGGATAGGTGTTGGGAAAACCTCTGCAGCGACAAGGAAAGTAACACTGTTTGGACCGAATTGGTTGAAGAAGGACGATAAGAAGTACATGGCCTGGAAAGACTTGATGCCCGCGATACTGGTGTAATGGGCGTAATGGAATGCTGGGATGACGAAAAGAATGAAATCCAAGGCAAATCCAACTTGTTGCATCCACTTTCGTCCATAGAGCTTGTTGTCGATAAGGAACGATGCGCAATAGTAACCAGCAAGAGATACTCCGACATTACACAAGTTCCATAACCACCCTTCCATAATGGAAGTTGAGCCTGGAGAGATGACCTTGATGAATTGAGATTGGAAGAGTTTGTTACCGTAAAAGAAGACATCGTTACAAAACCAAGCTCCGGCTGTAGCAACTAAGCGACCTGAGAAATGCTTGACTGTCAAGCTGAGAGACTCCTTGTCGTATCCGGTAACGTTTGTGGTCTTCTTGGCGATATCGAGTCCTTTGGAAATGAGAGGCATCTTGTACATGCGGTAGTAGACAAGCCAGAGAGTACCGACAGCGGGGATGGCGAATGAGACTCTGAAAAGCCATTGTGCTGAGACTTGGGAATAGGGTGGGTTTCCACTTCCGTGATGGAAGATGAGAAGCAAGAGGATCAGAATGGCTTGATTAAAGAATTGACCCCAACCTTGCATAAGGAAGGCCATGGTTACCTTGCGGCCACGATGAAGTCTGTCCATTTTGGTTGTTTGGCGATTGGATGCAGTGGCGCTTTCCATAGCAGCAGTGGCTGTCATTGGATATTCACCACCGACACCAATACCGTAGAAAAACAATGACCAGGCATAGCAAATAACCCAGCCATTCAGAGTGACACCCCAAGAGGCGATAAGCATGACCAGACCAAGAAACATGATGACAGCATCTTGAATCAAACCCCAACGACGGCCAATCTTGTCACCCAAGTATCCGACCAAGATTTGACCAACAATGATACCAATGATTTCCAAGTAAGTGACGGCATAAGTCCATTGCTCACTACAAACCTCGAAAGTTTTCCAGCATTTCGGCCAGACGGCTGAGAAGAGGGGTCCTAAGTTTCCGATAGAGAAGAGAACGTATCTGGAAATATAATTAGTGTTGGAATTATTGACCACGAAAGTTGACATACCCTTCAAGGCCCAAACCGGCACCAGGGAGAACAGCATTGCTGAAATACCAACTGACAGGACTGAGGGGGTCTTTTTTCATCATTGCCAAAATCTGCTTGACCTCTTTCTTTGCATCAGCTCCCTCAGTTCTAGTGATGAAGGAGATTTTATCTGTCAATTTGAGATCTGCCCAATAAACATGCTCTGCTGTGAAAATATCATCGGGGTAAAGGAATTCGTTGAAAACAGCTTCATCAGCTCCCAAATCGTATATCGATACATGGTCATCACCAGTTTCCGGACCATGAGGAAGACCAATGATCCCCATATTGGTAGGATTATGATGTTCATGGGCGTGAACAGGACTCGCCATTTTGAGAATTGGCGAGGGAAGCCTCAAAGGGTGAGAGATTTGAGGAAATTGACGATGGAGCCCTTATTGCTTGGGCAATGAAGGGGGAAATGAAGAAAGTTAACGATAGAAGAAGAGGAATCTTGAGAGAGCAAATGGGAGGAGATGGAATAAATAAGAGAATTAGATCATAACCTACCATTTTTTTTTCTCACTACGGTGGTCCATGTTCATGTACCAGGGAGGTACTAGATGGGTAGCATGAAAAAAATGGATAAAGTAGGAGTATTCCGAAGTGGGGCCATCCAACTTTCCGGCGGGGCAAAGTGGATTTTTCGAGCTCTGGGTGGAATTTTTGAAGAAACCGAGGAAGATCAATGTAACTTAGATGGGTTTAGTCACTCTGGTGGATTTACTTTTATCGGATCAAGTTGGCTTGTCTTTTTGGGTTCTGGTCGTTTCGTTGTTCAATTTATTGTATGGCTGGGACGGTAGTGGAACTCGATTGAATTTGCCACATATTCATCATTACTTGCCCAGGCAGGTACAATCATTCCAATCTGATCCGTCTAGACTGGAGGTGTGTTTGAAAGAATCTTTATGATCTTTTGGTACCCGAGTACACTTCATATAGTCACGTGCTAGACCAATCCAAAATGTTCAGATGAGATTGGACTAGGAACTGAACCGGGAATTACATCAAGAAAATGAAGGGGCATGGCATTTAGTTGGATTGTGATGCGAACATCAATTGGGCTAAGGACTTTGTTTGCTATTTGCTATCTAAAGATAAAACCATTGGAGAGTTGAGACGATTATTTTAGAACCGAGAATGAAAAATCAACACACCATCTGAGACCATCTGGTGCCATCTAGTACTAATAGGGGGTAGATAGCAACAGACTTTCTAGACAAATTGCCTTTACTCGTATAGCAAATTCAAATAATTTGGCCGTTCAGAATCCGCTTTAAGGTTATGGAGTGGCGTGTAACTAATATCATAACAGTTTCTTTTGGTTAGAGATGCAGCAACTAGTTGCTGGTCTAGATTTATACAGTAACTTTCGCTTGTAATTGGTAAGTTGCTTACCTAGATAGGTACAGTAGCTGAGAGTAGGTACTTCCCACAACCAGTTGGTTCGTCATAAATTCATGTCCCTCGGTCCGGTACGCCCATACCAGGGAAATTCCTCGAAATTTGTCGAGTTCTGTCATACCAAATACTAAGGTGCAATCGAATTCAAACTTGATAGATTTAAGTGTTTTGATGCTGTACTCAGTAGCTTATCATTGATCACATACGTATAACCTAGATAAAAAAAGGTATCAACTGTAATAATGAGTAATAGATCCGTCAGCAATTAAGGCCACATCCCCCACTCTAGTCTTGAGTTCAATATCCAAACCGGACAACACGGAACCAGCAACGACAGCCTTTTAAGGCTGTCTGCTTTGAGACATGACTGAGCAGCGAGAGCGTACGGTTACACTTCCTAAGTCTTCCTCGGATCTATTATCCAATACCCTGACTTGAAATCGATATTCATGGGGGGCCTCGTAGTAAATTATTGTCATGCTTCCTGTCAAAATTGGAAAACGGCATGTTTCTCCACTTACCTGCTGTGTACTATTATTCATACTGTGCCCATCCCCCACTGAGTAGAATCATAGACCATGTGCGGGTGCCCCAGATACTTAATTTATATTGTAGCTATCATTTTGCAAAGGTCTTTTGATATTGTGGATGGTCGTGTTCGTAATGTTTTTTCCCTTTTGAGCATTTCGATGAGTTTCAACTAGCGCAAACTTTCCAAGACGGCACATTTTCCATCGAAAGAATCTGTCAGATAAAACTCTTTTACTGTCTTGCATAAGAAGAACTTGGCGGTTTTCGACTCGAATGTAAATTTGGGCTCGCATTCAATCTCTTCTTGGTTCCCCTTCATATGTTGAAAGATGAGGTTGGAGTTAGCCAATCATGAAGCGAGAAAACAACACGTTCTCGCGTCTCAACTTTTCACAGGTTTCTCGGAATTTGGATTAAGCGTTGGCTCTAGCGGCCGGGTGGGGCAGGCTATAATCTGGATGAATGCATGTCCTGGGAATTTCGGTGAGGAGGCTGCAGTCCCTGCATCTACGGTAGCCGACTTTTTTCTTTTTCTTGCAATTTTGATATTTTCTGACAAACATCATTGATAAGAACCAGGAAATGGATCAACAATCTCCATCACTTAAATCGTATTGCTTATACACCACTCGGCTTAGGCATTCCTAGCCGTCGGCCAAATCTCGCTTCCACACCCGTCCCGACTGTTGTCTCCCACGTGCGTAGGCCTCGAGGTGGGAGACGTCCATCTCAAGCATATATTTTGCTCGTCTATCTGTCTCACAAGATATGAAGAAGGTGGAGGATGTCTGCCGTTGTATATTATACCCGCATGTCCCGACAGGGCGGCTCCTTCCTTTCATCCATGATTTGCGCCATTACTTCAGTGGCGTGAGCACATCTCGGGCGTGGCACGTTTTGGCATTCTTGGCGATGAATGGCTGACATCAAGCCATGCATAAGGCTGGCTGTAGAGGGTGTGCACGCCTATCGCAAGCAGTTGGCTCAACCCGGGGGTGTGTCCCTTCGATCGGCGTCAGCGAAATGAAGGATGAAATGAGCTCCTAGTGGAATGAGTAGTAATTTTAAATCCTTCGCACTTGATGAACTCGACGTTATTTTAAGGTGCCGTGCAAGCCGAGATATCATCGCATCTTATATGGTTCTGTATATCCATCTAACGTGTATGGGTACTTGCTAGTGATGCGCAACGCAATAGAGTACTGCATGCATTGTATTGCGTTGATTGTAGGTTGTACATATGCATTGTTTCAGTGCGCTACATTAGCTTGACGTATTGGCAGCTTATTCTCCGTAGGCTCATATTTGGGTTTTGTCCACATGCTTGGCAGTTGAGTGAGAGACGTCAATTATTATTTGACAAATCAGATCGTCGATATTGACGCATCATACTCATGTCAAGTGACGGATTTTCGCACTGAGTCCGCATAGTATTTTGTTCGGATATACCGAGTGATCGGCGACTTCGCCTAATAGTGCTATGCAATCCTTTTGTCTGCAGTTGAAGCAATCATGAGATCAGCCAAATCCGACCAGATATCTGTAAATTAGCGTCATTGTGATGGATGTGGCTGATGAGAGTTGCTTCAAGATCTTCATCTAAACTGCACTGGCAGAGCTTAATTCCTTATCGGTGGGTGTTGTTCTCACAGAACGACCTCTGGACTTTTGCAGTCTACGTCCGACAGTGCCCTTCTCCAAAAATGCGGAAGATTCCCCTCTCGCAGGAAAAGATGCGCAGAATTTGAAGACAGGTCGGATCAAAAATATGGAGAATGTAGAAACAGAAACATTGGCAATCTTGCTTTCTATCGAACTAAGCATACAATCCATATATTAACCGTGGGGATGAAAGAGTCTTCCAAACGATAGCAAGACATGTGTGATAAACCGTTCGAAAGCGGTGAAAGCGACCTGGCACAACTGTGAAATCATGAAGAAAAGCAAGTTACTCGGGTATTTATTCGTTGAGTTTTAAATAATTTTCCACCTGCAATGCGACAGTATCGCGATCGTATATCTGAAAGAGATTTTCGACATGGGCTAGGAATCTTCCTCGGATAAGGATCTGTCATCTCGTGATTGAAGCGGCCCATCTGCTGTTGGAAGTTTCGTAAGAGTGTTTCGAAGCGGTTCTACCGATTTGTCGTATATAACGCCGGGCATAAACTATTTTGATTGCCGACAATCTGCTCGCAGACGTGGGCTCGAATCTCAGGGTGAACTTGCTCTTTGAAATCAGTAATATCTCGATTAATTCGAGTATCAGCTCTTCATTCTTTGAATACTCATTGTATTTGCACTTACTAACGCTACTCCATCCTTCCTTTACTCCTTCTCCATCGCAGCGGTCTATACAACACAAGGATGGCACCTCAATGAGTCGAAAGAAACTACTCAAGTTTGAAGGTAAATCATAACGATAACAAACGTTCATATGGACCAGGAAATAAAAAAAAGCCTCTTCAATACATCCACTTGCTATCGTCGGATTCCCGTACCAAATACATTTGCGTTGCCCAACCATAATATCCATAGGCGAGAATTCTCATTGTAATCTATATGATATCGAACAACTGCATGACTAGCACATTAACCGACCAACGCGAGTGGTTTGAGGATTGTGGCTCAGTGGTTCAATTGCGGCTTCAGTCCGGACCCATGCATAGTCTTGTGTGTTAATTACTTTTATTGTATGGACATACGATATGGGGGACATCTTAGCGCCTGATCAGCGCTGGGTTACATCTTTTTTGATATTTTGATATCTTGGAGGCAGGTTTTGTTTGGTTCTTGAAGGCTTGTTTACTTGATTGGAGACTTCTTGCCGTTGATGTTGATGTTTATGAGTAGGGTTCCACTTATATGTTTTGTCGTCGCTTTTTTGGCCTTGAGATTCCTCTCTTTGAGTGGTGCATGGGTGTATAGTGAATAATATGGAAGAGCCTCTTGTTGTGTGATTCACTATAGGCTTGTTATCACTTAGACGAGCCGAATCCATTTTATTGTACCGCTGATGGTGTAGAGTGTGCTGAGAATAGTCTATGGGTTGGCTGGGGATATAGCATGTAGTTTGAAATTGGATGCTATTTTGGATTTTGACAAAATTGCTAGGTTTTGATAACAGACGATTGGATGGATTGGCGAAATCCTTCATAGCTGCCCTCTCTCTGTAGAATATCGATAAATGGCGTCGTCTAAGGAACACAAAATTGAACTATTGATGTCATAACTCTCTGTTAAAAATGGAGTCAGATTAGGTCCACGTTGACTTTGAGCTTAAGAGTAAGAGAACAAGTGGGTATAAGTGTTGAAATGGAACTGTGAGGCTATAAAATCGGAGGACATGATAGCAGAGCTATTGGTCGAGCACGGCTAGAGCTAACTTGGCCATGAATGTCTTCAAGAGAAAAATATATGTGTGCGCCGATGAGGTCTGACAGAATTGGATCTGTAAGAACCAGCTTTGAGATGCTAAGACGTAGGAGTGCAGATTTCGCTGCATTTTGGAAACGGAGAGCGGTTAAAACGAACTGAATCCGTCAACCACACTGATACCTATCTCAAAATGTGACAATATAAGTTGCCATCATTACAGAATATGATTTAGGCGAGCAGGAAAGATACTTGAGGACACCAATAAAAAGATCGCTCCGCAATGCTGTTAAATTGTCGAAAATTTATCATCAATGTTAAGAAATTTGATGAATATAACTTGAATGCAAATTTGATTATTCAGCCCTCTTTTCAACTTCTATAACAGCTCTTCTAACGCCATCTGACTCTTCCCTAACCTGGTTTACTAGAGCCCCACGAGCGGTGACATCTTCAATAAAATCTTCTATTGAACCGCCAACTCCGAAATACACCTTCTTGGCCCCTATCAACGCCGTCTTATTCGACCCTGTGCTTAAATCAAGTAACGTCATCAACGTTTCAGCAAAAGCCTTCAAAGCAACAGGAGAATAGATGGTTTCCGCTCCAATGATAATTGTGTTCTCGCATGATAGGCATAGCTTGTCAGTGACCAGCGAGACAAATTCTGGAGACCAAGCACCAGAGAAGAGTGATATATTGATGTTGCACGAAGTCAGCGCAGAGGTAAATTCAGAGATAAGTGCCTCGTCGATATCGAGTTCGCCTTCTGCCTCCCAAGACTCGGATTTTGTGATTTGTGCCCACGAAAGGAGAATATTGGGTAAAGTGACGAGCTGTAGAACTGTAGGATTGTAGTCTGCAAGTCCAAGATCCAGCCCGGATGTGGAAGAGGTTGTGTTTTCCAGGAACCATTGGAAGACGGCTAGAGATGGAAGAGCAGTTCCGCAACCAAGCTATTAGATTCGTTAAAATAATGTTTCGTGACAACTTAACTGTAATTAAGTCTCAACAAAAATAACACATACCTCTAAAACTCTCCTCCTCCCCTCCCCAACAATCGTCCTCCCACTAAGAACCTTAACCAAATCCACCGAGCTCTCCCAACTTTTAAACCCTCCTTCATAAACCCCAGTCTTCACATCATCATTCCCCAATCCCAAAAGCCCTTCCCCATTTCCCTCATCCTCAGCCATCAACTGCGCTCTAACATCCCATAACTCCCTTCTCGGTATTCCAATCTCCTTACCATCATCCAACTTAACAACCAGCGTAGAATAAGCAATCTGAGATGGCAACGTCTTTAGGAATTCCTCTAAAGTGTGATGAGTTGGAGGTAAAAGTGGTTGTCCTGCTACCGGAAATGCCCCGCTTGATTTTCGTGGTGCGAGGGTGCCGGTTTCTGCAGCTTGGGTGGAGACAGATGGAAGAGCATCTTGCGCTGTATCTATCTCTATATCATCGCCTGCAAATGAGAAGCTGAAGCCAGACATCTTGAGATCAGGGTCCAGAGTGACGTGGTTGCGGGAAAGAAAATCTTGTGTTGTTCAATAAAAAAATAGCCATGAAAATTGATTGGTATCACGTGTGTTGTATCATGACAGGCAATGCCCCGCACTTTTGGAGCAAGAGAAGTTGGAGTGACGATTGAAGAACAGTTCATTGCAAACTGTGCAAGTCGCAATCTGGCTACGCAATATTTTGGGTGCAGCATCTTTCCAAATTTGGTCAAGTTGGTTTCACGTAACGTAACGTATGGGGAACTCGGACATATGGGGAACTCGGACACTTTTTCAATTATTCTACACGCGATCTTGTTCTACGAGCCACACAATCCTCCAATTCCAATTCCGAATCACTTGAACTATTCTCTAGCTCTTCTTCTTCAATCTCTTCTTCTGATTCTTCAATTGGGCGTTTGCGTGGCCGTCCTCGTGGCTTTTTCTCCTTCGGTTTTTCCTCCGCCTTACGTACCATTTTCAATACTTCCTTAGTACTAAAGACAAATTGACCTTGTAATTTGACTCTTTTGCCTTTAGTTCTTTTCTTTCGAGTCTCAATTACCTCCTGAGCATCAGAGAGCTGTTTCCGAAGTAGGGCTATCTCAGCATTTTGAGATTCTACAAGCCTAGTCATTCTCTTGGCATATCGACGAGTTGGCGATGCAGGAGAACCACTGCTTGCTAGAGCTGTATTAAAGATCTGATTTGCTTGCCTTAGTTCTGTTCCATCTGGAGGAGAACTCCTGAGTATAGACAAGTCTAGGTCTTGATTGGGGGTTCTCATTTGTGGAGTAGAAGGTTGCTGGGAGGAGTTAAATGGTAATGAATCGAGTACTTTTCGTGGGGCAAAAGGTACTAAACCAGCTCCTCTCCAGCCAGCTTTAATATTAGAAGAATTCAATGCTTTTTTTCTAATATTTTGAAAGAGTTCTACCCATTCAGCTCTTTGGATTCGCTTTACACCAGCTCGAGAATATCGATCGACCTCTAAAGCATGATATCGTTTCATTGGCCCATACACCGCAATATCAAGTGGCTGAAGCAAGTGAGAGCAATGAGGAGGTAATATAAGTAAATCAATATCATTATCTATACAGAAAGCAATAAAGCTACCTGTAATATGGCTTGAATGGCCATCCATGATCAAAAGTCGAGGTCGGTCACCTGACACTTTCTTGGATTCTGGTTCGAAAACCCTTTTTAACCATTCTAATCCATGGCTATTTGAGGTCCATCCATTTGTACTAGTAGAGAACTGCCAGCTTTGAGGTGTGTCCTTTGGAATCCATGCAGAATTCGTATTCTGAGCCTTGAAAATGACCATAGGTGATAGAGCATTTCCAGCTGCATTGACACATTCAAATGCAGTTATCCATTCTTGCTTGCCAGCTGTAACTTTCCAATTCGATTTCTGAGTAGAATCGACTATAATGCGCGTACTTTGAGTACTTCCAACTCCAAATCCGGTTTCATCCATATTATACATATCATCTAATTCATACTTTCGCTCAATGAGACGCGTGCGAAACGCGTCAAACCAAGCCTGAATATTCTCCGGAGTTGCTTCTTTAGCCCGATTAGACTCTAATTGACGTGAATAGCATGTTTTAAGTTCTGGATGTCGTTTTTGGAATCTATAGATCCATTCGTGGCCTATAGGTGGAATTTCTGTCGAGGTAGGATTTCGAGATGACGCGACCCGAACGCGTCGAAGACGAATTTCGTCGGCCATTTCCTTCACCAACATAGGTGTAGCAGGGAATCCAGTGATGGTAAGTCGTGAAATCCATCGTACAAGAGTATTTTCTTCTGCGTTTGAAAGAATTTGAGCCATTTCGTGGGTTTGGGAACGTGTTTTCTTCCCAGCCAGCCTATCAGCTAGGGTAGACTTAGGGACTTCAAAATGCTCTGCAGCCTTTCTAATTGATTTAAATTCTTTCAATTGAAGTGAAATTATAGCCTTTTGAAGCTTCTCTTCAATTTGAGCAGATGTAGAAGGTGATTGGGTATGCATAATAAAAGTTATTGCGGTTTCAAGTTGGTGATGGGCTAAAAGTGTCCGAGTTCCCCATATGTCCGAGTTCCCCATACGTTACGTTATCCATAGATGTATATTCAAAATATGAACGTCAAAAGTTACCCAAAGAGTTGCCATTCTCATAGGTATTTGATTCACCAATACTACTACTCTACTACATCATTATTCTGATTACAATATGAACAATCTAAGCCTACTTCGAGCCTCGCTTCTTCCACTCGGCACCTCTGTTTGACGACCTTGTTCTGGGCTTACCCTTCTTCTTTCCACCACCTTTTCCTCCCAGCTTGAGATCCTTCGGCTTGCCCTTGCTTGCACTAGCTCTATAACCCTCAAAAACGAAACTTTCAGGTGCTTTGATACCGGCCATTCCACTCTTGGCTTCTCCGTTTCCACTGATTTGCTTTTCTCCCCTGGAGCCCAAAGTCGTATCGTTGGCCCCGGTTTTCTTGAATTTTGCGCCACCAGCTTTCCCTAACAGTTTGGTAGCTCTACCCTGCAAAGAAGCTTGATTTGGATCAACCTTTGGATTGTATATTTGAGAAGATTTTGACGATTTAGGTTGACGAGCTGTGGGTCTGGACGAGACTTGTTTGTGTTGAGCTTTGGCGCGGACAACACGAAGCACACGAGGAAGCATCGGCGGGTACTTCTTCTCATTAAAAAGTAGAGCAGCTTCAACTGCATTTGCGTCCTATATTTCTGCATTAATAAGAGCTCGAACATTTTTGAGTGACGAAAGAAGCTTACGGTAAATTGTACATAAGCAAAACCCTTTCCAACACGAGTTTTCTCATCGCGAATGACCCTTACACTCTCTACTTCACCAGCCTTTCCAAACTGCTTCCACAAGCCTTCTTCAATATCAGAGGGTATTTTCGACCGTTTCCGGCTATTTTCCCCATCTTGTTCAAGAAGAGATTCGTCGTCTACAAATCCTAAATTTCCAACGAAGACACATCGGCGGTGATCGGTCTTCGCAGGATGTGCTACGCCATCTACGCGAAGATGACGGTCTAGTACTATAGTTCCATTGAGTTTCTTAACGGCCTCTCTAGCTGCAAATGCTGTAGAGTAGACTGCGTAGGCATTTGTGCTTTTTGTTGTAGCAGTCATAATATCTTTTTTAGCAAAAGCAGCTTTCTTTGGTAGTGCGGCAGTGGCATAGGCAGTGGAACGGAAGCGGAGGGATTCCAATTTGTGAGATGGTTTGCCAGCCGGGGGAGGAGGCAGATCATCAATAAAAGAGGAGAGATGAGACATAAGGATCTTTTTGTCGGCTTTAGATGATATTGTAGAACTTGCTACATTTCCGAGAAAAATAGTACGCGATGCCTTTTCGAGCTCGGCAGCATCCTTATCTGGTACGAGGGATTCATGTAAAGGAACATCGGATGGCGTCTTTCTCTTATGGCTTTTCTCCTCAGAACCAGATTCTTCTGTATCAGCTTCAGCTTCGCTATCAGATTCAGCATCTTCCTCGCCCTCCTCATCAGAACCATCTTTCTCCATATCTTCGTCTGAAACAGGCTTTTGCTCTGCAGCTAACTTTTGTCGTTTCAATCGTCTTTCGGCTTGGCGTTCTTCCTCTTCCTTTTCTTCTTCCCTGGCTAGCTTCTCAAGGTACTTTCCTTCAAGATCTGGCTCATCGGTCTTCCTTTTACGTTTTCGTTCGGGTTTCTCATTTTTGGCTTCGATCAATTTATCCAATTCGGATACCTCGTCATGTATGTCGTCGGTATCATCCTCCTCAGCAGATAGACCCGAAATCTCAGCATCCTCGAGATCACCATCAATGCTGCTCAAGTCATCGTCACCCTCGCCCATTTCGACATCTTCGGCGTCTTCATCATCGTCAGAAACCTCGAATGATTCTCCCTCCTGCGATTGGACATTTCTACGAGGCAAAGGTGCTTCTTGATATCTAGATTTTGGTGGAGCTTGTACTGGGCCAGCCTAGAATTTATCAGCAAGATTCCGCGATGCCAGAATTTCAAGACTTACACTTGATGCAAATAGTAAGGCTAGAGTAGGGTCGACAGCCTTGTTTTCAGTGAAAATTGATTTACCAGCACTTTCTTTACCATTGGCTTTCTCCCCTCCGCTGGTACTCTCGTTCCGGCTACGTTTACCCATTGCGATTATTTATTTTTTTGTTGGAAATAAATAATGCAGGTAATATGCTATGTTTCGATGTCCCGAGATATTGAGATTTCAGGGCCTCATTAATAAAAATAAAAAAGTTGCAGCTTGCAGGGATTAATGGGGTTCTTACTGCCGCCAGCTGATGACCGCCTTCCACCTCCCGAGAATCTACCGAGAGTTATACCTCGATCCCTAATGCTTCGTTTTGCGACAATAGCAATATCAGTACCACAACAATTTTGCAACAATTCATTCACTCTCAAGATGAGTGGCGAAATTGATGTTGAAGCAGCGGTTGATTCTATCATACCCGACGAAGCTTCGGTTGATGACGAGCTTAGTGATCTGGAGGTGGAAGAAGATCGCTCTAGCAGTTTGAGTGATATTGAAGACAAAGATGCCGAGCAAGATCATGATGACGATGCCGAAGCATCAGACGACCTTAGTAACCCTTCTGAAGACGATGATTCCGAAGCAGAGACGGAGCGACTGGAAGAATCTCCGCACAAATTAAGAGTACAAAAGAATGTGGTTCTTAATTCCCGTACTGGCGCCGATTCGAATGAGCGCAGCCCAAGCAAATTACACAACCAGATCATGGCAGATGAGGGGGAAGATGACGAAGATGACGCAGATCAATTATCTGACGAGGACATTGCCGTTTCCAATGATAGCCCCAAAAGCTCTCACTATGATGGTGAGCTGGATCGTAAGCCAGCGACAGCTCGCACGTCATTAGAAGATTCTGCGGGCGAAGGAAAGAGAGCGTTATCGACTTCCGAAATTGACTCAAGAAAACGCAAACGGTCAATAATGGGCAGCGGCGGACTCGAAGATGATTTTGATGAACCTCTACCCAAGCGGACAGGCTCTATCATTAATCAAGGCGACGACTTTGCGATCGACGACGAATTACCTGCAGAACAAGATGCATCAAATACAATAAGTGGTAATATATCAGGCGAAGAAGGTGATGGACCACAGGAGCAGGCTCTTGTAGATGTGACAGAGACCATGCTCCCCGATGACGAAGCCACTGAAACCGCTGGCATACCAGTGTCGCCTAAAAGACGAGGAAGGAAGAAGAAAAAGGCTGTGGAGAATGGTATAAATATTGAGGACGAGTCAGACAGTTTGCAGAATGGCATTATAACCAACGGCGAAGATGATACACGAAACGGCGAGGAGGACCCAGTAGACAATGAGGAAGATGATGAAGCAGATCTCGTATTAAAGACAGAAGAAGAATGTGAGTTTGTGTCGCAGCAAGTTAAAATTAAACAAGCACAATTATTCTAACACAGATTCGATTAGTGGAGAAAAAGATAAGCGCGTTTGATCAACTTGGAGGTATTGAAAAGGACTTTGCAGTCTTTAGGGACAGGTGAGATTACATCCTTGATCACTGTTTCATTCGCTGATTTGTTTATAGATTATACGATGCGCGGCTCGAGCAAATAAGTCGAGAGGAAGCTATGCTCCGACAAGACCATCCAACGCACCCCGATCTTCTTGAACAGATGAAGCCTGTCGAGGCACGGAGAGATGAGAGGATCCGTGTCGCAGAGAAATTACGTGAATATGAGCTACAAGCTCTCAAAACTTATGCTGTTGCGAGAAGGAGCCAGATTCTTATTCAATATCGACAAGAAGCAAGAGAAATCCGAGAAATCAAGATGGAGCAACTAGGTAAACAATGGTACGAAATACAACATGATAGAAGAAATTACTCCACCGGCGTACCCGAATATACTCTGAACTATCCCACTCGAAGATCGCAACAGATTCAGAACCAGGTAGCATATTCCAACGAGGTTTCTATTCTCTCGGGCATTGCAAAACATGTCGGATTCCCAGCCGCTCCTTCGATGTCACAAGCAACGCCTGCAGAGCTCGAAGAGGACTTTGAGAAGATGGGCGTAACTAATGCAATGGGAGTAAGTGCATTATTTGGGAGCCATGGCTGGATTTAGTCCAAAAAGGAAACCTTTGTCCAAAAATGGACAGGCAAGCTGACGGGGCTTTTTCACAGGGGACTAGAAATGTGCACCAACCTGCAAATTTTTCGCTGCAAGAGTTTGCGGCATTGCGGACAGCAAGGTCAATATCGCGACATAGGCCAGCGGAAGAACAATTCATTGAACAAACACCCTGGGCGAATCCGCAGCATCCTTCTAACTCCCACTTAATACAGCGTCAGACTTCAGCCCAGCATACACCAAGGACCACAAGTCCTTTGTCGCAAGTTCAAGTACAGCCCCGTCGCCATTCTCATCAACAAGGCGGCCCTATTTCAGGAGCCTTCTCTAATATGTTAACGTCAGTACCACAACATACTAATGGATACATGACATCTGGTGGACGAGTTTCCCCGCATAATCCTTTTTCTAATACTTCACACTCACATACCATTGTACCATCACCGTTGGGCAGTCGACAGCCATCTTTGTCGCCAAAGCAAACTAGGCCTCCTCATCCACTGTTATCCATCTCAAACGAGCAGCACAACCATCAGGCTCTTCCCGTCGCCAGTAATCAAATCCACCAGATATCACGCGCCGGACTACAGGATGTGGTACAAGAGATGACCCGCATATCTCCACCGTGAGTGACTCGCGCATCTCCCGAAATTCAAACTCATGCTACGAGTTTACAAGTAAAGTTTTAATGACTACGAGGGCGCAAATATATGGTTCAAGGTGCATGGTGGGTGTTACGGCAGAAAAGCATTCATTCGGTTCGGCGTTCTGTGATACGATTGTTACTATTGATATGCTATATGATTCCCTTCAGCCTTTAGGCGGTATTACAGTAATACTAGCTCCATCTGTATTTATAACGTGCTGCTTCAAATATAGAAAGCTACAAACTTGAAGCCCTTGACATTTCCAAGAGTTTTCCTTCATGTACACGCCTCCCATTGAATCTGTGACAATCATTGTATCTACTTGTGATTTTGTAGCCCTAGTCTGCTTCAAGTTGGTATTACGAAGTCGCCTCCTCCACCTATATGGGATTTAGCCCATAAGAGCCGTTGTTCATCTCAGTCATATCGTCACAATCCGGTCAAGATTCCCGTGTGCTTGGTGCGGCTGGTACTTTGACATCTTCAAAGTCGTCTTGTGAAACTGCTCTAATAGTGAAAGCAACTGTAGGAAGTTATTACTCTGAGCCGGCTTGATATCGCAGATACTTACAAACTCCAAGAGCAAATGCAGCAATGCCGACCCCTGTCAAAGCATTCTTAACAAGATATGGTCTCCGCGCTCGAATGAGGGCAGCAGATTGTTTGTAATTCTTATCGTAATAGGAAGACTTGGGAACTCTATAATGGTTCTTTATTAGTATAAAGCATTCAATTCTTCTGGAATCGAGATATCAACTTACAACGGCATCTTGACTTGTAATGTTTTGTCAATTGGTATATTGAAGTTGTTCAATGGCGCCACTTCCCCAAAGGAAATTCCCAAGTCATGGAATTTGTGAGATCCAGCCTTATCGATAAGGCTACCTTGGAATATGCCTAGCAGGCTCGAGGCAGGTACCACCAGGTACCTAGGTATTGGTACAGTTCCGCGCAACTTTAAAAAGGGTCGCGTTTACCTTCAGCCAATATCACATCAAAGAAACATAATTTGTTTGTCAACCTTGATTCGTTCAACAACAGCTTCACAGAATGGTTTGGAGTCAACTTGACTACAAACTCAACAAATCAATATAGTGGATATTGGTGTAGTCTTTTCTCACATGCAGCTTGCACAGTACAATCCATAGTAGATCTTCTTCGACTTCTTTCCCCACAGCCTTTCAAGGTTATCCTCATCGTCATGGCTACCTTGACCGTTGAACAACAAATCAATCAATTGAATGATGCTCGAAAACTTGTGCTCTCGGATGCCAACTATTACACTCAAATCATTCAAGGAATACTACCAATTATTGGACCATCCGCGAGGGTAGAACTACGACGATGGGGCGCAGATTTCCTTGCAGAGACGTTTTCAAGTCCAACCATACCTTCGTCGCAGAAAGAAACATTGAGCTTGGTCGTACTGGATACATTGGAGGACATGATTGAGAACCCGCACGAAGATAGTGCAGTAATTAAGAGTATAGTGCAAACAGCAGCTAGCATATACCCGCTTGTCGTTCGATGGATGTATGTTAAATTTTTGTCGGTTTCTAGCCATGATTTGGAACTTAACATTCTTTCTATCTTTCTATCTTTCTATCTTTCTATCTTCCTATCTTTATATCTTTGGATGCCGTCAAGCAATGGGCGCTGAATTTAGGGCTGGTTCTAACTAGTGTGTCTGAATAGTATTAACAATCCCTACGACATACCGTCCTGGGATCGCATGGTTGCAATCAAAACTCGCATACTTCGAATGTGGGACACTGCGAAGCCAGGAATCAGAATATGTTGTATTAAGTTTGCGCAGAGGGTTGTGTTGGTGCAAACAACAGGACCCGACGCAGATTCTAGAGTATGAGAGGTACCTAGCACTTCCCAAAAGGCAATATGCTAATGTTGTTTTCTGTCTAGCGTGGTGATCCTCTTCAGGTATCACTATCTATGGTTCCTCCGAACCATACTATTCTTCCTCCCCGAAACCTTGAAGCTGAAGCGTCAGGTCTTCTCGATAGACTCCTCAGCGTCTTCCAAGAGAACTCTAGGTATGTCGAGCTCACTACACTCCACCTTCTCCCCTCATTTAGGAACTGACATGTCTAGCGATGCTGTACTTGTTGATGCAACTCTGAATTCCCTTTCCATCTTGATCCGAGCCCGTCCCCATGTTGCAAATAAAATCCTAAATGTTCTCTTAAACTTCAATCCCCTGAAACTAGCCAATTCTCCAATGACCCCCAAATTGCGCGTTATGGTTAAATCTATGGAAAAGACTACTAGATCATTACTTATCCATATCAGCAAGCGGTATGTCTTTTTGTCCCTGTGAAGTATGCTTGTTCTAGCTGATGGTTGTAGGGACCCTCACAATCCACTCAATGGGCGAATCCAGCAATATGTCGAACGAATGATGCGCTCTAAGACGGAAATTTTTGATGAAGGGAATAGAAAGCGTGGACCTCCAGAACCTGTGGACGCCCTAGATCCTGCCAAACGTCAAAAGCTAGGCGCGCAAGTTAAAGCTGCTCGACTACATATACCACCATTAGCACCTGGAAATCACACAATCGCCGAGCTTTTTACCATCACTACCGATGAAGCCCTAAAGGGTTTTGATGTTGCACTTTTATCGGAAGATCTAGTCGTCAAGATTGGTATCACAATTCTCCAGAGGTTAGATACCGATATCATTGAGCAGGCTATAAGCGTAAGTTTTTCCAAATTCAATAATGTGTTCGCACGATTACTCATCTGGCAATTAGGGCGTGAAAGCAAGACTTCAAGTTCTCTCAGAGCCGAAGCCTGAAGAAATCAACCCTGAAACGGCTCCACTGGGCGTAGAAGAAGACGACGACGACTATGAACCTGATTTCTACAATGCCGAAGATACAGAACAAATCTTGAACAAATTAGACAGTTCACCACCTGAAGAGCTTAAAGTAGATATCGAAAAGGTTGCAAATGTAGCACTTGGACCGTTCACGTTGCCGCCCCCTCCGTCTCTCAGTGCCGAAGAAGCAACCCGGGTTGGTCAAGGTACTGTGGCTCGAGTCTTTGGTGTAATGCAGACCCTAGAAGAGCCCGCGGTAAGAAAGGCAAAGGCTGGCATAAATAGACTAGCAGCTAGTGCCTATGATAGGGATGCATGGATTACTATCATTACGCGCCTTGCAACGCGTGCTGGTGCTGGTCTCGAAGAGTCCTCAGATGCTGTTGTCAAATTGGAGTCGCCTGATACCGAGCGATTATCCTTAAGTAACACTATTCGGCAATCTCTTCTTGTATACATTCTGGAAGATTTTAGAAAACGAATCGACATCGCCGTCGCTTGGCTGTGCGAAGAATGGTACAACGACAAAGTTCAAATGAAGCTGGGAGATGGTTCGGCTATGCTACATTATGAGAAATGGACGCTTAAGGTATTGGATGGAATTTCAATCTATCTTGATGCGAAGGACAAAGTCCTGACAAGGTTCTTGAGCGAGATTCCCGGGTTGAGTCCAGAGGTGTTGAACAAAATCAAAGGGCTTTGCAAAGACCCAACCATGGTCAATCTATCGCTAACCAGTCTCCTGTATTTGGTTATGATGCGGCCACCGGTCCGAGACTTGGCTCTCGACGCAGTTGAAGATATTTGGAACACTTGTAAGATTTCCTTCCTTCCTTCCTTCCTTCCTCCCTTCCTTCATTTTGTCCATGCTAAAAATAGCGAAAGATGATAATGCAAAACCCATCGCCGCCAAATATCTCAAGAAATGGCGCCCAGGATTTGAGGACCGTCTCAAAGGCGATGACGAAGAAACGAAATCGAATGGCATGATCATCAGCGCTTAGGTGCATACGTTTCTAATTTCGATTTACATGCCCTTCTTGTACTTTAGCAATTCTCGCATTCCAGCATCAATCGGCGTATAAGGGATTTTACAGGACATGAATGAAGACTGGGCTAGGGGTTAAAAAAATGCTATGCGCACATTATTGTATGATCAGGAGTTCCCCGGGAGTCAGAAACAGACAAGGGGCGGTACAAAAACTATTAAATATTTACAGTTAGATCGCAGTGTTGACTATGATCAATTCAACTAGTTCACAAAGGTTGATATACCTCTACACTTTCCGGTGTATTTATAAGCGATGAAATTTGTGTTGTATTCCCTCATCTCAACGGCTGACTTATGAAGCGGAGCCAATGATAGATACTAGGTAGGGGGTTTGATTCGAATCACGTGTATATTTACTAAGCTGTGCTCGTCCTGAATCATGATCGAAGAAGATAAAACTGCAGAAAAACCGTAGACGTAAGTATCACGAATTGGATATAAATTCAACCAGATGAAAACTAGAATTTCAACAGTACCCATAAGTCTGCCAAAGCCTAATGGAATAACGCGAGTCACCTCGTCTCCAGATACATCTCTTGATCGTGGTACCAGTATAGAAAGAGGAAGAGAAAAGGGGGCAGTGGATCGAGCAGCCGATGCATAAGTAAATCCTCATTCAGTTCGTCAGGCTTTGCTGACTCTAAGTACTTGCCAGAACTGCCGAAATAAAAAATAAAAATGTTCTGGCGATAAACCAACGCAATTCATGTGCTAAGCACAATCGAGAGTGCTCATACACGCCACTGAAGTCACGAGGTAGGAAGAAAAAGAGACCTCGCCTTGATTTGGACCCCCTTGATGAAGCACAAGATCCGGGATTGAGAGATGGTCGAACAGCTTCGCCTACAGTGATACGTCCAGAAACTCATCGTCCACTGGCGATTGACAACAACGGACCACTTGCAGTCAAGAGACGTCGAGAGCTACGTTCGTCTGGTATTGAAGTATGCCAGACTGGTTCGGGAGCATTCAATACTATGGACCGGCATCCAATATGGCCTTATTTCAAAGCATTCACCAGTGTATTTATTGCACCAAAAATTCAAGCAATGACCGATTAAGTGCGATGCGTGTTTGGGGCTTGGACCAATTTGTCTTCCCACCCGAGCGTCCTGAATACCAACATCATAGTGAGGGTGGTAAGGTTACATCTCTACCCGTTCATCCAGGTAAAGACATTGGGATTGTTTCATTGGCACCTATTTTAAGGTTGCTTATCCCCAATGGCCCTTTCTTCAATTGCGCGAAATTCGCGAAGATTGGGAGTCATTCTGGGAGCCTCCACCACCAGAATGAGACGCCTATTATAGTAGCAAGCTAACTCGAAAAAACATCGTACTTATGGTCCTTGCGATTGGCGCCTTGATATCTAGTCTTTCTCCTGACAAAGATGCTAAGGTTATGGCTAGATGGGCATCCTACTTGTCATCACGTGCGACGCTGTCTGGTTCGACTTTCGAGGACGCCTCCCTCAAGGGTGTTCACTTACTTCTAAGGTCTATATATGCTATCGAATTAATGCGTCCCAATGACTCTTATTTGTACGTGGGCCATGCAGCCCTTAATGCACTTGCACTAGGCATGAATAGGGCCCAGGTCGCCAACGGCACCCGCCCCAATGTGCATCGACTCCGGGTAACATTTTGGAATCTTTACTCGACGGAAAAGCTTGTGTCCCTATTCCATGGTAGGGCATCCTGTTTGAGAGATGGCTTTATTGACACCGCCTTTCCCGAAGATCTACCAAGCTCGGAGACGGAGAATGGTGATCCAGAAGAAATTACAGACTTGGCATATGTCCGTGCTATGGCCACCCTAGGTCGTGCGGCCGATCGTATCAATAGCGGAATATATGTCTACGGGGGATTCGCAACTGACTCCGCCAATATTCCCCATGTTACCCGCGAGTGTGAGCTGGCCCTAGAAAAAGCGATGGCAGATCTTCCTCCCTTCTTACAGTTTTTTGACACTACAATGCCTCCGAGTCCTCATCTGTGGCATGAAGTTCAACGTGCGCATCTTGGATTACACTAATATCATTGCATAGTTCTTATCCATCGTCCCGCACTAATTTCCGTGTGCAAACACGCAACAAAGGCCGAAGCTCTAGCCGCAGCCCGGGAGTTAGGCTTCACGGATATATTTGGCTGTGTCGAAAAGGTCTTGTGCGCATCGAAGAAACTCATTGCTCTCGCGCTTGAAGCCTATAACACGCGCGCAACTTCAATGAGGCAAGATTCTGGAGTTGCCTATAATGTCGTGGGTGCTTGTCTTACCTTACTCTATGATGTTATAGGTTGACCTAAGAAAAGTTGCGCTGGTAATGTTGCAGATACCTTCAAAGCTGTTGAAGATGATCTTCGTTGTTTGAGTTCCATGGAGCATTCTGGGCCTAAGATTGGAGGAACCCTGAGCTCACGCATTATGCGTGTGGCCAAAGATGCTTTTCGCTCCGCACAAGGCCCTAACTCAGATGATGTACCCGATGGCAATGGAACAGCTGCTTACAATCCAGCGCCTTTATATGAATCTATTCAGGAGCGCACTGAAACTGTAAATACTATTGATAATGAGCTAGATACACTACTTGGACAGTTTCCATGGCTCACAAACACAACTGCAAATACACCGATCTCTCATTCTGCCACAGACACACCTTTAGCCAACACTCCGGGTCCACTTCACAATGCTTCCGGTGTCAATTTTCCCACCTCTTCAAATTTTGAGAGTGTATCACAACTTGACCAGCTTCAACAATTCTTTACTCAAGCATTTCCACACAATGCAGACTTTCTCTTCATGCCGTTTTATGGCTTCGAGGGAACAGCGCCACAGCAAATGCCGACGCATGAAGCTGGGGTTGCTGGGAATACGAGCAGCGATAGCAACCCAGGTACAAACCAATGGGCTGATGTCAATAGCCAGAGGTCTTTTTGGATCATGGTATGTCGAATGGGAATGGTGTGCCGTGGGGCTTACTGTAAGACGTGAGTGTGGATCATGTTATTAGGTACTTGGAGTAACTGTTACTCAGAAAGTATATCTGCCAATCATGAAAATTGTAAAGGGAGCTATCGCCATTCAGAGGTTTCCTCATCTCTTCGATGAGATTAAGGATGAGCTACTGTCTGTTTTGAACATTATTCGTCTGGTTACAAGGTGGATATGCCGCAATAAATCTGATACGCGATGAACCAACAAATGGTATCAATGTAAAATAAGATTACAACTTCAGGTAGCATACAAAATAGAATATAGAACGGGCATGAAAATCTGAAGTTTCTCTATCTGCACAAATTAAGCAGGAGTATTGCACATCTATCTCACAAATTTTTCATGAAGAAAATACACAAATTTCAAAGTGAAACGAGAATTACTGCAAGGGAGTGGTGGGGTTTTCACATTAGACAATTTATCAATATATGGTACTGTGCGTGTTTTTGGAATCATATAGTTGAACTTGTATCATTTTGGAGACTCGAGAGGGATCTAGGAGTTTAGCAGATGAGAGTGAGATAACTTTTTTTGAGGAGAAAGGTAAGGGCATTCTCAGGGCAAGTTCGAAGAGAAAGTATGTAGCGCACGCCAGCACTATAATGTCACATATGCGGGTTCTTGTTGATACCCTCATGTGCATGTGATCGAGTATCAGACGGGTTTTTGTTCAACGAAGCAAAATTAATAACGATGGATTGATTAATGGCGGGTTAGAGGTTATAGTTTCAAATTGTCAAATAAAGAATTATTCAGTACCAACTATGTAATATTCTACAAAAAAGGAATCTAATTACTGTATCCTTCTATCGTCTATTGTTGTTCTCTTTCTATTCTAATCTACTTCGTTCTCTTCCCCAACGCCAACACCCTTCTATCATCTATTAACATTCTGCATAAATTTTCTCACATACATATCGTTCCATTCTGATTCAATCAAATTGTCTTCTTCCCCAACCCCAACCCCTTCAGCGAAGGACCTTTCAAATTCGAAAACCTTCCCCAACTAGCCAAAAAGACGATCGCCAATATACTAAACAAGGTGAATATCCCCAAATCCCTCACTTTCTCGCTATTAAGATACGAGAACGAAACCGCGTAATCGTCTCCCACTTGATAGAGACGGTAACTAGAGTTTTCTGTCGCATTAGGATTGGAGATATATCCCATACTTGCGTCATCAATCCCGGTTCCCGAGAGGTAAGTCGCGAGGTATCGGCCATATATTTGTCCTACAGGTGGAGATACAATCGTTATTTCGCTGGCAGAACAAATGATAGGGACAGAGTGGACTCCATTAGAAATCGCCGATCCCAGCCAGTAGCGTAGGGGATCGGCCCAGAAAAGCCACGCAGAATAAAGTGAAGGCATATCGCTATACGTAAGAGCCATTCCACCAAAAGTTGTGTGTACGCACCACAAAAGACTATTTGCAAACCCAGCAACTTCGCTGTTTGGAACCAGCGCGGCCATTGCCAAGGAAAAGCCGAGTCCGTATATGCCAAGTGCGAGAAATAGGAGGTATCCGAATGCAGGCTCCTCCAGGCCGATAGTGAACCAGCTACAGAGAAAGTATATTGTGTAGATTACTATAGCGAGTGGGATTTCTACTGTGACGAGAGCGGCAAATAGGGCGAGTGAATGATAACCGACACCGGAGCGCTCACGTGCCGTGTAGAGTGCCCATTTGGAATACCAGATTGCTTGGATATCATCTGCAGGAGCGGGAATGAGCCATGGCAAAAGTAGGAGAGCGATGAGACGATTTTGGGTTCCTTGTTCTGTGTCTGAGGCTTGATAGAAGATGAATGATAGAAAAAGACCCATGAATATAGCTTTAGCAAGACGGCTAAAACTGTAAACTCCATTGCGCCATATAGGTAGCCAATGACGAGATGTGAGGGTGATATATTGGTGTATCAATGGAAGTATTTCGTCTATAGTAGAGGCATCCAGATTACTATTAACCGAAGAGTTTAGATGTTCTATTTGTGTTTGTAGATTGTGGCGTTCGGGCGAATCATTCCATGTTCTGGACCACTCATCACTTCCCGAAGGACTAGCCACAGTATCCAACATAAACTCGGCTGGATTGGCAGTGCCATCCATTGTAGTGCCATTGCGAGCGAAGTAATCCACAACGATGCTTAAGTTACTTACTACCGGTTTCGCCGAGTAATATAGTGCGTCCTCCCCTTGTCAAGAAGGACATGATCAAATATTTCAAGGATAACTGCGGAAGGTTGATGGATTGTACAGATGATAGGTACTCCAGAAGCTGCAATAAGCTGCAGACACATGACGAGCGAATATGCAGCTTGACTGTCGAGTCCGGAGGTTGGTTCATCAAGAAATAGCAACATTGAAGGACTAGCGGCCAACTCCACACCTATCGTGACTTGCTTCCGTTCCTCGACTCCCAGACCTCCCTCTCCCGGAACGCCGATCAAGGCATCGGCGATTGATTCAAGTCCTAGTAGGTCCATGACCTCTTCAACACGCGCTTCCTTCTCTTTTTTCGATACCGACAATGGCCTTCTCATCATTGCCGAGAAGATCACAGCCTCGCGGACTGTGGCTCCTGAATTGTGAATATACTGCTGCATGCAAAATCCACAAGCCCGAGAGAATCTTGCTCATAGATTGGCGACAGGCCGACCTCCAATCATCATATCGCCGGTCACGATACCCGTATCTTTGCGTTGAGTAAGAGTGTCGATGAGAGTTGCTTTTCCGGCACCAAATACTCCCATGAGGGCTGTAAGCTGACCAGGCCTGACATATCTACTCATACCTGTGAGTAGTTGTCAATTCTCTCCATCGACTTGGACGTGGTATGAGACATTTGCGAAGGTAAACGATGGCTGTTATTTTGTATTAAAGGAAACTTTATTTTCTCGCAACATAGGTCATTAGATTAACTTCCTCTAGAACTATTTTCGAATTTTCAGTCCAGTTAGCGGCATTGGTGGAAAGAGTACTATTGGAGTCGTTGAAACTCTGGGCATTACCCTGAGGATGAACAGCAGCTGGATTTCCTTGGGATTCTAGATCAATTTCTTTTTCGCGCAATTCTTCGTCACCACGAATAGCGTCAGGAATGACAGCTCCTTGCTTGAATACACGACTTGCGCCACCTCCATCACGATTCTTCGTCATCAAAGTCAAACCTACAGCTGTTATACCGGTGTAAATGACCTAGAAAGCTAAGACGAGTCCGAAATTTCGCCACGCATTAGATGGGCGATAACCGAAATGGGTGAGCAGATACGTTGAGCCTGCTACGGTGGAAGAACCTGGAGAACTTCCTGAGATAGGACAGCCTTGATTGGCTAGTGTTATATTCTATTTAAGATTGTCAGCTTCATTTGATGTTTTTCTAATTGGTCAGGGGTACAGTAAACGGTGTTATCTTTCATAAGAAATCCCATTGTCGCTTCCAGTGAATATGGACTTGGACTGATTCGACGGATCCAGAAATCCCATTTCAACGGTGCTGGCCACGTTGGGCCATAACCTGAATGACTTAACCCGACCGGCATGGCTGCACCACCCAATAAGAGAGCGACCGGTACATTAGGGGACCATGCACCCAGCATTCGGAAAAACGCTAACTGACTCGTATAGAACACGAAGATCAAAAGCTGAAAACCCAGTATCCTGATGCTGTTGGATTTGCAAAGACGAGAAAGTAATATGGAAGGGTGAAAAGAGCGGTCTGCGCGAAAAAACACCAGCAACTCAGCAATATTGAGAGCGACTGCCAAAACAGCCGGATGTAGCTCGCCTACTGTGTGCTGCTTCTGGAGAATTGTCCGGGAATGAACTGTAGAAACAATTTCCCCTGAAGCATTTAGACAGAAGTATATCTGGGCGAAGAAGACAGCACCGCTAAGCTCGAATACTCCAGTGGCTGTTAGAGGTCTTTCATAGAATGCGGAGCCTGTGATAAGAGCGTTTACGGCATTCAGAGTGAGGATAATGGCGAGCGACCTCCGAGCTCCCCAGATAAGTTGATAATGTCGTCGCATAGCAACCATGACCTGAGCGCGAGGGCATTTGGGTGAGTAAACTTGTGCTTGGAATCAGCCACTTCGGACTTGAAGGCTGCCGCACTCGCCAAGTCACGATGCTTTTCACGGAATCGTCCAATCTCTCCTAGCAGATTCTGGTAATATGAGCTCTTTCAAAATGCATCAGCAAGACCAGCAGGATCAAGTGGTGGCGGGGGGTTATGCCCAACTTTGACACGGCGTTCGTCTGGCGAAGTAATAGCTGTCAAGAAATCTGGTGTCGTTTGACGGAGAGGACATTCGAAACCAAGATCGGTAAAATAACGTTTAGCAGTGTCGCCAGCAGGGTCCGAATAAATTTGATAATCATCATACAATAACGGAACACGATCGAAGCATTCTCTGTAAATACTCTCAGAGACTTGGTAAGCTGTGACAATATTGGACATTCCAGTGGCCCTTGACATGCCTTCCAGAAGACGCGAGAAGCTGAGGGCAGATGAGCTGTCCAGACCTCTCAATGGATTGTCCCATGCAACGCCAGCAGGAGCGGCGCTGAGGACTTCAGCCAATGATACAAGCTTGCGTTCGCCACCAGATACGCCCCTAACAAAAGAATTGCCAACAATCGTGGCTTTTGTATGTTTGATGCCAAGAGAATCGAGGATTTCGTCGGTCCAGTGTTCGGCAAACTCGGCATCTGTCCCCGGGTTGGACTTTGGCCTGCGCAGACGTAGTGCAAACTGCATGGCGTTCTCAACTTTTAATATAGGAAAATGGATATCGTCCTCATTGTTCAGAGCCACCTCGGAACCGTAACGGGTTTCCATCTCATCCGACCCGATTGCGCCATACTACACGGCACCCTCAACATCTACGAATTGCGCACGCTGATTTGCGAGTACACTAAGAAGAGTCACACATCCAGCACCAGGACGACCAAGGACTAGAAGCGTTTCACCAGGAGGAAGAACACTGGAAACTCCTTGTATCAATCTTTTTGTGGAATGCATGGGGCGGCCGGGGCGTATTGCTTTACGTAGTAAGCCCGTTGGCCAGTTGACGAAAACATCTTGAAAGATTCGTAAGAGATCCTGAGCACGTTGTTCGCCAGCAGAAACACCATGAACGGTGATGTCCTCAAATAGGACTCCAAGTGAACGGCCTCCGGGACGATCTATGGGCAATTTTTGCAAGGGTTTATGTTTGTCGGTTTTCTCACCCTTAAAGTAGACTGTTAATTGAAATTCTGCTAGTCACTCTTCATTGAATTGAGAAGAGGATGAGATCCTTGTCGTGGCTAAATGAAGCCAGACAAAAGACATATTTTACTCACCTCGCTTGTATATCCTGAACTCATCGTGTCACGCAAATTCTGTTAGAATCCAAGGCCAAAATGTCTGAATGGAAATAGACAAACGAAAGACCGATAGGAACATAGTACTATGCCTCTCACCGAACATGAACTGGCTTGTATATACCATGTTGAGAAAGTGTCCGATGATACAAAGCTCATAGAGATAAAATATCCGGGCCATAAACCAGGGAGATTGATTATAATCTCCAACAAAAAGAATAGAGGGTATGAACAGCGCAGCAATCTACTGAAGGTTCCAACACGACAGCCTGGTAATGGATACGGGAGAGCAAATCTATGGAAGAAATTCCCTAGTCCAGTGGAGGTCTTCCATTTTTTGACCGCTGGGCCAATGGCGAAGCTGTTAAACATCCGGTTTCGTAAAGGAAGAGAATATCCGCAAATATCCGATGCCCAAGAGCACCGCATGATACTTCTGGACAATTCTGTTGACCTCAATTAGCACAATCTTCACTCAGAATGATATCATATAAGAACCAGAGTATCTGGATCATATTCAATAGAGTATCGGCGATATTCTTTGATTTTCAAGTAGAAGCTTTCTCCTTGGAAACACCCCAATTGATCTTGTTGAAGATAGATGTCGCGATTCACAATGCCTAATCAAGATCGACTGAATAAAAGGAAGAGAAAAGAAGAGAAAAGAAAAGCAAAGCAAAGCAAAGCAAAGCAAAGAAAAAAGTAGAAGAAAAAGGATGTATGGTCTTAGGAAAACTATTGACTCAGGCAGAAGCAGGCTATTGAGGCTTAGAACGAAAGAACGCTTATTAGAACCAATACACTAAATTCTAAAAGAGCAAAATTTAAAACACCGAACTTTGCAAATAAATGGAGAAAAGCTTCTTATAATTTACGATAATTTACGATAATTTACGAGGGATCTATTCAAAACCCTATACCTACCTCTATCTCTTCATGCTTTGATTAGGTAAGGATTATTCATCGCGAGGGTATAGCTAGCAGGTATTATGCTTCGCACGTACTCGGGACAAACGAAATGGAAGGATAGGGGAAATATCAATCTCACCTAACCTTAGCTAGTACCTAGTCACCCGTCAAAAGTGTGATTAAGAGTCAAGACATGAAAAGTACCTACGGAGAATATGATTTACCAACCTTTGAATGACTGAATTGACATTGACATTGACACTAACTGACACTGACTGGCACTAACAGATATACCAGGTACTAACGAGTGTTGTACAGAGCCCGGCACTGAAATCTAGGTAAGCCGTCGTCGTGGGTAGAGTGCATTTGTAGGTACTAATTAAGTACATCGTGGATAACCCGCCATCAAAATAACTTTCTTCGCTCCACCTCATGCTGTCTGACGTACATAACTAGCATGCTTTCCTACCTAGTACTGCACTGCACTGCGCTGCACTGCAAAAGTACGAAGTAACAAAGGTAACGGCGAGCAGATGGGACCATACCTACCGGTACTAGGTATTGTCGACCCCCTACCGGCATTGACGGGTTAGACCGTTTTTAATCCTTTCATTGCTGGGGCTTACATGATGCGTTGCTCGGTCAGCTAGATTCATTGGATGAGATTCAATTGCCATACGGGCTTTCCATCCATTATCTGGTAAACTGGAAAAGCATTTATTATTGAGAAGAACACACAGAAACTCTTATTAATAAAAGGCCACTGACGATTGAGTACATTGGCGATATCTTTTATGATTAAATATCCAGCTAGCCCACTTAGGTAGAAAGTTCATTCTTCCCATCATTCGTTATATCTATTACCCCACGCAGGAAGAGACGCTCACTCACAATATCGTTTTCGTTACACGCATGAAAGATTGCACATAACTTCAAACAACTCATGGAAGTCGTGCATGGCTTGATAGGATTATCCTAGATCGCGAAAAGGAGAAATGAGCAATGCCAACTCGAGCAGAAACTCCTCCAGTGGATACATCTTCGAGACGAGATACCCATACTCCTACGGCATCTCCGAGTACAGGTAAGCTTGCATTTCTAATTATGATCCAGAATTCTTATCGCAAGATATCATGATCTGCACCTTAAATTTTAATAGAGGTCATTGACGGATTGGAAACACCGGGAAAAGATTAACAATTCTTGGTCCATTGAATAATTGTTTGTCTCTTTATGCAAAACTCCCTCGACTTAGTTAAACAAAAGATTGGTGCTCATTGCGATGTTGAACAATGACTAACCAGTATTCTTACCAGATTTCGAGTCCCCCCATATTAACAGGATGCAAAGCCCTACACATGCCCCTCTCACGATACTCTCTTCCAGCGCAATGAACATGCCTCACATAAATACGGATCCCTCCTTACTCAAATCCTCGACGGGCACAATTAGATCCGTACCCTCTGATGATTCTCGACTTGGTCCAAATTCTTACGACGACGATACTCCGACTGCGCAACCTCAATCACAAAACGAATCCACTACGCCTATTACCCCAAGAAAATCTAGCTACAATTCCATAAATGGTTCGAAACCACCACTCAGTCGACAGAATCCGTCCGCGATAGTAATGCCTAGAGGAGTTGTCAGAAGTATATCTACCGAATTCGGCCCTACCAAGTACTCGAGTAGCAATGTACATGTCGTGGAAGATATCGCCGCGAATGATGGTGAAGACTTCAACTCCGCTATTGGGAAAGCTAACTTGGGGAAGTCGGGGAGAGTGATCGAGCGACTTACAAAGGAAAATGACATGTTGAAGCGAGATGTCAAGATTGAGAGACTGAGGGCGGAAGAGGCTCTCGATCAAGCAAGACTGGCTGAGAGCAGATTCGTCCAAGAGAACGAAGAATGGGAGCGGAAGTTGCGTGATGCTGCTATGAACTCAACGGTTTTAAAGAGGAGGGAGCGACAACTCGCGGACGCCAAGGAAAAAATTGATGCGGAACGACTCAAGGCCGAAAAAGCCACCGAGGGCGAGCTATTTTGGAAGACCGAGATGCAGAAATTGGAAAAGGAATGCAAAGAAAAGGTCGAAGAAGCTCAGAGCCGGGCGGAGCTGTACGAGGGAAGAAACAATGTCATGACCAACCATTGGAAGGACCAGGAAAAGTCCGCCAATCGAACAGTAGCGAAGCTAGAGAAGGAGATCAAAACCATTGTGAAGGAGAGGATAGCCGACGACGAGAAGATCACCATGCTCAAACGCCTCGCAGAACAGCAAGCCGAGCAACTCAAAACACTGCAGAGAGAAAAGGATGAAGTTGATCGGAAATATGAGGAGTACAAGGCAGAGAAGGAGAAGTCTCTCGTGGATATCAAAGAAAATGCGAGTAAACAGCAGAAGGCCAACGAGGAGATTATGGTAGAGACGCAAAAGGTTCTTGGGGAGCTGAGATGGGCCCTCAATGTCAAAAAATACGTCAAAGAGGCTGAATAAGAAGCCCGATTACCAATTTCAAGTCTCGGACTCGTAGAGATTTCCTGACTCGAAAAACCATCTTTCTACTTGAACTCCGCAGTCTCGACACACACTCACAACAATCATTTACTTTCGAGTTACATCAAATTACGATATTCTCTTCTAGCGATACAGCGACATCAAAGACTGCATTGCATTGGAGAAACAGCATACAGTTGTATTTTCTGCGCTTTTGTACATTAGACACTGTGGTTAGGGTATCTCGGGTTGAACTTGGGCCACGAAGCCTAGGGTGTTTAGGAGTTTCTTTCTTGTCTCAACATGAGATCATCATATCTAGGAATTTTACATTGGGGCAAACACTGGGAAGTTCATCAGAGTTAGATTTGCCAGGGTTATTGGTGATGATTGAATGAACTAGATTTTTTTAATGATTCTATCGTGCAATAGTTGCTTTGATCTTAGATCATGGCTTGATGCGAAAGCAAAGTATGATTTTGCCCGTTCTTCTATCCCGTTGACGTTTCGTCTTACTTTGATACTGTGCGGCCTGCATCAGAAATGTGAAGTCGTCGTGCAGCCACTGGCGCATGCAGGTACCCGCGTCACTGCCAAACAAACAATCGAGTTTATGTAAAAAGACATGAACCTAAACCATTGATATCATTCATCTGGTAAATGCTCTGCGGTATTATCTTTTGCTTCAGTTCCTTGGACAAGGTCGCTTTTTCTCACTAGCTCAGTTCTTGATATCGTCTGTTATTTTTCCTCCTTCCTCATTCACCTCATCAAATCTGTCTCGTTTCCCACCGCAATATTGTCCCCACGCACACAACAACAATAATATTACCACTTAGATCGAATTCATCTTCAAAACTATAGCCATGTGGATCTGATATCGCATTCAATTTTATTCTTCCTTACCTTCTTTCGAAGGAATTACTGGGACTTTTTGCATACTGCTGACAACCAAGTAAGGTCTACCGTCAAAAGCAATTTTTCAACTATGAGCGCAGATATTAGAGGAAGCGCTGCGCGCAGCTCATCTGCTACTGATGCTTTGTCCGATACTAGTGATCTAGGAACTCTTGCGAGAAATGGAATCTCATCAGTCATTATTGCTTCGGAATGGCACTTCAAGCCAGCAGGAGTTATGGAAGTTGAGAAACGTTTCGCAGAGAAAAGAGACCGAATGCGCGCTGTAAGTGGCAGTTTCCCTCTTGATCTATACAGGATAATTTACTGTGCTGTTTATGTTGGCTCGTATTCAAGAGTTTGTTTTCATACAGCAACGACTTCTCGAGACGAATTTGAATTATGGCAGTTAGAGTATCTTTCCATCCATAGATTCTGCGAAGATGATTTTGAAAGACTTTACATGCTTTTTTACATAAATACACTGCGGCCACTGGAATTTTAACAATTGTCACTGACAGAATACTAGGACGGCTATATTCAATGGCTCGATCAGGATCATCATTTCAAGCTTTCTTCAGAAAGACATCTCATACCTTTGTTAGAAGAGTTGTATCAGATCACGAAAGCGATAATTGTACAAGAACGTGGTGATAGAGAAGCAGATTCCGAGGATGATGAAGAAGAAGAGGAAGAAGAAGAAGAAGAAGATACACGTAGCGAATGGTCAACTGAGGTATATCATTCCAGTACGATATGCTGTTGTAATAATTGCTCAGATTATGCTAGTTTCAAAGCGATTTAATCGTGAAAGTGGATGAGTACGAACCGTCTCAACATACACGCTCCCCCAATCCAGCTTCAGATGACACATTCTATCCAGATACTATTAAGAAGTATAGTTATCGCGACATCTGGGTCTATCCTGGAGAAAAGTTGATTGACGAGTTTTTGAAACTACCCATAGTCCTGGAGTTGCAGACATTAACAAACAGCAAGATTGTGAAGTCACCTAGCCAATCAAAGGTTTATATTGGATCATACAAGCATGGCAGTGTTGATCTGGTTATCCATAAAATCAACAATATTGCGAAGTACAGTGTGAGTAGAGTCTCAAGATATTCCCGATCGTCAACTATCTTGAAGCTGACCACATGCGCAGTCGATATATGCCCCGCAGTACCATATTTTCTATACAGAAGAAGTAGAATCGTGCAAGTTTATCATCAAAGCGTTTCCAGAGATCAAGAAGAAATACCTTGAAACGACCCTTTTTGAACAAGAGTATCCTGCTGGATATCTATTGACAAAGTTTACAGTCAGAGCTTGTCCATGGAGTACAGCTAAGGTAACATTTATTCCCATCAAAATTGGCAAGTATACTCCCGCAGTCCCAAGTCCAGGTACACAAATCTCTGCAACAAAACCGTGGGCTGGATTTGTTTGGAAATCTCGAGGAAGTCCAGAAGATGATCCCGTGAAATACTTTCCTGGTGGATACAAGAAGGAAATTGAGAGACAGGAAAAAGAAGATGCAAAGTCAAAAGAAGATATCAGTTCAACATGCGTTGATATTGAGGGCTGGGTAGCAAATGCCACCACTACTACCGATGCTTCGAAGGGCTTAGATATTCTAGACTGGAGGGGAACCATTGACACGAGCCTGAATTCTTTAGCTCGTTTGGCAATGGCCTCAGAACCGGATTCGAATGTAACAAATGAGAAGCCGAATGCCGAACGCTGGAATCCCAGTATTCATCAAGAGACAACAGCCAAACTCAGTATGCATCCTACTCCGGCAAAATATGGTGGTGTTCCCTCAGAGTTAGAGAGAAATCTGTCAAATGGTATGTGATGTTTAATGTGCCAGAGTAAAAAAAAACACTCTGCTAATATGTGCATAGGGGAGCTTTCACCGGATAGAGTTACAACCAAGCCTAGTACTATGCAGTCGTGTCTTCTTGATTCTGCAATTGATGCGGAATTGGCGAATTTTGATTGGAACGCATTGAGACACAACGCCACAGAGAATACGCTCGTTGATGTTAGCTCAAGTCCAACTAGATCCCCTAATTTGAGGATATTCGATACAACACACGGTTCTGATGCTTTAGGCGATCAACAATTTTTGGCCTTAGAGCCACCGGCCTTACCATCCTCGCTGAGGTCGCTGGCATTACCACAGCTTCCGTCAGAGGAGCTTGAGAGCTTGATGGGTATGGCACCTGTTTCGATGATAGATTCAACATCGAATCCTAGTGATGAGTTCTTGAGCTCAATGGCATTTCCCGAACTTCCAGGTTCGAAGCCTTCTTTGATTTCTCCTAACAACTGGCCAATATTACCATCTCCCCAAAGTGTGGGCTCTTCAAAGTCAAAGGCTTGTCGCGAAAATCAATTACCACAGCCTCGCCGTCAGCAAGAGGACGAGACAACTACTCGAGTTTTCCACAGGACCATGGGTCAAAAAGCATCAATCAAGAAAGAAGTGACAAAGCTGGCTATTGTGCTAATGCTACAGGAGTCATTCCTGAAGAACTTCGAAGTACTGCTTAGTGGTTTGATGTCGCCAGTGAGAGGTTTTCGGGGAGAGGTTAAGGTGCACATAGACTTTGGTAGAATCTTACTAGGTAATCTCCCGGTGAAGATTGTTTCGAAAGAGGAACAGAACAAACCATATGATGAGGACTCTATCACTCCACACCTGTACCCCTCACTCGGCGGCAAACTTCGAGAGGGAGATGGCCCTGAAGTTACGTTCACCAATATTCTAACAGCATTGGAAGCCGATACTACCTTCCTCTTGAACCTCAAAAATAATGAAGGCGTTCGTCTCTGGTCTGAAAAGTGTTCCGAGTGGAAAGTTACTTACGAGTTTACATGCCTGGAACTACGTACTGACAAATTATTTACCATTGAGATTGATGCAGAGACCTTCGAAACTCACATTGTGGTGTTGAAAAGATGCGGCGGAACGTATGTCCATGGCACAATGCGTCACTGGGATCTGCAGCTTCACATTGAGGGAATTGAAGACGAAGAAGACATCCGAAGTAACTGGCCTGGTTTTGACGATCTAGCTACAGAGATGCAACAAACCCTTTACATTCCGTAAGTTTGAAATGCCAATTGATTACGAATTCGAACTGACGTCAAGTTTCCAGTCCTGGAAACCACAAACCAAATCATGCCCTTAAACTCCCAAAGCATATCATGGATCAATTCATTATCTATCATCTTAAGATTCGCAAGACTAGAAGTTACATCAGTCCTGATGGCAACTCTAAACTGAATATCACCGAGGTGGATAAATCTCGTGGTCACGAATTGCAGGTTAAAGATCAAGGAATCTTGGTGTACGTTTTTCAAGAGGAGAAAAGAGATTTCAACGTCGAGACGAATTGGCAAGAAGTTTCGATTACATCTGTGGCGATAGACAAACTTTTGGAACAGAACATGACACTCGAGCTTGGCGAAGAGGTACAATGGACACTTCAGGATCTGGCAGCAAAGAAAGTCTCTAACGCTCTTATCAAGCCCGCATGTGCCATGCTAGCGCAGATGGATGGTGTCGGTTTCTATAACGATGTTCAGGATCTTGGTCAAGTCCTCAAATCGTAGATATTGATCCAATTATGCTGCGATTTCCGAAAGCTACCGAAAAGAACATTGGCCCCTCATAGCTTCGAATAATAAATACGTGGGATTTCGCGCCTAGAAAGGGGACATTTTGGGCATTGGTTTGTTTGGATCCAAAAACCGCAGCATGATCATAAAATAAGTGGTAATATTCGTCATTATTGCTTTTTTATGGAGATGTTGACGGGAATTTTAAATAATTCGAGGCGATATTAGAGTTGCAAGATACCTCTGCTACATCATCTAAGCATTTCAATTTGTTTGCAATCGTACTCACTAATAAGTGAGCAACAACTGAGACCCGAGTGAAACGTTTATAGATTAAGCTTCAATATGGGTTGTTGACAGCGGCTGCAGAAAAGAAATGAAATAACGTCCCATCGTGTTGTGTGCTCAATTACATACATCGTGTGATGATGAACCAACTGAATTGTAGCCCATCAAACAAATGAGAGTGTATCGTGTAATGCGAGGTACCAGCCTGAGACCACCTTGAGAATTCGACTCGTGTCAAATGGATTTAATCATATGAAAAGGAGATTGAAGAGATTGAATAGAATGATATGTGGGTGGTGTAGTGTTACTATTGATGAGGTCACAATTCGGGGTGCAATTGAAGCCGAAAAATGTGGAAATTTTGGCGATAAGGAGGAGATATGAGATGTTTGATGGCCTACGTCATCGTGAACGAGAGAGAGAGGGGATTCCACCTCCCCTTCATTCTTCAACGATATTCTTACGACCTCGTTCATTTTCGATATTTGCAACGACAATACACTTCAATCGGCCTACTTACGAAGAATCTGCAATTATTTTTCAAAATTCAAATGTCAGAAGATAAACAAGCCATGTCGAAAACGACAAAGGACCTCCTGGCGAAAGTCAAAAAGATTGTGCCACCAATGCTCAGTAAATTTCACAAAGGTATCTATCTACATCTTGATTATTGCGTAAATATGCAATCAGTTGACACATGCAAGGACAAATGGGTAGGATAGCTGTTATTGGGGGTAGTGAGGATTACACCGGCGCGCCATATTTCTCTGCAATGGCCAGTGCAAGACTCGGGGCAGACATGGTACGAGTTTCCCACTCATCTCTCGCATTGATGGCTGTTTAACTAATATTGTGATTTAAAGAGTCATGTCATCTGCGAACCTGGCGCAGCACAAGTGATCAAGACGTACTCTCCCAATCTCATGGTTCACCCGCTCATGCGCCAATCCTCGCATGCGAAGATGACGGAATCGGCGAGCTCGATTGCGCAGAGCGTTATCGAGACGTTACCGCGATTACATGTGATAGTTGTGGGACCGGGCTTAGGACGCGATAAATTGATGCAGGAAACGTGTGCGAAGGTTCTTGAGGCGGCGAGGGAGAGCAATATGCCGTTTGTGCTGGATGCGGATGGATTGCAGTTGGTGCAGACGAGACCGGAATTGGTGCAGGGGTATAAGGAGTGTATATTGACGCCGAATGTGGTGGAGTTTGAGAGGCTGTGTAAGAGTAAAGGGATTGATGTTGAGGGGTTGGATGGGGCGGAAGGAGCGGAGAAATTGGCGAGAGCGTTTGGAGGGGTTACGGTGGTGCAGAAGGGAGCGCAGGATTATATCTCTAATGGGGAGAAGACGTACGTGAGTGATATTAAGGGAGGGCTGAAGAGGAGTGGTGGACAAGGCGATACGTTGACTGGGAGTCTGGCAACGTTTTTGGGGTGGAGAAAGGCCTATTTGGATAGATTATGGGAGCACGAGGGAGACATTGATGATCTTGAATCATTAGCATTGGCGGCGTTTGGAGGCAGTAGTATTACAAGAGTAAGATTCCCCAGAAATATCCTTCACTTGCAAATACTAATTTATGATAGGAGTGCTCGAGGCTAGCCTTCGCCAAAAAGGGTCGAAGTCTACAAGCCAGCGACCTTACTGAAGAAGTATACGCCGCATTTACAAATCTTCTCGACTCCGATGACTCAGCTGCCAAGTTATAGATGAAGAAATATATAAGAAATAACACAGTATATATTACCAACCATGCACGTGCAAGAAGAGTGAGAAGTGTATCATTCTTCCCGTCTTCGAGCGAATGAATCGCGAGACTAGTACACAAATAGATGGAGCTAAATTACAGACGTGCAACGAAAAGACCAGTACCGACCGGGTCAGCAGTACGGCTGCGAGAATGTCCCATAAGGGAAAAAGGGTTGCACAATAGTATTCATGGCCTCTCGATAGTGTCGACTTAGCTTCCATGGTTTAGAATCCCCAGTGTGTGGTTGGTAGCTTCTTGTGGAAGGCCATCCGGGGTTCTTGGGCGCGTTGAAACAGGGCTGGAGATGTTTCATGGGTGTTCCTGTATGTGTTGGAAGGAGATCCAATAGGATTACTTCCGGTGAGTTGAAACTCGGTCAGATGTGGCGTGTACTAGGTATATCGGCTGATGTTGATGGATATTTGATTTGAGAGGCTTTGGTGGATGGGTTTTAGTTATTCCGGTGGGGTGTGAGTGGTTGATCTGGGGAGGCTTGGGGGTAAGCTATCGATTTGTTGGGTTTGGTTCTGCTTATTCTCGGAAGAGTCGTTCCGTGAGATTCTTCAAGGCTGTTTAATGTTGGATTTGTTGCATGAATATATATATGTCAGCTGTAGATACTATTTGACCGTGAAAATCCTTGTGAATAGAGAAAGATTCAAGCTGATCAGTTCAGTGTAGATTTTTAGAGACGAGGGAAAGATAAAGGGTTCGACAGTATACACGACAAAACGAACAACGATATTTTGTCCAATAAGTATTATTGATTGCCAAATCGATACTTCACTTCTCATCGTACTTTATTCTCATCCGTTTTAACACCATTTCTCGATCCATTTCGACCCCCAAATCCTCGCTCAAAAGCTGAGGATAGGTGGCGTGGCATCCCTCTGGTGACCATGGCCCAGATGCTGGAAAGATCTACACCTATTCGATGTGAGAAGTCTTGCACAAGATATTTATAGAAGATCGTAGGGTTCTATATCTAGTTTTCCATTCACTCATTCTCCTTTATCACTGAAGGTGATTAACATGGATATTCGACGGTATCTTTGAGTGGATGACGGGATATTGGATTGAGTGAGATCTTGGCATCTTTGCTCCGCTCGCTGGATTTGTTGATGGCTCAGCTGATTTCAGATCGCTGCTGTATGCTTACTCTTCTCAATAACCTTCAATCAGGTTTCTGGAAGCCTTGTAGATCAGAGGATGTGTATTGCTTGAAGTTATTGTGATTTCATCTCAACCCTGCCATGAGAGGAAACACAAGACTTTTGCCATTTGAAACAAGATTGGTAACTTCGATTTTGAATCTGGGTCCCAAAAGAAAGCCGAATCTATGGAGTCTCTAGTAATATAGATGGAAAGTAAGTTGGTATTTAGAGAGTCTAATGAATGGAGGTGAGAACCCCGAGGTGACGGGATAACGACCTTGGCGACACAAATGAGTTGTAGGACAATGTGTAACTCTCGTTCTTCTTGGTATGCAAGGGAAGCATGAACAGATTTGCTAGCTGTGTATCCAGCTAATCATGTGAGGGTTTCCTCTAATTCTGGGAACGAAGTCCCTCCACAATAGAATCAGATCTCATTGTAGTATTGTCATAAACTATGAATTTCCGAGCTCACCGGGGCCTACATTCTTTCAAGCATGATGAGTACTCGTATTTCTGACCGAGTGATACAAGATATACTGCGCACAGGCACGATGCCATAGCTAGTGACCAATAGGAAGCTACACTGTAACATGGGGCTTGTGTGGGGTAGATAATTGACCCCGCGAATCTTATCTACCCCTCTCTCTATGTTTGGCAGAATCACTTCATGGGCGTACGGAATGAATCCATGATGTTATTGTACTACCGGCGGTCCCCCGCTCTAATACTTATGGCTCCTCTAGAAACTTCAGCTGTTTCTCCAAACTTTTTATTGAAGCACATCCACTGTTTATAGAATCCCTAGAACTCGCTTCAAATCACAGCTTTGAGTCAAAATGGCAAGCAGCACTGCAGTTACCAGAGATTATGGAAAGAGAACGGTGATCGTTACAGGATCTGCAAGGGGAATGTGAGGTCCCGGAAGCTTCTCCGGAAAGTCTCAATGAGTTAACAAGTAAATAGTGGCAAGGCCATCGCAATGAGGCTGGCAGAGGATGGCTTTGACGTTTGTATAAATGACATTCCTGCAAATCAAGCTGGCATCGATGAGGTTGGTACTCGGCGAACATTCTACCGTCTGCAGAATACTGAACTATTTAAAGGTGGTAAAAGAAATCCAGGGCATGGGCCGGGCATCCTATGGCCACGCTGCAGATGTTTCCAAACTCTCTGAAGTCGAAGGTCTCATTGAGGCTTCAGTTCAGAATCTAGGGAACTTGAATGTCATGATTGCAAATGCCGGGATTGCACAAGTGAAGTCGCTCTTATCACTATCCGAGGACGAAGTTCGGAGGATGTTTGACGTCAATGTATTTGGAATCTTCAATTGCTACAGCGCTGCTGCGAAGCAAATGATCAAACAAGGTGGAGGTGGAAAAATAATTGGTGCTGCCAGGTATGTTCAAAGCAAATGGAAACTAAATCACTTGATCACCTATTGAGCGATTTCTAGTATCGTTGCTTTCAAGCCGTTCGCCATGCTTTCCCACTACAGTGCTTCAAAGTTCGCCGTGAGAGGTTTCACTCAGGCCTTTGCTATGGAAATGGCAGAACATAAGATCACTGTCAATGGGTACGCGCCGGGCATCGTTGGCACTGCCATGTGGGATTTGATTGACGAGGAACTGGGAAAGACGAAAGGTGTTGAGAGAGGAGCGACGATCAAGAAGTACACTGATGATCTCATCTTACTTGGAAGGACGAGCGTTCCAGAAGATGTGGCCAAATGTGTTAGTTATCTGGCAAGTCCAGATAGTGATTATATGACAGGACAAACATTGATCATTGATGGGGGCATCGTCATGAATTGATCATCAGAGGCGCTATATCTATCTTTTCTTATCACTACCTATTCCCTATTACCACTGGACGAATGAACAAGTATTTACACTTTATGATCAATTTTCGAGGCTTGCACAAGTCACAATCCCCCATTACCCTAGCTGAATACAGCGAATTATGTTCTTATAGTATTCCTTTGATCGCAGGGCACCATGAAATCCTTAAAACCCTGTATAAACCAGGTCATAGAAGACTATAGAATTCTGTACTATAGCTAGATTCAGGTCAGCATTGGAAAGTTCTTTGTGAATGTGTACAGCAACTGGAGCCCCAGAGCTCACCAAATCATTCTTTTCAATCATCAGGAACCGTATTCACTACCAACGAGTGGTTCGAGAGGACCAGGGTAGATCTAATAAGAGGTCGAAAGATTGTGAATAGATGTTATGTGATAGGGGTAGTGAATCTGAGCTGCAATACAATAGCCTCGGGTGTCAAAAACCCGGGTATAAATACAAAGCAAGTTCCTGAGAAGAAACACAAATTTCCGCAAATACACCAGTTTGATTCACAAAACTCAAAATTTCTAGTACAAAGCTTTGGTTTCAGAAGTTTCATGGGCTTTCATCTACTTCACCTATCTGATCTAGTATAGAATTGATTTCTGGTCAGAACTCACCTTACCACCATTCAAGAAGAAAATACACTAAACTTCCTCTCTGCGCAGAACCGTATCTATTCGAACCCATCCACACTCAAGAGATATTAGCCTAAAACCAGAACGACAATGCCGTTGCTGGAAGATGAATCCATTGTGGCCGAGAATGACGAGATGACATCAGAAAACGTAAAGCACGTAAAGCTATCGGACCGCGACAAAGCTAGACAAAAAAGACAAAAGAAACGAGAGAAGCGAAAGGAAGAGGTTCTGCTCATTGTGTACGGTATCAGGACCACAGAGACGGAGCAAACGGAAGCGGATGAGAAATATGGAAACTTTCCTTGTGCGCAACCGAGCCCGTTGAGAAAATGCTGGACTCTGGTTGAGGAGGGCAGTGAGATACGTGAGGGTAAGGGCGAGAGTGAGGGTAGTGATTGAGACCCGCTGGGGTAGTTCTGGGGATACGAGGATTCGGCGATTTGGGTTGGAGATGAATATCGTGGATTACGGATAAGAAGATTGATGATGATGTTGGGATATAGCAAGGCATAGGTTGGCATAGGGGATAACGATTGCACAATTTAAGAAGCATTACAAACTTCGTTCAAACTTTTTGGCTACTTTATGAATGCGCTGTGCTTGACATGTGTGCAGATCGAAATCGATTTCTGTGGCGGAAGTAGAGGTGCACTATTATTTTCCTACCTATACTTATTATATACATTTTTATGGCTTTTTTTTAAATTTGCAAATTCTAAAAGGCTCGGTAACATTTCATCGCTGCAGAAGTTGGGCAGTAGTTTGTCATTTCATTAGTTTTGAGAGTCTGATCATTTCTAACTTAACATTCATTACTGCATTTGATAGCTTCTGTTCATCTACCATGGCACTCGGTTGATTTTCGGAAGCATTGATTAAGTGTGTCTCATAGATTTAAGGTGGACTCGTTTTGAGATGTTGAACAATTACTTGTGTGGGTGAGCCATTTGAGATCGAGCCAAACCCGAGACTCACGTGGTCCCCTAGAGCTTTTAGATCATGATAGGGGCAAGTAGCTCCTGGTCACCAGCAAGATGTCGATGGGATTTACATGGTATGTGACGTTTCCATCGACTCCATGTAAGATCAATTCCGTAGGTACGATGCTAGACCTTTTGGCATGTATACTAGATCAATAAGCGAAAATAAACCTCCCACTAATACTGTCTAGCCCCTTGAGAGCTCCAATAACCGAACTATTGGTGATACTAGTAGTAACTAGCCAAGTTTTAGTACACCAAACCAAAAGGTGACGTGTATTAGCTTGTGTTTCCCATTCTTTTATATACCGTAAAATTTCCACTGCAGAATTATTCTTGAGAGTAACTTCACATTCATTGATACACAATGACCAACAGCGAGAATAAAACAGCGAAGATGGCTTTCGATTGGGTAGATGATACCAACGAGGCGGTAAGTTACTCGAACCTTTCTTCTTCCCCCCTGTCATCCGTCTTTCGCTAGTTCCCATGACAGCTTGAAAAGATGTTACCATCTTGATGAAGCAAATACACTGACCGAAGACATCGTAGGTTGCCGCCGGCGAGCTACCAGATCTTACCAGCGACCAAAGTGACCTCGACGATGCCGTCAAGGATACGACCAAAATTCAGGTTAATATCGGTGGAGTGGTCGCTAGCGGAATCGACCGACTCAAAAAGGTGTTCTACAAGAAATTGGGAATGCTGAACAAGGCCAAGGAAACAGAGTCAAAGGAAATGGTGAGTGTCTTACGACTAAGAAAAGCCATACGCAATGACATTGACAGAGTAATAGATCGAGGCGTTTGAGTTACAAGAGGCTACATTGTGGGCGGGTGGTAGAAGGCGGGCAGTCAAGAAACCGAACCCATTGAGAGAAGTCATGTTTGCATAGGAAAGACGGAGAGGAGAGAGCATGGGTGACTTAACAAAACCGCCGATGAAGATATTTTGACAATAACGTCGGATGTAGAAAATAGTATTTAAGATATGGAAGAACGATTATGATGTATAGTATTGGTACCAGAGATTTTGTCACATTCTACGACATATTTCAGGTCGCCTTAACTAGACAGCGGAATCTATCTCATAATTTCTCCATTTCATTTCTCAACCTGAATAAAGCTCTGCTGTGATTCGACAAAATCGTACTTTGTGCTTTCAGAGATTTCTTGCACCATAACCGTATATCTACTAGCATCCATATGTGAATCTCAACATTTTGATTTGTAAAACACTACTTCTTTGCGCCATGACTGCTGCTACAAAAAGATGTTATATAATTGTGCTTATTTGCTTCATACAATCTCATGATATACATTGCTTACCAATAAGTTGCAGATATACAGCTAGTTGACCACTAAAGTAAAAATGTTTTCGAAATACGGCTAGTACTGCTGAATGTCACTAGTGTGCCACCTCTCATCTATTCATACACATTTTAGTTTCTCATTACGTGAATAAAATTATAACTATACATATATCAATTCACCACAAAGCAATCTTTTGAAAACCAAACACTTTAAAAGACGAATACCAGGCTACTCACTCTCTACTTCCAAACAACTAATTACAACGACTCAACATAACTAATAAGTAGATCAACGATCTTTATTGCAATAATTACCACTATATCTACCTCAGATACACATACCTGCTACCCTTAACTTACAAAGGAAAATCGTTTCACCTATGTCTTTAGCGAATTTATTTCCACCTATGACTAAATCTTGGGCCGACGAAGCCAACGACGAATTTGAAGAGATATCCATCGATGCTCCACCTACTAGACACTTTGTCGATACATCTAAATTTGATGAAGATGCAGTTTTGGGGGGAGCATCTGATTTCAGAGGACTATGAGGTAAGAATGATTCACGCCCTGTTTAAATGCACCATTAATGTTAGATACTCCAGACTCTTGATTTCTCTGACGACGAATGTGCAATCGACTCTTACGACTACGCGCTGAAATTCGAGACAATGTCGAATGACGATAGAGCTGCTGTAATAACCGCCCCGGAAGAAAACATCTCTCCAAAGAACAAAAAGGTGGGAACAAACATGACATCCAGAATTCCTAAAGCAGTATCCTACTCTACCCAAAAATCATATTCAGATGCATGTCTGTATACCATTTCTGAGACCGAAGAATCGAAGGATCAAGATCAAGATCATAACCAACCCACAGCAGTCACAGAACTCATTCTTGATAACTGGCAGGGCGATATTCCCGTTATAGTGGACGATTGCGATTCAGGCATCGAGTCGGCTCAATGCGCTCCTGAATTTGGTGGCTTCGATGCTTGGGATAGCGATTCGTGCTACAGTTCTCACTCCGAGCTCGAGGAGGTCGAAGAAGAGGTTCGAATTGATCACCCCTTGATGGGAAATGACGTGGTTTGCATTCAAGTGTCCTTCACGGCAGTAAAGGCCAGTGAGTATGAAGCTCATCCTACAAAATTGTTCTATCGTAGTTCGGTGAGTCTGCATCTTTCTTGATTTAGCGTACTTGATTCATAATTGGAATCACCTCAACTTCTCACAATAGCTCATCCCCATCCTTTCATCTGAGAACTAAAAACCATATGTAGTACTGACATTCTGACTCGTAGGAACCAATAACCTGGGGGTGGATACCATCAAAATTAAGACACTGTCAGACAGTCATCCGTGAAGAAGGATCTTGCTGTTATATTTAGGCTGCATGCATATAAGATGGTATGTGACGGGAGGCTCTTTCTAATCCTGCGCAATAATTTCTACAGTGAGAATTAGAGATGAACTCCAGTTAACTTTCTCTGATCAAGTAAAAAGACAGGTTTTCAAGTTTCTTGAAATTGGGAAATACTTAAAACAGAGAAAGAGCAATAGGATGGTGGATTTGGGATCTTGGGTGAAGATGAATATAGTTACTTTTAATATTATTGCGATATTCTGCAATTTGAGAGATTCATATCATCATCCGTTCCTTCCTTCCTTGTTGATAGTGATTGTTGCTATTTTGCCATTTTTTCTTAGCTTACTCGAACTCCGGCAGATTGACAATCATAATATCGTACGTACGGTCTTCACCCTAATTCACTATTTTCCATTTCAAAGGACTAAAAGCTGGATATTAATATGCGAGTTTTGACGATCTTTGCGATCTTTACAGTATTCTACCAACGTACCAAGATCATGAACTTGAATCTACGAGATGTTTCTATCTATATCAGCTACTTTTTCGCCCTCGAACAAATCCAGAAAGCCATCCATTCTCACTTACTATCTACAAAACTCCAGGCGCGAACAAATCAGAAACAAACCGCATCCACAAAAAAAATATACCATTAAAATGTTCACTCCTCAAATCTTGCACGCTATTGGATGGCGCACTGTCACAAATACAGACTACGATGGCGCAGTTCTTGTTGGGGGTTTGGAAAATGAACTCAGGCATTTCGGGGATCCAGATGAGGAGCACGACTCTTGGTCTTACCCGGAATCAGTGAAACCGTGTCCAGTAAGTTGATTCGTCCAGAGAAACTGCAAAGAGCCGCTTGGTCTCATGCGCGATCACATGCTAACTAGTCTCGCAACAAATAGTTTACCCGCGAAGGCGCAAGAGCCATCGCAGCAGAAGAAAAGAAGAAGAAACAAGAAAAGCTCAGAGCCGCTCGCAGATCCGCAATCTTAGGAATCTCTCACTATGAAAACGATGCGAACCTTGTCGACATTGATGAGGCAGTTGGGAAGTTTGATGAAGACGAGGAAGATGGCTGCACAGTCGAGGGGAGTGATGAGCCACTTGCATTCTGCGATAATTGGTTCTCAAGACCTTTACAACAAGAGGATGATGCACGTGAAGCAGAATCTGGTGATGGGTCGAAGCGTTGCAGTCTTCTCCAAGGAGAAACCGTTGACAAGGAAAAAGGTGCTGATAGCTACGAATGGGATGTTGTAGAAATGGCGACGAAATCGACCCAAGACTTGGGCGTTCGCAAATATGAAAAAGAACTTGATAGTGATTTTGATTCAGATATTGGGAATAGCTTCGTCTTGATGGCCAATGAGGAAGCCGCGGTTCCATCAAATGAAACCTGCAAAGGAGATTGCTCTTGTGGATGCGACTCTGGATTTGTCGAGATCGACGATACAAACACAATGCATGGCTTGAATGGAGTTGAAAAGACGGGCTCTTCGGCCAAGGCTGTTTTCGCAGCTCAACCGGGGCTTTGGCGATCAATGATTACTTGCAGACCACTCGAAAGAGCACGTCGTCCGCATATTGTTAGACCGGGAAGTTGGCAGGCGGTCTAAACATATGGGTGAATTTGTGAGCATCGAAGTGGGTTCGAACTGTGGAGCAAGACATGGTACCCAAAAAATATGATCGTTGTTATAAGTCTATACCTTCGTTCCTGGAAGTTTAGACTATGAGTCTACCACCAATATCCACATAATCCGGGGACGATGTACGAGCGGCATAGAATCGTGCCTCCGTTTTGAATTTAATCTAATGACTTAGCTTTCAGGAATGGGAGAAAGAGCAAAAAGCAATAATTATAGTTAACAAGAATAGATTGAGGCAAAACTTGAGAAGCATGGCTGTGAAACTTCTGACATTGTGTGATAAATTGATAGTCTTTTGAATTGATCATGAATAAGTGATTGCCTATGGTGACAAAGCAGACTAGAACTTCACCAACTAATCTATCTTGGAGAAACCACTTCCTGACAGCCTTATCATTCATTTCATCAAAACTTATCCTTGAAACCACCTTAGTTTCGAATGAATCTGTCATGAGGATACAGGGTTGCCTATCAATTGTTACTAAGAACTAAAATCAAGGACTATCGTGCTGTCAAAATTTCTTTATACATGCATTTAGAAAGGCATTTGAAGTTATTCAAATACGTAAATGTATATCAATATTGGTCTGAGATTTGAGAGTAAGATAGATTGATGATTAGATATTATTGGAAAGACTCAAATATAGAGTTGGATATCAGGATGTCAAAAATATCTTTGCAAAAGTAACTGACGGATTGAGTTTCGAGTTACTTCTAGTTTAAGTCAGCGACTAGTACTGTTTAGCTCTATCAAAAGTCAATTCAAATAGTATCCAGATCCTAATACCAACCCAAAATAACCTTCAAAAGTATTCTCGATCGTGAAGCTTGCAGAAAAAAATCATAATTACCTTCATCATATCCTTAACCATCTCGTATATCATCATTCTAGATAATTAGCTTGTCAGCAAGCAACAATGACGACCGAAAGGAGAAGTTCTTCCTCAACCAATTTCGCAACTACCGATGAGGATATGGTTACAGCTAAAGAGCCTGAGTCTAAGACCAATTCACTCGGTTATATTCTTGAAATGAAACTCCCAAGAGAGTATGCGGAGTACGAGAATAGAGAAAAAGCAGTTGCATTGTTGAAGTCACGAAGAGGCTTGATGTGGCTGTTTGTAGTTGATACTGCCAAGCACTATTCTATCCCAGAAGAGGAAGTGAACCTCGAGGTGATCAGATGTCGTTTTCTCATCAGCCAAGGTCCCCATATGTTTGAAGATTGTTGCTGTGAATGGTGTGCCGGAACACTAGAGACTGAAAAGCAAGGCAGTGTACCGACAGGAAGAAAATCTGGCTGTAGGCGAAAGTATCTTAAGGATACCCAGGTTCCACTGTACTTTTGAGAAATAACGGGAGAGGGTCCAGTGAAGAGGGTGAGCGAATTCAATTTTCACCGGACTGGAAGATGAGCGCTCATTTTTACCTTTAGTAGAAGCTACATTCACGAAGACGGAATCTAACGATCGGATTGTCAGGGATTTCAGCAAACTGGGTAGCACAGCGAGTTTTGAAAGAGGCTATCATGGGAACATAGGGGGCAAATTAATACAAGGGGTGGCATTCTTTAGCTGAAGATAATTCACGAAATACATATCTTCATCCCACCATATCGTAGACTTGCAAAAAGTGTGATGATGAGTCCGGTCCGGAATCCTGAATAGCGAAACCAGTGATGAGTTTAAAGCAAAATATCGAGATAAATGTGCTCATGCTTGTTCAAGTTTCCATGAAATCTGACAAATCAATGTTCTCCAACAACATGCAACTCGATGATTCATTCCACAAATAGAACCTAAAAATTCGATGGTACAGATTTTTCTCCGTATATGATATAGGTTATATTACGGTCACAATAGGTAGTACTAGCTACAGTCGAATTAATCACTAGCTTCATATTAACCATTGACTAGAAAGACTGGCCCTTTTTGGGTGACTGCGCTAATCACAGAGCCAATAATGATAGATATATAAGAAGCGAGACCTACTTTTGAGAAAATCATCAGCAGATAGTCCATTGATCAAATCCAATGCGAATTCCATCTTACCACGAAAAGTCAAAGAATCTCCCAAAGCAGAAGTCAGACTCACACTTGGACTCGAAAACGAAAATGGATGAAACAGATGCGACCAAGAGGGAGAAGCTCCTCGAGAGACAAGATGAATTATGTATCATCTTAGAAAAGCTAAAGGAAAGAATACGTAATCAAAGTTCTATCGAAACTTCGTACGACGAAAGCTTAATTCAGCCTTCGGCATCCAACATCAGCAACAGAACACCACTCCCACCGGCGCCAATCAAGTCTTCAACCTCCAAAGAATACGGAGAAACACGACCACTACCAGTCTCAGTGCTTGCGGCGCGTTTTTCGAAAAACAGTCGGGTACACAAGGCTTTGCTCGCTCGCAAGAGAAGGCTTCAGCGCCATGGGATCACAATAAGCGTACGTTTGGCGACTGCGACAGAGAAGTCATTGAAATACAGATGTCGGAAGTTTAGCCCACTTCGATGGTCGCAAGGTTACGCCGAGTCACATGAACTTTGATGGCATAAAAAGTTGTTCAGAAGAGTGATTGGTGTGAGATTGTACTAAATGATGCAAGTCAGAGGATGATAGTTTCTACAAAAGCTATGTTGAATGCATAAGAATTCTGAGGAAGGTGCTGGCTGGTGGAGGAAGCACAGATATGACATGAAAATTGCATTCTAGGATATTTGACGTTGTAATGAATAAGTTGGCAGAATGGGAAATTGAGAATTATAAACTTCACTTCAACTTCATCACTCTTTCCTCCAATCACAGAATGTATTGACTTTTGAATTTCATATGTATTATTGATCTAGTATCTTTGTGGTATTGATTTGAATAACCTTGGAATACTGCTGTAAATCGTTCAATTATTTTGGACATACTACAGACTAAGTCACGTACAATCCATAATATCATTCTTATCGTGTTTCTTCTAGTATCACTTTCTGAAAGATAAAACTGCAGCGATGATCTTGTTTATTCATCATAAGTAGAGATACAATTGCGCCAATTTGAACGGGACATCACAGGACTAACTTGCGGACGACAATTCACCACTCAATATTCACTCCATTATCAAGCGAGAATCATTTGAATAAACAGATTGGTTCTCGCACAAAATCCTCAATATTCTCTTCTAAACTGCACTCAATCCTCGAAGTGGCACAATCCATAAATTCGATCACACGTACAGTGGACATAAGGTGAAAGAACTACTCACTAATAATATCGTTGTCAAATTATACTAATGAGTTTGACAGAAACCCTGGTGGTCTTATGCTGCCAGTCAAAGAGAGAAAGCCGAACCTTTTGAAGGAAACCCGATAATTTACTAGCGCCCGCTTTCAGTCATGTCGCGCAACAACCCCAGTATCGATCCACAACTATCCCTGGAATTATCCCTTGAAAAATCGAATGTCGGAGAAGCAACAACAGAAGTGGAGGCTGCCAATGATAATCAAGTTTTGAATACAAATGAGGATTATAGACAAGCAGAAGCGGAAGCGCATGGTCTTGATAATAGCATTGGAGGAGCTTTTGGAAATGCTTTGGGGATCAATTTGATGGATATCTCCGAGTTGATGCGCAACGACGATTCTATTCTCAACACAGATCCTGTTCGTAATCCCGACTCCATTCGCGACAACGAATTCAACATGTCTTCATCAGACAGCAATAACTTCTCTGAAGATGAGGAGACATCGCATTCCGAGTACAGTGACGACAAAGATATGGATATGGAAGAGACTTTGACGGGTGCCGAAGAAGTAGCGCCATTGCTTCTTCGCTCACCTTCATCACCGCCATCATACTCGCCCCCTGCAACACCGGTCTTGAAACTTCTACCAATGTTTACTCTTAGTCCTGGCATTTCCCCCTCAGCAATGCCATTTTTCGATGATCCAATTCGTTACGCAACCAGGATCAACGCCAGAAAAGTTCGCATGCATGATACGCATTTTACGCCTGCAGAAGAAACATTAAGACAATTGCCAGGGAGATGGTGGCGAAGAATTTCAAAGATACCATCGTCTCTCCGAAAATGCTGGACTCCATATGACATCTTTGATGAGTATTTGGAGAACACATTGGTGGCTGTAAATGATTACGGTGCGAAGGAGGCTGCAGTCGATACGAAAGTTGATGCCAGTAAATAATCGGAATACTGGTACTGTCATCGGAAATCTCGTTCGTACACGGAATATGTTGGGTGGAGGACCTATTTGATTGTTATTCATCAGCGTTCACATGTATTCGGAGGTCATTTTTGTACTAGTCGGATGGCAGCTCAAGAGACCCACTTTAACTCGCTTAATGATTCTATCCCCTTATTTGTAGAAGTGTACTCTGATCAAGTTACCAACAACCCAGAATATTTGCGCAATTGCTCTCGAAACTCTATACTGATTGATGAAATGTATATTCCGATGTGAAAGAAAGGTGTTGAAGAAAATGAGTCGTTTTCCCACAGATATTGGTGATGTTACACACGCCCGAACCTCCTTGTCACCACACTCACATCCTGCAAAGAAGCTTGGTAAGGATGACATCGAACTTGCAGACGGAAACAAATTTGAGCGAGAAGGAAGAGATTACTCGAACCTCAGCTTTCAATCTAAGATACGAAATGAGTATATCCCATTTCCATCAAACTCAACAGCTCTAGAAGGCAAGAGATATCATAACAGCTGAGTAATGATAAGCCGGTAATTTCTTCACCAGCAGAATACTTACGGCTGAGGAAGAGTTAAAACAACTAGATAAAGACATCAGATGCGAGAGAAAATGCTAAATCAAAGATCAACATCGTAAGCATACAAAGATGGTGATAATTTGTGAGAATTAATGCAATGGGGGTCATGTGACATGTAGAAAAGTATTAGTTGAAGAAAGCGCTTATAGTCTGCCCCAAAAAATCTTCCTAACAATCTAAAGGGCCGCACGATGGTATCTAGTTAACGAATCCACGAATCAAAGCGGTTGTGTTCATCCACTGTGAATCTACGTGTATCGCCAACATCAAAGTTCATGGTATCTACAGTACCACGAGACTTGTACTGCATATAAACCATACTAGGTATATCGTGATGGCCGAACATATTGAGATCCTCTACAGCATGATGGTCAACCGAGTCCAATACTTGGACTCCGAAGGTTTATAGTACTGTACACTGATATCTGTTTCGGTACGGCTCCCAACAATGTTTCTCTGTCAATTACGTCATTTTATTGATAAATAAACTTCAACTAAATTGAGATGAATACGGAAGGAGCATAATCTCCAGGTTACAGAGGATCAAGAATTTCGAAAGAGCAGGAACCTTCCATCGTCATTGCCAAAAGCTCGATTATTGGAATGTTATATACAGATCTCGGATCTTCAGGCCAAGTCTTTTTAATCACCAATACCAGAATCATTTCATCTGCATCATTAATTACTGTTAAGTTTTGGATCCCGAAAAAGTTTGATACTCCTTTTTATTAAGAGCAACTGAAAAGCGCAAAGCAACACCAATATACTGAATATGACACGTTATGGTTTCAGTCAGCGTCATCGTGCTCGCATAGAAGCTCGCACTCTGCCTCATCCACACAGCCCAAACGAAGTGCCGTCACCATGGTGGGCTCCTCTCCTGCAGCTGAGACGTCTGAAATTTAGCTGGTTTCACCGTTTCCGTTGGGGATATTCTAATTCGATTTCCAGCAACGAACAGAACATGCCGAACGAGTCTGCTGGCGCCGATGAGTCAGGAGGGCAAGGCAGAGCTACTGAAGACGATCAAAACTTGGAGTCGATGATTAACAACGCTCACAACGATCGTCAAGCGTCCGATCTCATTAATAATATATCTTCTCGCACTGCATCGCCAGTAACCACTACAAATGCGGATGTTATCTTAGCTGGAGGCAATGCAGCAAAGTCAAAGGATAATCCAGATGTTCGGCAAAGCTCGGTAAGCACAATTCAAGTATTTTCAGATTTTTCGATTGTTTGAGCTGGCAGACGGGTTGGAAACTTTGGGGCTCTGAAAGGACTTTCATGCTTGGAATGGATTCAAAACCCAAAAGCCCAGTGTATGATCCCGGTTGCTTTATAAATAATGATCGCAGTTCGGATTACATTAAACCTGAAGTTTTCAACGAAGATCCCAAGACTAACTGACATTGCAGAACACAGTTAGAAATTCAGCAAAGCTTGCAAGTACTGCGATTCGTGGTGGAGGAATTGTTACAGGCCAAGTCAGTGGAGCGGATAGAAATCGCTTTACCTCAATTCCTCTTCTATTAAAAGCCGCATTAGAAAAGGTAGTTAGAGATGAAGAGTACACATCCGGTCGGCCCACCAAAAATTGGATAACTCGTTTCAAAGAATCCCAGAAGCCAATCAACCCTCATCGAAGACGAAAATACAAGACAAAATCTCCTAAACATAGCGCTAGAACGCGGGTCTTGAGAAGGTTAGAATATAAAAATCTTGGGATAGAACTATCGTATGCGGACGTGAAGAGAGCAGATTGGAAGCCACAAGATCATATGGCAGTGGATTCGAGAATCAGTAGTACAAGGAAGCCTAAGCCGGGTTGCTCTAACCTACGTTATTGTTTGACGTATCTTAAGCAGGTTCAATATACTGTGTCTGAATACAGAAGCTCCTGGGTACGTGATCATAGACAGTGGTTTTCTCGTTGGAGTACAGTACGCTCTGCAGCCTTATGTCTGGGAGTTTGACTTGCAATTTTGATGATTTGTGTGATCAGTTGCGTATTTACACACAGCGAGTTCCGAAATTTTAAACTTAGATAATAGTTTAGTCAATCAGCGAGTTGCATTCTTTATGTTTCGGTTCATAAGTTGTAGTAATCAACAGCTTCATGCCATTTGCTATTGTTTACTTTCCTCCAGGCCAATGATATTTGATGAGAATCACTGGTATCTGGGATACGGTCAAGTGCTTCAAATCTTTTTTTAACGCTATCAATACATGAAAGCCGTAGATAGTTTTCTAGAGCTGTACGGTGAGCAACGACTCTCTATATATCTAGTTCCACCATTCGTCTCCCAAAGACCCTTTCTTTCTCATAAAATCCTGATATCGGTGCATGCTCAATTTGATATCTATGATATAAGGATCGATCTGCTTAACCTTGAGATTCAAGAAACATCGTGGGTTTCACAGCACTATCTTCTGGTTAACCAAGCTATTCGAGAGAAGACGCAATTACTTAAGATTTTTATATTTGACCAACATGTCGCATGGTACTGAAGTAGAAGGCGACTGGGCAGACAAAGAAATTGCAAACCTCAATCAACTGATCGCAAAGGAGGTGAATGAGATGAGAGAAGAGGCGGGTCTCACGCGAGTTTCAAATTCGGTAAGCAAACAAAACACTCCCGCATGATTCAATAGTGGGATTCAATAGTGATTATTTTTTAGATTAACAGAACCCAATCACCAAGAAATTTTCTGACCTCAACGTCACCATCACAATCACAGCCGCACCATCAAGCATATGTCGCGGAACCCCTAGAATCACTACAAACAACAGCTGAATCAAGTTCATCTCTAATGCCAGATATTCTTGGACATTCGGGGAGCCTAGAAGCTTACAGCAGATTCAACTTTGAAGCTCTTCAGCATGCTCTTCAACAGGTTCTCACTGGAGGTCAAAGAAACGATAATAGCAAACGTACTGATCAAATGGAATCAGCAGCAGAAACAGGGGCGAATAATCAAGAGTCTGAGCTAGAAGCCGCCTTTCTGAAAGACTCCGATGAAGAAAATGAGGGTGTTGAAGATGATGGTGACGAAGACTGGGAGGAATATTTCGATTGCGAAGAGAAGTTAAGCGACGATGATTACTTCTTATACGACATAGATCTTCGAGAAGGAATGTCTGAGTACATAAATAACCAAGCAGAGCGAAGTTCAGAAGTAGAAGACGAGCCTCAGTTTGCAGCACATCTATTTAGCAACCCACTACAATCACTTGAACACCAGGAGAACAATCGCGATGCTAGTCCGCCTAATTCAAACAAGCCAAACAAGCAATCAGAAAAGCGTCCTCCCCAAAAGCTATCCAGGACCTGGGTCACACGCTTCCTGGCCAAGGAAGCCAAGAGCAGACGCCGCCGCATGCCAAGGGGACCTGGTAGATTTATATACCCATCTAGCGACAATGTGCTACTTCTGCTCATGAATGGAATCAATATAAATGGTGCACGACCAACTAGAGGAGATACTGAACTTTTAAGACACCAGAGACATCGAAAATCAGGTCAATATGTTTCGTTCTCTAGTCCATTGAGACACTGCTGGACTTATATATCATGTGAAGAAGAAACTGGTTAGGATATTTGATTAGGATATTTGGTTGGAGTTGTAACGGTCCACCATAGTAACCGATTAACGAACTTGTGAGTATATGGCTACGTTTCAGAATATAAAGAGAGCCAGAGAGGGATCTATCCTGATCTGGACACAATGAGTATCCATTCGAGATACATGTGTAGTTAGAGATAAATAATACTACAATTTGTTTCGTGTGTGAGTGGTCCTGGAAAAGACATGAATATTGTTTCATGTGTCAAAGGGTCCCAATTTCCTATTATTCTATCAAACTCATTTTGTACGTCCTATCAGAAGGTTATTATATTAATTATATTATTTTACATCACTAGTACTATCAAGTGTTTTTTTGAGCCAAGGAAGAAAATGCAAGTTTCTCAAAATACGTGTATTCATTGAAGTGAAGATTTTTTCTGAAATCTAAGGTTATCTAGTGAATTCTCGGATACAGCATTCACAATTCGAAGGACTCTTTTTCACTCACTTTCCACTTCCTTAATCATCTTTCCTGTTCAACATGGTTTGGTAGAGTTTCTTTTAGTTTCTCTAACTTTTGATACAAATATAACATCAGAGATCTCTTGAGTTGAGATTCCAAAGAAACGATTTGCAAAGTCTTAAATCTACAAGTCAAGAACTATGACTATGTCTGATAAGCATAAAGTATCGATCAATCCACAGAGAAACAAAACCTTTGTAAGTTTATGGGAGCAATATTCCGCGGCTGAATCAGGTCAGGCTAACTTCATGAAGAGAAATGGCTTGACCAAAGCAGACAAACCTCCTGTCGAATCTACCAAGCAACTATACAAGCAACTATCACTATTTGCTACATCTAGACGCGAAATTATGGATACAATGACTACCACAGTAGTTGATACAGTCCAAAATTCAAGCAGAAATCATATCACAATGAAAAATTATCTTGGAAAGGAAGTAAGTGTAAGTCTCGAATTTGGCTCAATGAGAAATGGACTATCTTCAACTGATGAGGATTCTGAAGAGGAGAATGAGTCAGAGACTGTATATTCTAAGATGAAAAAATTGAACTTGGGATGATCTGAAGCTCGGGTAGTGGTAGGAGCTATTCCAACGGGATACAGAGTTTTCAGTAATCTCGAATGTAGTCTAATCTTGTTCCCAAGAGATAAAATATACTTCAAGTAGGTATTAAGTAATTTTTCCATTGAAATTGATGTTTCAAACTAGAAGTGCTTGACGCTTAAGATGTTTTGATATGTACAGAATCCCACTACGTCAATGGATAATTTGTGACTTAGGAAAGGAGAGAAACAAACCGATCATGTATGAGATGAACTATCCTCCAGTTGCATTTCATTAATCACTGCCATAAAAGGTGAATTTCTTCGAATTTTGAAAGGGGAAAATTTGACCCAGCCCTTAACTAGTGGATTGAGTTTGCGTTGGTTCCTTCTTCATTGGACCCCATCGTCGAAAGTAACTTCCCTTTCACTCCACAAAAATCTCTTTGTAATCCACTTTCAAGTTATCTCAAAAAGCCATGGCATTCTATGAAAATATTTGGGGAGAACGGCAGTTTTTTGATCTGTCAGAAGCAGACAACAACGATGAATTCCCTAACCTGTGGAAAGAAGGCCCCTTTGTTCTTGTAGAAGACAACATTGAGGAGGATGAAGGGACCTCCATGGCATACAACAAAGATCAGGTCTCTAACAATGTATATTCCTCATATTCCAGGGAGACAAGAGACCGAGAGGCAGAAACTCAGTCGATAATGCCAATTGACACAGAGTTCGAGGAGAGTGTCGGGAATATTCCACGTTCTACAGTACATGGTATCCCTTGTTCTTGATCAGTCTACAAGCAGCTAATGGTCTTAAGCAGACATCTTTATCCTTGGCTCAACGTCCTACTATTGATTCTCCTGGTATTCCATCACAACATTACCAAAATCATTCCGTCTATGCAACAATGCCGCCTTCTTTCAACACAATCTCCAATACCATAAGACGACCAGATATGCTTCAACGATCTTCTGCTTTGTCATCCTCCTTCTCGTCAGATAAAGATAATAGACATGAATACAAGCACAGGGAAGACGTGTCTTATTCGATGATGATATCAAGACCTTCCAGTAGTCGCCGAGAGAAAAATAGTATTGACAAAATAATTGAAGACCACAACAAAAGACATGCTGGAAAGTTAGGAGTTACACCAATCAATTCAAAACCACTAGCTTCCAAGGTCATTCAAAAGAAGCCAACTAAACGAAAGGGGCATAAATATTCTGGAAGTTTGGAAGGATTCATGGTAGAATGTCAAGACCAGCACAGTGGTTCAAGATTGTCAGGGATATATCAGGAATATCAGCTTGATCGCGATGAATCAACTCAGTCTTGGATGTTTGAAGAGCAAGATTCTTTCCAGCAGATGGGCCAAATGGAACAGATACTTCCAACATCGACGTCTTTCCAGCACATGGGTCAGAAAATGATTGACCTGCAATGGTTTAATTCCCATTGCCAATCTCTTTCATTACCTCAAAACACAGGTACTCAACAGCCAATTCATTCTTTCCAGCAGATTGGCCATGCATATTATGATCAGAGCTCGTATCCCTTCAATTATATATCAGTTCTTGATGAACCACACTTGCCATTATTTCCAGAAAGAAATTTATGGGCAACTCGAGCAACCGACACTTCACCTAATCAGTCACATTATCAATTTCAAATGCCTGCCGTTCAAACACAGGATTTTGGAACTCAGCAGTACACCACTGTAAGTATACATATAATTCCAAATGAGCAATCCCGCAATAACTGACTTCTTCTAGGTGAGAAATGGATATTGTGCCACCGTACGCTTTCCTTCTTTGCATCAGTCTTTCGGGTCCGAGAGAGGAAGTGGCCGATCCTCCGAATCGTCAACCAGCCCTTCGTTGTCTCCTTGTCAATCACAAACCTGCCACACACATAGCTCAGAAAAGGTGCAAGAATGGAACAGAAAATCCATATAAAGAGGATGGTAGGTACGTATCAACATGAAAAGACGAGAGACCTTAGAGAGAAGTTCCCAGATCTCAATCCAAGGCCAAATATTACACTACCAAATCATTTTCACCTTCTCCAGCGATGCATAGGAGCCCTCCGCATACCAACAAAAGTTTTAATTACAGATATCTTTGAAATACAGGCAGCAGATGAAAGAGACCTGGTAGATGGATGGGGTCAGTTCCACGGTTTTGCTATTCCATTCTATGATACCTCATGACCTTTGGTGGTACTCTTACGGTTAGATTGCGTTGCTACTTTCTGTTCTATGATTTGAAATTTTACCGAGATTTCTGGTCTGAGATAATCTCGTGGAGGAAAAAATCGCTACTTTCGGTTTATTGCTAGATGGAAGAGACTTCGAAATCGAGAGGCCCAATTCCTGATATCTTACTAATTAGCTTTCTCAGCTTTTCTGTAGGTAGTTCTCTGTAGACAGGAGGGGTAATTTGCGAAGCCTGCATTTAGAATGAGAACTGACTTCTTTGATGAATTGTAGTCCAGATTTGGGGACGCTTTAACCATGATCATTGCCTGCCGATTGTGTGAAGTGTTCTCCAAGATAAATCAGAAAACTTGCAAAATGGTGAACACTTAAGTTTCCCATTGCAAATATGGAGTCTATGCAAGCTACATCAGATACTTAGTTCAAACTCTCTACGAATCAAGTACATCTCGAGTGATCTATCTTTTGATAGAGATACATAGGCTCGTGTGATTAATATATAGCAATTGTCTTTTCTGTGGTATCACGCTCGTATGCTTCCAGTATCTGGTATCTTCGTTTTCCTAGAATCTAGAGAGCTCATGTGACTTCAGGCTCTAAGTCTCTATTACTCACTTAGTGGCATTAGCTTTCTTCCCTCTTGGCACATTTCTTCTTCTATGTGACATATTGCTTCTAAATTCCTCGGAACGCCAAAATACTTAACAACATCCAATAATAACGACAGCAAATACAACGAATAGATAACAATAACGATGGATCAAAACGGCAATAACCAAAGGGACAACTCGACTTCGTCTCCTGTAAGTACAATTTTGACTTCTGGGGGTTTCGATTTCGACAAGCAATGGCAATGAATCGTCGGCATTCCTAGCGTTGCCGAGAAGTGTAGAACCTTGTTCTCGTGACCCTTGAAAACATTTGAGATGATTACTGACAGCCTGCCTCCCTAGTCCCCACGCTTATCCAGGAATCAAGAAGCTGCCGCAGAGAATAACGGTAGTTCTTTGGATCTTACTGCTGACTCGCAACAGCAAGGTAGTGGTATTACGGACGGTAGAGGTAATTCAGTGAGTGGTAGGCGGGCCGGCGGCGTTCCAATGGAGAGAACTAGGGCCTGCCGCGGTTACTCTTACCACGAGTATCTGTCTTCTGCTGCTGGACCAGCGCAACAATGCTCCTGCGGATTCACTCCCCGACGTGTTTCTATGGAAAGTGTGCCAATGGGTGGTGTTCCTATGGAGAGAACACAAGGTTGTCGTGGTTACTATTATCACAGGCAATATACAGATTGCCCTTGTGGTAGGAGGTAGTTGGGGCTTTGGGTCAATCTCTGTGATGAAAAAAGATAAAGTATTGGTATTTTGAGAATACTGTGACCATAGGTGCGTGTGGGAACGCTCACATAGCGAAGAAATCTCAATATCTTTATCATCGAGCTCATATGCTGACTCCCGTTCTTTAGCTATCCTGATCACTTAATTGGTATTCAAAAGCGAATATATGACAAGATACTTTGAAATGGAGCTACTGGAACTGGAGTAGAGGAGTTGTGCTTTTCAGTTTGGGGCGCTTATTTATGGTGCAGGCTACCGGCATTTTTGATTGACGTGTATATAATCCTTGGGTAACTGATAATAATTACACAGCTGCGTGAAACGACTGTTCCTCTCATTTGACCCGGCCGACAGCTTTTGGTCTTCTCAAAGCTGCTTTGATGTGAAATACTGAGTCTACTCTGTTTTAAGGGTAGCATTTTTTTAAAATAAAATGCTGACAGAATCATAGGAAATATTGCTAGTCTCCGTTTCCTCGGATACTCTTTCTACTTTCTTCCCTTCTCTTCCCTTCCGCTCCATATGCAACTTATTATATATCTTTCACAACTACCCCTCCCCGACCATTTTTGTTGTCTGCCAATCTTAATGGCTTCTCTGACGGCGCTTGGGCAGCGGATTCTGATGCTAATTCCTAGACTCCGTCTTCGAACTGCCTCTTTTTATTTCAAGTCGGTGAGTATACTGTCCATTTAGATCCCCCACTGTGTTCCGCTTTCACTAATTCATTATCTAACCTCTCCCAAGACTGCAGTCGAAGGAATTTTCACAATGCCAGTGGGTTCGACCAGCAATATATACCCACTAGAAACACACCAGCGGACTACATATGCTCTACCACTTCTCTCCAATGCGTCGACCAAGTCTTTACAGCCGCCGATGCCCGACCTCTTTCCCTAAGGGATCCTTGTGGAGTCAGTGCTCATAGCTGTTGTCTGGCTTCTCTGAGACAGCAAAAAAAACCCCCGACGTGGTTATATCCAAATAATATACGAGTAATTCATGATGGGCGCCGATGGGCAGAAAGTAGGAGACTACGGCAACAATTGGGCAAAGAAATTACTTGAAAGTGGGCTGGATTTTCCTTGTTCCTCCCCAAGTGACGAAGGATCAATTATTTGAGTGGATACAAGTGCCAAAGATTCGAACTTCTTTACAATTTGCTTGCATATATCTGCGGTGGCTTGAAGTGGTCTGCAAAAGGGGAACAAGAGTGCACAGTATTGATGGGGATGATACATGATCTTGGATACCATGATCACAGCTTTTGCCTGTAATCGAGTAACCCGCGGTTTTGTTGAGGTCTCTTAATCTCCTCTTCTCTAGATAGCTACCTTTCCCCCCTCGTCCTCTCCTTTTCTTCTGCCAGTAATCTAGCTCGGATCATGGATATTCCAGTACAAATCGGTTTCAAGCTTCCTGAAATCTTATTGAGCATAGGTATTTGCAAGAATTTATCGCCCGCAACGGAGATGCGCAATACATGCGAATTCTTTGAATGAGGTTATCTGGTATATATATATTAGCAAGTCACATTCATGCATTATTTTAATTCTGAGTTCTTAGTCGACTTTTCACATCACCATATTTCTTCTATTCAGTAAAGAAAAAACATACAGCTATTCATAAGAATGCAACCTCTTGTATACAAGCTCGGTTATATACTTACTGTGTCCTCACACGCCTCAAGGATTGAACAAAAAGAGCCTCAGGGTTCCCAATTTTATATCGCCCATATATCCTATGATAGGTGATGTCTCATTGTACTTGAGTTTTCAGTTAATGATATTCGAGCTTTAAAGTTTGAGAGAGACACCCTTACAATACATTGCCGTTAGGTTCATATCGCTGCCGCTGGTCGTGACAGCTAACTTGTTACATAAATTCAAGACTCGCTAAGGTGTCTTGACGTGGTCTGTGCCGTGAGTGGGACACTTTCGCGAAGCGAGACTTTCTCATGCATGATGCTGTCAGGGAATTCAGAATACCGAAGCATTACTTATGACTTTAAGTTTTCAATTATAACAAGACTTTTGACTTCTTAATTTCAGGTGTCTTAGCAAGATAAGGGACAGCACCATGGTCTCAGAACATATATCAGTGTTAACCCCAGCTGAAGCAGGATCTTGGCAAATTTGTTTGTGCCGTCGGAAGGTACACAGCTCAATGCTGCATGCACATAGTAAAACATACTAGCAAGTGCAGTCAAATAACTATGAGTTGAGTATGAACTCATTAATAATTTTTCTAATCTATAACACGTAGAGTTCTACGACAGATTTGAAGCACGTGTTGCTTTTATTCGGTTCAAATGCCACTGGGTGTAGAACAACTACGACTACTCAAGAAACACAGACGCACTCTGTCTGAGAACCCGCCCCAAAATATCGAATCGACTTTTCATCCTCGGTAAGTTACAATAAATCCCCGTTGTAGATGTATCAAACGTTAATATTACCTATTCTAAAGACACAGACTCTTCTGCCAATCCTTAGCGAGAGAAAATAGGGGACTCGCATCTCGGCGTCTCCAAAGCTTACAGACTGGATAATCGTATTCCATCAAGGATTAACCGTCGCGCCCCGTAGCCAGCCCAGATGATTCGGTTGAAGTTAGACATGATACGATATCATTCATCTAGATCAACTCCGAGAACAACATATTCCTCAAAAACTCCAACGCTTTCTTTCTCTCCGCTTCAGGAATCAGTTCAATATCTTCTACAAAAACCATCAAGCATTCCACCAAAGCGACAAAAATCAACAATCCACATCGTCGAATGTTCGCGCAAACGGGGTCACACTCTTACAGCGCCCTAGACTTTGAGATTGCATACTTACGCGCATATTTCGATTTTGCTAAAGCTGGAAGTGCATCTAAAACGAGGTGGTTGGTGAATAATCGAGCGGATCTGATACTGTAAAGTTGAGCGAGCAACTTTGAATTTGAGTTTTGACAAACCTACATACCTAGTATTAGATACTAGATAGGTGACTAACTTTGGCGGTGCGAAAATAGTACTTACTTCTTGTGATAGGACTTCAACTATGTTTCAGTATCACCCGTCCGAGTACGCCTCTGCGGTATTCATGCAGAAGTCGGTTCACACTTCAGAATTCTCGACAAGTCAAAATATATGTAAACTTCATGTTTCATATTATTTCAAAGACTACGTTACAATTCAAAAAATAATTATCTTCATTACTCAATACGTTCTATTACAATGTCGCTAATTAAATGAGTTGCGATGCTAGAGATCCCTGATTATAGGTAGCATAGGCCTTGAGCACAATTCCACCGTCCGTCCCTTTCTAGTTCTATCCATCCAGATTATATTAGTATATTCATACAGTATTACCGAGAACGCCGTCATGAATTTTATACAAGAGATGTTACACCGTTCAAGGCATCCTCATCGATGTCTATTGCCTTAATTTGGTCATGTATCCTCGAACAGTCTTCGACCCATACTCATAGAGTACGATCGCTGTCACATTGATCTCGACTACTCTTTGCAAAATCTCGGCTCTCAAAGATACCAGTCCTCTCTACGCCGTCCCAAACTCCCACTTGTTCACATCCAAGCGGAATACGGCAGTTGCTTCGGTCCGGTGCTGAACACGTTTTCCAAATCACTTCTTTCACCTCTCGGCCTACCTTCTCGAGAACGTCCACGGCCCACTATGTAAGTCGTGTAAGTTAGTTCAGGCTACCGAGACTTTGAAAGAAAATTTGCTGGAGGTGGAAAGAAATGAGGAACGCGAGGAGACGGTGCGGAGTACATACAATAACATCCAAATGCTCATACTCTTCTATCACCTTCTGATGCACGACCTTCACACATGGCTCTCTTCCTCTCTCGAACCTCCGGAGTAGCTTCCTTCCATCCACCAAATCGTCGGATCCCGACACCCATAATGCAAACGGGGGTACCTGCTCATTATACCAAGCTCTGCTTCTCTTAGGTTCTCTCTTTCCTTCATTTTCCATCATTTCTGCTCCGGGTTGCATCTCGTTCTCCGCCTTCTTTCCTTTGGAGGTCAACTTCTTCTTCTCGTCATTGCTGTCCGAATCATTCTGAGCATCACCCCATACCAATCTATCTTCCTCATCTTCCTGCATACTCTCCTCTCTCGTTGCTAATATACACTTGTGCTTTGCAAAGCCATCCCTCCCCAGCCACCACCTCATACTTTCTGCACTTACATACACAGGAGCGAATTGAAAACAACGATCTCGGGTTCCTTTGTCCCATCTAGCATCACTCCATTTGAACAACATGTGAAAAACATGATATCCTAAAGTCCCAAAAATCTTTCCTGGAATAATCTTATGGAAGAGCATCATGTACGGAAGAAAAGAATGAATACCAAAGATGATGCGAAAGACCGAAGGAGAGATCTTGCGCACGAATTTGAAATAGCCCTTGTCAATGAGCGGTCCAGCATATGCGGCTGGAGCCAATGCACAAAACACGCTTATTTTTTCACCCAGTTCAGGCCGTTGCTCTTTCGCGAGCGCGACAAACGTTTGAGTTGTACCTTGGGAATGGCCAACAAGGGCTAATTTGGGGAAGCCAGTTTCGGATAAAACGCGAGAAGTAAGTGCTGGCAAATCCAGAACCCCCATCTGCCGAATATTCCAAGCCCACATACGAGGATCACTATAGTCAAGAAGTGTATGTTCTGGCTTGAATCCGCATCGATTATTGCCGAGCCAAACGTCATAGCCTTGTTTGCATAGATAGAATGCCAGGGAGTGGTCATCATTAGTACAATAAGCACCAGATGATTGCAAGAGACCGTGGATCATTAGCACGGGATACTTTGATTTGCGATTATAGTCTGAAGAAAGTGGTCGACTTGGGCCCCGAGCCGCTCGTTGCTCCGCCGTCATGGGCGTATATTCACTTGGGTCGTATACGTGCCAAAGAACAATGATAAATCCATCTTCTGTCTGAACCTTTAGTTCCTCGACGTCTAGACCTACCCTTCGTGCATAATATCCCACATCACAAACAAGCGGATCTCTACCCCCCTCTGTCGGTACAAAATCCCCTTGTCCCGCATCACCTTCAACATCATCCACTTTTTCCTTAGATAATTTTTGGCGGTTCATCTTCTTCCAATGATTTTCCTCTTCCCTTCTCCTCCTCCTTCGTATTTTTTCTTCCTCGTAGAATATCCGTCCTCGGTCTGGATCCCTGAATGTACCCTTATACCATAAATAAGTAAAAATAGCCGGCACAGTCATAACGCCTGCTCCCATCACAATAGCTCCTAAAACTGCACAGGTAATGAAAAAACTGGTAGTCCTGAATGTCCAACATTGTAGGTTTCTTGTGATTGACGACGGGCCGTATAGCGGCAGAGGTGGAAATAGAGGATGCGTTTGCGAGGGCGGCATAGTTTTTCCAAGTGAGCCTTGGCCTGATGTTTGCCCGTCATTCCCTCCCCTATCATGTGAGCCACTCCTTTCGTCGCCCGCTGCTAGTCTATCCTCTTCGCTGACGATCTCTTCCGTCCCTTCGGCATCACTAATCATATTACCACCAATACCCCTTGCTTGTCTTCTGAGTCCATTCAATCTCTCCGATTCCTCCAATGGTGGCCCGGGCAATCGACCTCCATCCTCCAGAACAACCACTGTATCCCTTTCCGTCACATAATCCGCTCTCATCGCCGTTCCAGCTCCGTCATCGTCATCCTCGGGATCGATAAGGGATAGCTTCGCGGCTTGGCCGGCATAGGCGGATTCAGGTTCCGGATCGTTGCTCATGGCGGAATATCGCACGTACTCGAATTTCTTCGAATTGAACCTCGAAGTCATTCAGATTGTTCGCTCAAGTGGAGCTTTCAAAATCGTGGAAATCGACGATCCTTATATCCCCTGCCCCCGTCTCTCGTAGTCTACAGACACCAACTTGAACAATTCAAAACTTACCAATCGAAACCAAGAAATTTGAGCAATACCTTGCAAAAAGATGAGAGAAGGGAACAGGGTATAATATATCGAAACAGAAAACAGTCTCGCAAACGAAAAGGAGAGAGATGCGCATGAAACAAAAGTAGGAAATGCGATACCTTTCCCTTCACAATTATAAAACCATGCGAAATTCATGTTTCTGAACCAACTGTGTCAATCCAATGGACCGTGCCTGTCCGTACATGCATTTGAGTGGCTTGAGAGTGGATAGGTAGGTAGGTAATGAAAGTTATGTGGCGTTTGGGCGTTTTGACATAAATATGACAGGGGGTCAATGCTCTCGTGGTTCATTCTTGGGTGATGTTTGGAAAGAATGATGGAAATCAGACTTCAAAAGTATGGGAAACATAACTAAAGTGGTTGAGTTTCACAGCAAGTAATCTGGGCGCGTGTAGAATAGAGACTGTACAATAGAGACTATTCTATGAATAAGAAAGACTTGAGGTCTGAATTTAGTTCAAACTTTACGGTTGGAGTTAAAATTTGGTGTCTTGTATTTAGTATATATTATTTTACTCTCTTAACGCGTACGCCTTCTTGTACCTTTCCTTTTACATCATTAATATAGATTTTCTTCATCTTCCATGCTTCCATCTTGAAACAATCCTTGTACAGATTCCTTTCCCTTTGGCTTCACTCTGATTGTACCATTAAGTTGTTCTTCGTCAGTGCCATTATAGTAACCATCCTCAGCATTCTCATCCCAGTCACCCATATCTTTGGCCTTTCCCTTGCCTTTGACATCTGCCCTCGCTTTGCCCTTTCCTTTCCTCGAACTTCTTGAACTACTCGATGAGCTAGGTCTTTGCGCAGCTTTATCTTTATCTTTATTACCCTCGAATTGACCTCTAACTCTCGCGTAATGCTCTAACTCCCCAGCACTAACACTAGGAACTAATTCCCTTCCTGCAGCTTCAAAATCCTCTTCTTGTACGACTACGCGGAGATCATCTTCTTTTGCATAGTGGTCAAACCAATATGCGGTTGAAACCTTTCCTTTACCCTCGCTTCCGCGCTCGGAGTTGAGTTTGGCGAGATGTGAATCCACGTAGGATGCTTGGCGAGTCACAGCTTTAAGCATAGCATCTGAACAAAGTGCATAAAAATCGGCACCTGTATATGTAAAAGGAAGCCCAGAAGCAACACGAGCAAGAGATAGCGTAGGAGAAAGTGTAAATCTAATTGAGTTAGTATTTTTCAAGGCGAGGGAATGTCATATAACTTACTTTCTCGTTAAAGCCTCTAGAATTGTTTCTTGCTTCTCATGGGTATCACTGACTCCTAGGTACAACATCTTGTCAAATCTTCCTGGTCTCAGCAAGGCTGCATCCAGAAGATCTGGTCGATTTGTTGCACCAATAACAAAGACACCTCCACCACCGTCGTCTCCATCAGACATACCATCCAGCTCGGCCAATAATTGTGATACAATGCGGTCCATCACTCCACCACTGTCTCCTTGGTTACCTCTCTTGGGTGCAACCGAATCAAGCTCGTCGAAGAAAACAACACAGGGTCGTGCATCACGTGCACGCTGGAAGACTCTCCGAACATTGGCCTCGGATTCACCAATGTACATGTTTAGTAATTCTGGTCCCTTAACACTGAAGAAATTGAGACTGAATTCCGTGGCAATGGCCTTTGCCAGTAAAGTCTTTCCGGTTCCAGGAGGACCGTAGAATAAAATGCCAGATCGTTTCTTCATGCCTTTTGCGAATAATTCAGGTCGCTCAAGAGGCAATTGAATAGTTTCCATCACTGCTTCCTTGACATTCGACAGGCCACCAACATCATCCCAACCGACGTTTGGAATCTTGGGTGCGCCGATCGCATCAGCAAAATTCTTCCTTGCAAAATCTACTGCGACATCAAAATCGGCTTTGGTAAGGCAACGACCTGCTGGCCCAGCAGAAAGTAAGATATCGCGTACTGTAACAATATTTTCAGGGGTAGTAGATGCAGCCGCGAGTGCTTCTATGCGAGAGTTACGCGCCACGAGAGCTCGATCCACAACATCACGTAAGTCGCCGGCTACAAGGGCAGCAGTCTTTACAGCGACGGAACTGAAATCTACATCTGGTGCTAGAGAAATCGCTTGTTCTTCAATAATAGCACGAAGTATTCCCTCCCGCTCCCACTCATCGGGGGCAGTCATCTCGAGCTCATGGGTGAACAAACCCCGTATACCGTCTGGAATTTTGTCCACCTCCGTTGTAGTTGCAATAACAACTCTCGTTCCACTTTGAATGTCTTTCAACGTAGTGACCATTCTATCAGCAGTAAGACATTCAATGTGACGTATGAGGAGTGCGCAAAATGCGGGACCACAATTCATAGCTCTTTCAGCGCGTGCCTCAAGGAATCCTGCAGTCTTAACATCGCTTCCACCTCCACTTTCGTTAATTACATCTTTAGCATCAAGCTTGAACGTATGTAAGCCAATATCTGCGCAAGCATTAGCTGCTAACGTTGCTTTCCCAATGCTACGTTGCGTAGAGACAAGAAGAATCGCAAGCGGTGGTAAGTTCAGATGTATAGCTCTAGGGCTTGTAGCTGCGGCGATTAATTCTCTCAAACGCCGTTGTAACGTTGTGACATGTGGTTTTTTGACCTCTGGTATTGCGCTTGATTCGAGATCGGTCTTAGAAAGTGACTTCAGACCAAGGTAATATTCCCAAGAGTTCTCCATAGTTGCAGGCAATCGACTATTCTCACTGCCCGACTGCATCATACGTGTATTTGAAGCGTCGATTGAGACAACGCCACCCCAGATATCGTCTTCATCATTGGTCTCGGAGCTATCCTTCGTCAAACCGACATAGTTTATCCTATACCAAGCCGCAGCAGTAGTTTTGGCCGACTTAGTGGGTTCTACCTCAGCCAATGATGCATGCGAAAACATTTCATCGATTTCAAGGTCTTCACCAGTGGACGATTGTAAAGTTCGACCAAGACCTTGATCAATTGGAACAGCAATGAGATCACCCTTCCTTACAATTCTCCTCTTCTGAGAGAAATATTTTTTCAGTCCAGCAAATAGAGCGTTTTGCAAAGTGCGCTCATTCGAAGCAGGCGTTGAAATCTTCATGAGTGTTAAATCTTTTGCTGTGGGGGGATTTGAAAAGCTATTAATCTTAGCTAATGGCGTCTTCATTATTTGTGGCGCTCGTTTCAGAGGTGCAATACGACAGTATGATGTATTTTCCATATTTGCAAGAAGTAGAGGCGACATGTATGCCAATGGGCTTGCTGGTTTTTGGACTTGTGATTCAAAGAACGACAATCTTCGCCCCTCCTGTTTGCTACGTGGTATTTTGGTCATGGGGCGATGTGAAAAGCTTTCGGGTAGTCCAAAAACTTTCACAGGTCGCCAAGGCTTCTCCTCCTCGACATCTCCAAAGCTGCCCAGTCCCCAAAGCCCAACGCCATTGGCAGGTGGTTCTGCAGCTGCTTCTAATCGCACCCAGTCTCCTGAGAAGCATCCAATTTTAGTTAGAGAATTGATATCAACGAATATTCTTGCCTCCTCATCATCATCAGTATTAGGCTTTGGGTGCAGCATTTCGTCAGAGAGCGGTCTTGCTAATCCTTGCGTTTTGAACAATCTTCCACTTTGTCCACCTGCACGAGTAGTAGCCGTAAAAGAAGAGAATACGGAGCCTGGGGTAGCAATACCGTTTGTCCTTCGTCCGCCTGGAATGACCGTCTGGGGAGATCCAGGCTGTATCGTCGAGATTCCGCTGGCGTTATGAGATGGTAATACGGGTACCTGAAGCGAGATCATATCCTCCATGGAGTCATCCGAAAGACTGTCATTGTCGGCACTACTTTCTATTTCGGTGTCTGTTTCTGTGACATAATCAGATTCCCCTTCAAAAGCAGTATCCGTCTTGTATCTGTCCTCCGCAGCGGAATAGAATTGGTCATTACTTGTATCCTCGTCCTCTTCTGTCACTTGGTTTAACCCTCCATTCAATGGGATAGTTGTGTGCTTCGGTGGACTTTTCGCATGGTGTCCAGTCTGAGTGACGATGATCCTGGTTTTTGGCGACAGCAGTCCTTGTCCTACAGGCTCACTAAGAGTCACTTTTGCTGGAGGGGGAGGAACGTGGGTGATTGGATGAGGTTGCAAAGGTAATTGAACATAATCTCCCGTGTGCACAACTCTCAGCGATCTTAAAGCTTCTCGAATTGCCTTGGTCAGTTTATCCTCGGGACTTATTCCATTTCTGAGTGACTTCGTATGCCCATTCGCTTGCGGATGTTCTCCGTGAAATGTCCCTTCCCCATTTTCTAATCTCTTCGCAGATTCTCCCTCGATTGTAACGAACACTGTCTCCAGGGGTAAAGGAACTATGTCTAGGACGCGTATCTCAATGCCGCTTCGACTGTTGCTCGATAATTTGGAAGGTGCGACCCTCTGCAGGGTTTCCGCGAATGCTTGTAAAGTCGGGTTTTCGGGTGAGAATTGCACAGTGGAAGTTGCCAAATTGTTCGAGGACCGAACAGGAACAACAGTCCATGTTGAGTCTTCTACTGCTGTTGAGGCACTACAAGGAGAGATCGCAATGTAATGAACTGTATGATCGGACACACCGCTCTGCCCTAGACACAGGTCTTTTGCCAAATCTCCAGATATGACTCCTATATCCCCTTTCACATGCTCATCCAGAATCAATCTCGCAGAGATGGCCGGTTTATTTTGATGTCTTCTCTTCCGTTTCTTATTTTTCAATGGGAGCCCCATTGCACCGTTCGAAGAGTCTGTTGGGATTGACATCCTAAATCAATTAATTCGTGAATTCGTGAATGTTGCGGTATGGGAAGGTAGCTTTAGCTAGATA